TTAAAATATCTATCTTCTTTTCGAATTCTATCTATTAATAATTTAAGATACTTATATTCTTATATATAAAAATTTTCGATAATAATACTATTATTTCTTTTAGTAGATAAAATATTACGCTAATTATTCGAGGGAGTAAAGTTTTTATAATCATTATTAGTTTTATTAATTTCTTTTTTACTCTTTAAATCTAATATATTATTAATAGCTCTATAGATTTATATTTAGTACTTATAGAAAAATAATTAATTCTCAAAAAGTATTAAAAGATTATTCTTGAAATTCGATATTTTAGGCGTATAAAGATTAATCGTTTTAGATTAAATATCTTATAAATATTAGTAAATTCTTAAGAGAGCGATAGCTATAGAGAATTATACGTAGAAGTTCTTAAACGATTTCTTCTTATCTATTACTCTTATATTAAATTTAGAATTAAATATCTTAATATTCGATTTAATAATCTTATTATATATTTCGAATATATTATCTAGTTTATTAATTATTTCTTAGATAATTTAATATAGAGTCTAAGATATCTTTATTTACTCTTATTTTAATAATATTATATATAGTAAACTTATAATAATTTTATATATAATCGATTTTTTTAAGTTTAGTAGAAAAGATTATAGCGCTTTATTTAAATTTCGCTTTAAGATATTAACGCTAGCTATTTCACTTATTTCGATTATTAATATTATAAAAATTCGAGATATCGAGAATATTGTTTATTTAATTCTATATTCTCTACGCGATTCGTAATAGAGGTATAGCGTAAATTTCGATAAATACTACTAATAAAAATACTCGGCTAATGAGATATAATCTTTATATTCTTCTTATCGAAGTTTTTTAAATTAGCTAATATATAAGATTATTACTTCTTTAACTATTACTCTTTACGTCTTAAGTCTTATTTAAGTTTCTTATTTTCTTTAATAAGTTTTATAGTATTAATACGATATCTATTACGTAAGCCTCGAAGTCTATTATTAATTTCTCGCTTATAAAATAATTAATTATTACTATTACTTAGCTAAGTATTAATTATTAATATCTTTATCTTAGCTTAAGCGATATTATAGTTAAATTCTTTATTTTATTATTAAAGAATCTTAATATTACGATTAGTAGTTTGAAAGCTTTCTATTAATATCTTTAATTTATTATATTAAGTATTAGAAGTTTCGATAGCGCTTTTTATAAAGTTCTATAAGTTAGAGATAAAGATAAAGATTATAATTAACTCTTCTTTAGTAATATTTATAAGTTATACTTCGATATAACTTAAATTAGATTTAATAGTATATCTTCTAAAGATAAAACGCTTTCTCTTACGTCGTATAAACGATTTAGCTTTACTAATATTTAGAATCTTCTTATTAAAGTTCTTAAGTTCTTCTAAATAATAACATATTTATAACTTACTTATAACGATTTAACTTTAAGTATTATCTAAATTTAAAATTAAGAAGTATATAGCTAATATTAAGTTAGTAGACGTATAAAGAAGATTTAGTCTAAGAGTTTATTTCTTTTAATATATTAAAGATATTTATTTTCTTTAGATTCTTATTTAATCTAGCTAGATTAGCCTTTATATAAGTAAAAGACTTTCTTTTAAATAATCTTTCGAGTAGTAAGCTTCTTTAGCTATAACTACTAACTTCTTAATAATATACTTTCTTCTTAATTATATATTTAATATAACTAGTAAATAAATTATTATCGCTTTAGAAGAAAGATAGATAGTATTATATTAGAGACTTAATAGTATATATAATAACTCTATATTATAGTATAAAGAGAATACTATCTATATAGAATTATTATAAGTATAAACTTTATAGTAAGATAGAAAGATCGAAAGGCCTTAATACGCTAAGTTTAATTGGGTTATAATATAAGTAAGTAAGATCGTAAGATTATTAAAATCGTAATAATAATTTAAGTATAATAGATATATTTTTAATAGTAAGTAAAGAGAGTAACTAGCTAATCAGCTATCGTAAAGACCTCACTAATTAACGAATTAAAGTTTTGAGTAATTCAACGGTTGCGGTGTGCCTAAAACCTCAAAGTGGCTTAGTGGCTTTTCTAAAGTTTTGAGTAATTCAACGGTTACGGGGGGGCTCAAAACCTCAAAGTGGCTTAGTGGCTTTTCTAAAGTTTTGAGTAATTCAACGGTTACGGTGTGCCCAAAACCTCAAAGTGGCTTAGTGGCTTTTCTAAAGTTTTGAGTAATTCAACGGTTACGGTGTGCCCAAAACCTCAAAGTGACTTAGTGGCTTTTCTAAAGTTTTGAGTAATTCAACGGTTACGGTGTGCCCAAAACCTCAAAGTGGCTTAGTGGCTTTTCTAAAGTTTTGAGTAATTCAACGGTTACGGTGTGCCCAAAACCTCAAAGTGGCTTAGTGGCTTTTCTAAAGTTTTGAGTAATTCAACGGTTACGGTGTGCCCAAAACCTCAAAGTAGCTTAGTAGCTTTTCTAAAGTTTTGAGTAATTCAACGGTTACGGCGTGCCCAAAACCTCGAATGGGATTAGCAGCTATGCAATCTCCATATCCTGCCACAAAGCGGAAAGCTCTACCAATTCGTTTCGTGTGGAAGCTACTCTACGCCCAGGCAAGTAGAAACTTTTGTGATACGAGTGGCAGGCTCTGATGGCTACTCGCAAACAAAGTCACTCCCCGTTTGTTCCTCTCGACGGCTGCTGTCGCGGCGGGATAATGGGGAATGGGTTTCCGAAATCGGCAGCGCTGGACATGTAGATTGAGAGACTGAATGTAAGGTCCGTCAGCCTGCGCTCATCGCATCATATGGGATGGAATTATGACGTTTGTCGACACATGTACGGAGCTTGGGATCCGAGAAGATTGCTTTACGGGTCCTCTCTGCGGTCTTGCCCTTTCTTTTCTTTGGTCAGCGTCACAATTGACACAAGTGTCTCTGGCAAGGCATTACTATATGTCATACACCTCAAGTATACTATTACTACAACATTTTTGTATCCTGGCAATATCAACTTCATAACTGATCATGACATTTACATAGCCCTTTATTTACCCTCCGTTTCCCGTGTAGCACAAGCCAGTGGCTTGCTCTCGGTAGACCAGTCCGTCTGCGGATCAAGCTGAATCCACCGATCCTCCACATCCTGCCCTCTCCCAAATCTATTGTTCGAGCTTTGCGACAGCGGTCCTCGAGGTTTAAGATGGCCAGAGAGGGTGCCGGAAATCGTGTTTCTCACCTTGCGGAAGGAGTTGGCGAACAGGACGTAGGTGATTGGCAGGTTGGCGCTTAGTATACCGCCTAGTGGTTCGAACACCGACATGATTCCTAGGGGGACGCCGACCCCTATTGTGCGGTTAACATTGTGGGCTGATAAGTGTGGGGTGAGTTGGGATGAGGCTTACAAGTGAAGTCGGTGGAGCCTTGCGCTACTACCACTGAAATTCGGACGGAGCTGATGATGCAGGTCCTGTATTGATGATGTCAGTGTGGTATACTTGTGGGGAAAAAAGGTGGGACAACTGTAGGGGACCAAGAGGATATTGCCAGGGGTACAGGGAAAGACGAGGTGAAGCTCACCCTAGACCGATCAGGAAGACGCCGCAGAGACCAAGCCTTTGATGATTGGTAATATGCAGACGCCAGATGACCGGAATCGGAAGCAAGAAGATCCAAAGATCGGTAACCAGGTTCGAAATGTTGGTAAAGTAGCTAAAAGCAACCAGATTGAAGCATTTGCCGGGTGTAGTAGGATTCCAGAATTTAGCGATCGGCCGGCATTCAAGAGCCAAAACAATGGTGATGGTCAGAACCCATAACGCGATGAAGGTTATGGTCGCTAGGACGATTCTTCGGAAGACGGGCGTGACAAACACGCGGTAGTAGAAAGTCAGGATTGAAAGTTTGATCATTCCTAGAGTTACGTTGTAGAAGTGGCTGAATATGTAGTTGCCCTGGAAATGTATCGATATCGGTCAGCTTTCTACAGCAAGATTGCTCGAGTGCCGTGGCTGTTTCTTGGTACCACTTCAAAGGTTTCAAAATCGTGCGCGGAAACCTGATCAATATGTTTTCCAAAGCCATGAGGAGGTCCTGCCGCAGCAAGATTAGAGATGAGGTACACGGTGAATTGTGAAAATCATCCAACCGTAAGCCAGGCCCACGCAACATTCGCTTACTGCGCAGATCTAAAGAGCGAGGTCAGGCTTCGATATCCAAAATTCACAAGGTTGGCGAAAAGACATCTGTCATCGGGCGGCCACCAACCGTAGCAAAGACAATAAAGAAGTCGTCTATTGTAAATCTGTCGAGCCCGCCCTGGGCCTGGCGCTGCTTCGCGTAGATGCGCAAGCTGGTAGCAATGATTTCCAGCGGTATGGGAACAATGTAGCAAGCGATTACGGCGGCAACCCGTGAGCCCGTTTGATCAGAAGTCATAGTGAGGAGGCTCAAGAGCACAGAAATGCTGTAATTCGGTGGTCAGGATGAGAATGCAATTGAGTTATCTGCAGCCTGCGAGGCACATTCAGATAATTATTATCATGAACCGCAGAACCCCGCAGGGATTTCCAGCTGGAAACAAGCATGACGAGGATAGCTTCGATCACATCATCAAAGTCAATGCCAGGACGAAAAGGGTTACCGTTAGTCGAAGAGGTGCAGGAATTAGGACTGTCAGTAATATGTAATCGGCATCCTTCTAGAGTCACTATCCAATTACGCGGTCGCGACTTTGACGTGGGACGGGATGGCGGAAGGACGGTTGAAGAGAGTGGGGTGGGCCTGGTGGGTGGGAGTGGGTTCGGATTCGGGCGGATAATATGTTGTACACTAATAAAGGACTTATTAAGGTAATTAGTCCATGAGTAGAAGTTTGGGGCCATGGAAAAGGTAAACTGACTCCCGCTATTCCCGCTGTCATCAAGAATACCATCCGAATCCTGATTATATGCTCTTTTGATGTTTCAGAAGCTGGATGGAGAAGTGAACTGCATGAGTTGAATTGATCAGCAGATCGGTTATGACGTCACAAAGTGCCATCGCAACAGCCGCAAAAGTAGCCACCAGTCATAGTAAAGTAATCAGGTACCTTATTGCTCAGATATGTGAGTGGTTTTTGGTCGCATCGAATTGACCGACACTACAACCTTCCCATGTAACCTCAAGATAACTTAGTTTAGAGTCTTTGTCCCCCCTCCCCCTCCCCTCCCGTCTCCCCTGCGGTCCTGCATTCCTGCAGTTCTGCACAGTCTTGCAGTCCTGCAGTCCTACATTACTCACCATTCTATCCCATCAAATCACGAGTGCTGACCTGCATCTGACCATGGAACTTACTCGCGTTTGGTGCAGAGTTTGCGTGCTGCTTACAAGCATTGTCGCCACATCTGCAACGCCTAACACACCTACCACGCCTGCCACGCGGTATATCGTGCCCCTCTACAATAGTGATAGGCGGTCTGCTTCTGTTGCTGCTCCAATTGTCGACCTTGGCTATGATCGTTACCAAGGATACTACGACTCCGAATTTGGGCTCAATGTATTCAAAGGGTGCGCTGCGACTGCTAAGAGTTTGCCTTCGACAATGTGAGAATGCCAATTGACGCAAGTTTCGCAGCATCCGATACGCTGCTCCTCCGATTGGCAAGCTACGATGGCAGGCACCTCAGACCCCAGCTCCGTCAGAGAATAACACCATCACCCAAGCCGTAGTCCAACCGCCACTTTGTCCACAATCCGGCGCTGCGCAAACCCCTGCAATATATGGCTTCAATTCGGGACCAGGTGATGAAGACTGCTTGTTCCTCAATGTTTACGCACCCCCGCATGCGAAGAACCTGCCAGTCATCTTTTGGATCCGTATGCTGACTCGCCCGATTCTCGTCCCAAGCTCTAGCCAAAAGCTAATGTTCCTTTAGATGGAGGCGGTTACGGTCTCTTTGGGGCAGTGTACGATCCTAGCCAGCTGATTAACACAAACGACAATGGTTTCATTGCAGTCATAATCCAATATAGGCTTGGCGCATTTGGATTCCTATCGTCTGAAGATGTCAAACAAAATGGCCAAGTCAATGCTGGTCTTTTGGACCAACACTTTGCTCTTCGATGGGTCCAAAATCATATTAAAAAGTTCGGCGGAGATCCCAGGAAGGTTACTCTTGCTGGTGAGTCTGCTGGTGCTGCTTCTGTCATGCTACAAGCAATGGCGTACGGGGGCAAGCAGGATGTTACGCTTTTTGACAACGTAAGATTGCATCTGCCCAATAAGCAGTACTCGATTAACTCGTTCCAAAGCTTATAGCCGCAAGTGTGTATTTGGCAAAGCAGTATCACTACAATGATCAGGTTCCAACCCAGTATTACGAAGCGTTTGCCAAAGCTGCCGGTTGCACTGCTGGCTCAAATACCACCGAGTCCTCTGTCTTTGACTGTTTAGTGAGCGCGAACACGGCCGTGCTACAAAACGCTAGTGCTACTGTGTCGCAGTCTGGAGAGTTTGGGACTTTCGCTTTCTTACCTGTCACTGACGGTAACTTCGTCCAAGCGGCGCCATCGCAGCAGTTACTTGAGAAAGCAGTGAGCGGGAAACGTCTCCTTATTGGGGTGTGTGCTATAGTTGCCAGATTCTCAGCCGACTTACCTTCTGACAAGATTCTTAGAATAATGCGAATGAAGGTGCTCCGCTGACCCCTTCAACAATTCTTACCGCGGACGACTTCCTAAATTATGTCAATACCACCTTACCCTCCCTCACCGCAGCCGATAAATCACGCCTTCTGCAGATTTATCGGTTTGACAATTCCAACACTGACCTTTCAGCACCACTGTTCGATACCCTTGGCAACAGCGGACCTACAGCTCTGAACCAATCCGAGTTCGCCACAGGTCAAAAACAGCGCGCATTCAATCTCAACAGCGAGGTCACATTTACCTGTCCTGGTTACTGGTTCGCAGAAGCGTTCTCAGGTGCCGGAAGAGAGAGCTGGAAATACCAGTATTCTGTCACTCCAGCGTACCATGGCGCTGACCTGACCGCATACTTTTCAGTTAACGCAACGACACCAACCCTAGATTTTATTTATGCTTTCCAGAAATTATGGGGCAATTTCATCATGAATAACAGTCCGGTGATTCCGATCATCGAAGCCAGCGGGAACGCTACATACGCAACAGTGCCTCGAGGCCATGGCAGTAACTTGCACTGGCCAACGTACTCGGACACGTCGAATATCCAGATGAACCTCAACACGACGGGCGGGACGGTGCAGAGCGTCTTGGTGACGCCTAGCTATTCGTATGACCTTCGTTTGGACCCGGGCGTTAGCAACGACTTTCGACTGGTCAACGCTGACACCTGGGAGGGCGGTAGAGGTTCACGATGTCAGTTTTGGAGAGAGGTCGCGCCCAGGGTGCCGCAATAGGCGAAGACCGAGAAGTAACGTGAAGAAATGAAGGAAATTTAATGAGTCCACATTGGAAATATAAACAATTTGTAACTCAGGAGGCCTAGCCTCAGACGCACGAAAAGAGGGCGGCGCTCGCCCAATCTGTTCACGCACGAGAACCTGGTGCAGCACTCGAAGTGGAGTGTGTTTCCTGACTGTCATCGCAGCCTGGTAAAAGAACCATGGAGGATTGAATCCGCAGCTGAAAGATCTTGTTAGTTGTGACCCCACTACTTGTTTCGCTCCTCCTAGTAGTGGGACCACAACTGATATCTCATCATACCCAGTTCTACTGAGCTGGTGAAATGTTTCGTCGAAACCAACACCCTGCAATGGCACTCGCCTTGCCATTATAGACATGAACAGCAGTACGGGAGGAACGAAACAAGCATTGAGTCTTTGGGGCCGGCGGGGGATTTTTCGCGTTGGGAGTCGATCATCTATCTCATCGGACACTGCGGCAATGCGTGCAAGTGTCCCGTCCGGACTGAAGTCTAGAAGGCTCTGTGTATGTATGTATGTATGCAGCCTGCCTGGTCCTCCTTTCTATCGTATCACGCATGCAGAGGCTCCAACCGAAATATCGTCCGTGTTCCTGCGTGACGCTGCCTCGGGTAAATACAAATCAACCCCAAAACCTGGATCCTTACAAAAACCCCAAAATTTCAACCCCAATGGGGTAGAATCGTAATGCCATTCCTTGGGGTAGAAAATAATTTACCATAGTGCGCTGAGGTTAGGCTTCGGGGTTGGAAATCAGGCCGGACCGGCCCCGGGAGCCCCGAACGAAGACCCTAGGGTTCGCCGTAACCGTCGAAATCTCGCTCCGGGGCTGAGGCGAGCTCTTATATACCCAACTCACCCCAATCCGCGATAAATTTAGGGTTCAATTTTCTAGGGGCTTTTAAGGCTCCGGGCTTCTTTAGGGACGTTAAGTGCCGGGCACTAAAACGTAGTCTAATAATTACAAATTCATACCCAAAAAATGAAATACATTTCATACCCCAAGATTTGGTGGAGGGGTAGAAAATTAATTAGGGAAATTGTAAGGATCAAGGTTTTGGGGTAAATTGTAATTTACCCCCTGCCTCGGCTTGGGTTTGAATCATCGCGTCGCCATGTTTCAAACCCGCCTTCCAAGAAGAGCTCCTGTCTATCGGCCTGCGCTCCGATCCTCGACGGAGCATCGATGGCAGGGTTTCTTTGCGACACCCTAAAGTCCGATGATTGGCCAGTCTACTTTTGTTTGCATTAGCGTCCATGGTTGTGGGTAAGCCGGTCGGTTACGGTGTGTGCCGCCACTTCCCATCTATTGGCCCTTTCTGTAGAGGTGCGTCCAATACCTGCCCTGTTCTTTCACTCGATTGGACAGTACACTTCTGTTCAGCGTGTAGAATGAGACTAGGAGCCAAATAAGACGCGGGATGTGATGTTGGATGATCTACGACTAAGCCTTAGCTTCCGAGGCTTCAGACGCCACGACTGCTAAAGCCGCTTCCCGCGCTTTCGCCTTGGACTCGGAAGTCTAAAGTATCCTCTCTCGTCTCTCTATGGTCAGTCTTCTTTTGCTCGCCTTGGCGTCTCACCCACCGCTTCATACGTATCACTCTACCTACCCTTTCAATATTGCACCTCCGTCTCCTTTTACCATGGCTTGTTCAATGTGGCCAGATCAATGGACACGTGTCCGAGGACCCTGCTCTCCCAGCCTCAGGGCCATATGCAAATATGCGGATATTCCTATTTTCTTTCTCATACTCAACAGCCTTCTCCTTATATTTCACCAGCTCAATCGTATCAACCTCGACGTTGCTAGTCGTTGTTCACTATGGATCTGGTGGATCCACAATGTCTTCCCCTTTCGCTTCTTGGTGTCCCATTCGATCGGAAATGGGAGCTTCTCAACCCTACCGTCGAGCGTCTGTACATTCATGAGAACTGGAGCCTATCCAACGTCATCAAAGCTATCAATGATCAGTACGCATTCGACGCAGCGTGAGTCTCACCTGCATACACCCTTTGCTGATCGCGCCTTCAGAGCCGAATGTTGATTCCTCTCTTCTGTATCTAGTGAGTCCCAGTATAAATATTAGGTAACCAAGAAGTGGAAGTTGAAGAAGAATGTCTCGATTTCGGAGAAGGCCGCGTTGTTTCAAGTCATCTAAACAAGGGTATAGCTGGGCGCATCGTCCGCTATCACACGCGGAGTGCAAAAATTTGACACCAAGAACCTACGGAGATATGTCAGGACTGAGAGAAGAAGGGCGATCATACTACAACCAGACGCAGGCGGAGCGGTCGGAGTTATTAGCTCCTTCTCTGGACATATCACTCAGAGTGGTAATAATAGGTAAAGGCTCTTGAGCCCAGCAGCCGTCTGGAGCGGTCGGAGATGTTAGCTCCTTCTCTGGACATATCGCTCAGAGTGGTAATAATATGTAAAGGCTCTTGAGCCCAGCAGCAGCTTCTGACCCACTCATTGTTGGCCAGATTTATGAATTGGAATATGTCTTACGGTACTATGAGATCTTCAGCAGCCAGAGCTGCGGATCACGTCTTATCACTCAGTGACGTTGTAGTCACTGCTCCACAGTTCCCGCATGGAGCGCCGTCTCCCATGGCTGTGGCTGTCACAGAAACGACTGCTATTGGTAGAGCGCGGCTCTTCGTACAAGGAAGACACATGGAGCTGCTTAAATCAATGGAAAAACTATAGAGGGTGTAGGTAATCTATCCAGTACTGGTGCCGGCGCTCCTGACCGCATGTATAGCAACATGTCGACTTGGATGTATTAGTATTGGCTCTTCGCCTTTAAAACAACAAAGCTCTCGGGCCGGGGTCCTCAAGTTTGGACTGCTGATATTCCTGGCTTCAATGACTACCGTCAACGAGAATCTATCTCAATCTCTTCGCCGGACACACCGGGAGTGAGTATGGGTACTACAGCATCCCAGCCGGCTCCGAGAGAGGACGAGACCATTGATGCCACCCTGGTAAGCTCCGTGAGGATGCTGTCGTCTCTTTGTCGGTGGAGCATTCACTACGATCCCTACGGCTTGCCAATCTCTTCCCCACCACGTTCCCCACCACGTTTCCCAACAGAGAATCTCAACTTCAACGACGAGAAAAGTTGGCCAACGTGGCCTGGCTTTTGTGACTCCAAACAGTTCACTGGTAAGCTCAGCGATAACCTCGAAAGCAACGGTTTTAGCAACCTCAGCCTCGATGGTTTGCCGATAGCAGTGGATCTAAAGGCCAGAGCGACACGAGGCTCACCTAAAGAGCTTCTCAAAGAGGCTCTTGGCTTCAGCATCATGAGTCGAAATGTGAACTTAGTAATTGGCCTCCTTGAAGAAATTGGGGAGAACGTTGACATCACCGGGCTCTACTCGCTTCACCTCGCCATCAGATACCTAGACGGGTCAAAGACATGCTGCAATGTTCTCGACGCTCTCGATCATCCGCGCGCTCTCAAAATTATGTCAATGACCTGGGCCATCCAGTTCTAGATCAACTCATGATTAGCATACTCAAAGCTCACACGTCTTGCTTGCCCAGTGTAGTTGACGTCATTTTCAAGGAAGACAAACGTTTTGAGGGAGAAGACGTGGATATCTGCGGTCGATGGAACGCTGACTCTGATTGCGTTCGCACGCTTTTGGCGAACGGTCCTTCGGGCATACCATTTCAATGGAAGCACATGGTCTGTCACACCTCGGTTCAGACCAGTTGTCATTGCTTAGGAACCGTCTTCGGGCACGGGCCTCGCTGGAGGCCAGACATCAACGTACCAAGTGTGCTGTTACTGAGACGTTGCTCGCATTATGGACTTAAGCTGCAGCTTTTACCCCTACATACCTTGACTTTGGTTGGACTGCATCTTTCTCGCTCTGGTTGCAAAAACGAAACTCCGTTTGGCATCCTCGCCTGTCTGCTCTGCCTCTTGAGTTATGGAGCAAATCCCCTGCTAAAGGCAAATGTCTCTGCGCAGGCTCTTCCGGGCAATGAAGATGTTGACGAATGCAGCCACGAGGAAATGGACCCTGTTGAGCTCGCGATGAAGGTGCCGGCTAGCTTGAGTTCGATGTGGTCTAGGGAGCTGAGTACAGGTTGGCAGGTCCTCACTATTGTTCTCAGGCACTCACAAGCAGAATGGAAAGCCAGACCTTCTAGGCGACGGTCCATCTCAAACGAAAGGGAGGATGAGAATGAGTTCAGTACCTTCAATGAATACCGCGAAGACCAGACGAGCGCAGGTGAAGAAGCAAGTCGTGAACCCCACCTGCCCTACTGTCCTGACAGTCCTGACCACGAGAATTTCTTTGGCGGGAACAAAGTTCTCGCACCCCTTCAGGCCGCTGTACAAACAGAGTTACTAACTTACAGACGTCTGGAGGAGGGAGATGAATGGGATTTCACAAGACTTCAATATGCGTACCCTAAATGAGGGTCTCATCGGTAGGGGCAAGGTTGACATTCCACTCGTGCAAAAGGGTATGATGAAAGCATTCTGCGTTTGCGGCAATTTCCCAGAAGCTTGCCCAGCATGCCCGATTGAGGAGAATGTGGCCGCTTACTATTTCTCGAAATTGGAGGATTGGCATCGGTCTACTTTTCTTAGAAGTCCAGATCTGCGTTTCGAATCGTGGTACTATGGATAGAAGACTACTGGGCTCGCGACCGGAACTGCCTCAGATGCTGCTTTGTGAAACAAGAATAGTATAAATCCTGTTAGACAAGCCTTTGTAGTATGATGCGGTCCACATTGATCTACGGGCCAACCATCTGAGGGTGCCCATTACATCGTATTTCTCCGTCTGCCTTTATAGTGAGGAGACAATTTGCTAGATAATGGCAGCTTCCTCGCCAATACTCCTGTTATCCTTGGCCGCAACCGTTCGTTCCCATCTCCCTCGTCGCGTCGCTCTCCACTGCCGCTCCCCTCTCCTTCGTCTCCCCACTCAAATGTTCGCTCGGCTTCTTTGTATTTGCCTTGCCTCCTCAATGTGTTCGCCAGATTCACCATACTCAACAACGTATCAGGATGCTCTTTGCCGGATACCTTTTCTCTCAGCATCAATGCCTGTCGGCCCATCCGCTCGGCCTCGTCGTATTTACCTTGCCTCATCAACAGGTACACCAGATTCTTCATACCCAACAACGCATCAGGATGCTCTTTGCCTGATACCTTTTCTCTCAGCATCAATACCTGTCGATATAACCGCTCGGCCTCGTCGTATTTGTCGTTGCCCCATCAACGAGCATGCCACATTCTCCATACTCAACAACGTGTCAGGATGCTCTTTGCCGTTTACCGTGTCTCCCATCATCAATGCCTGTCGGCCCATCCGCTCGGCCTCTTCGTATTTGTTTTGGTACATTAAAAGCACGGCCAAATTGTTCATGCTCTCCAATGTTTCAGGATGTTCATTACCCAATACAATGTTTTGCATCATCAATGTCTGTCGACCCACCCGCTCGGCCTCGTCGTAACTTTCTTGGAGAATCAATAATCTCACTAGGTTACTCATAGTAGTCAATGTATTAGGATGTTCTTTGCCGAGTACGATTTCCCTCGTCATCAATACCGATCGATCAATTTGTTCGGCTTCATCGTACTTCTTTTGGTTCCGCAATACAACCGCAAGGTTGGTCATAGTTCGTAATGTAAGAGGATGTTCTTTGCCCAATACCGTTCCTTGCGTCAGCAATGTCGAGCGGAAAAGTTCTTCGGCCTCCTCATATTTCTTTCGATTGCCCAGTATGTCGGCCAACATGCTTATGCTTGACAAGGTATCAGGATGCTGACTTCCCAACTCCGTTTCTCGTAACTTTATTGTTTGTCGACATAGTGATTCTGCTTCTTCAAGTTTGCGCCGTTCACTCAATAACGATGCCAGGTCGTGCATACTTATCAAGGTATCAACATGATTCTCCCCCAGTACCTTCTTCCTCAGCCTCAAGGTTTGTCGGTGTATTGAGTCAGCCTCTTCGTACTTGCCATTAATTTTCAAGGTCATCGCTAGATTGCTCATGTGCACTAGCGTCAAAGGATGCTCTTCGCTTACTTTACTCTTAAGAGTCTCTACCAAACGGCGAAATAGGGATTCAGTTGTACGATATCGCCCTTGATGCGCATAGAAACTTGCAAACCAGCTTGCCGCTTTGCGATTTGCAACATTACAACCAAGTCTGTCTTGCGGCTCCAAGATTTCTTCATCGTTTGACAAGGACACATCCATGTGCGTTATCAGCGCTGTCCTTTCCTCCAAACTAGTCGAGCGAATCCCGTATGCCTTCGCACAGCATGCTAAGACCTCGATCGCTTCCTGCGTATACTTTTGGCGCTCCTTTCCTTTCAATCGGAGCTGCAACCAGTCTCGGATAAGCGGATGCAAGGAAAAACTTGCTCCCTGCTGGCCTGTTCCTGGGGAGACGCTTTGCAGCAGAGACAGTTCGGCCGACTTGTCGACAATGTCCCAGTATCGATCAGAATCCCACGTACCATGAGTTCCACCGCCGGAAGACAGCATGCCCGACTTCTCGTCCTCCTCGTCCCCCTCGTCCCCATCGGCCAGGCTGAATTTCTGTATCCATTCTACTTTACCGCCATATCTTTCGTGATAGTAGCGGAAAAGAGACTCAGTGATTGAAGTAGGAGCGAAAAAAGCAGACAATGTCAGGAAATGTGCCTCAACTTTCTTCCACGGCTCGTCTCCTGACCCTAGTTGCTGAAAGGACATTTCCCATGTAGTGAAGGCGCTGATATGTTCCGCTTGTCCTTGACTCTGCATCTTCCGATACTCCCAAAACTTTTTCGGAGTATAGGAGAGAATTCGACGTCGCTCGGCCTCGTACGTGGTCAGGAAATCTCCTAATCGATCTAGCGGCATCCTTTTGTACTTGATGTACGCGGCTGCCTGATCGATAGCAAGAGCGAGTTGACCCAGGCGGTTGACGATTCTCAACGCCGCGTCGTGGTGTGCTTGTTGTATGTCATTAACGTCGTACCCACGCAGTAAAAGCCTTACGCCCTCGTCCGCCGCCATCGGTGGGATTTCAAGAAGCGTGCCGAGTCGACTGAGATCTCGATTACGGCTGGTAAAAAGGACATGACCGTGCCCCTCTAGCCTTGAGGTCAGCAACGCCTCGACCATCAACAACGGAAAACCGCCTACTGGTTGGAATGAATTGCCTGATTGCAGGGAGTCGCTCAGGCTCATCGTAGTTATCAAACACCAATAACCACGCTTCACTCCACTGTTCTAGACGTTCTTTGACCACCTTGATCAAAGCGGCGCTATCATCTGTCCCGTGTAATGATCCTCCCGGCAGTTCGGCCGCAATCGTAGCGTATGATTGCGTGACCGTCATCTCAGAATTGGCGTTGATCCAGAAGACACCACGGTACGTTTCTCGCCACCTTCGACAGTACTCCAACGCAATCTGGCTTTTACCTTGCCCTCCAAGGGCGTGGAGGATCAAACATGGCGGTGGTCCTGTTTGGTCGCGGGAGAAATGCGACCAAATTTGGTCAAGCAGACTATCACGGCCAATAAAATCCTTGACTCGTTCTCGAGATACTAAAAAGTACTTGTCCTGATTAGACGCCGTCCCTTTTTGCAGATTTGCAGTCAGCCAAAAGCAATCAGACAACTCGCTTTATTTCCACTGACCTTTTCGACGGCTTCGAAAGATTTCGGGCGCTGCTGCCGCTATTCTGCACAGGTTCGAGGACACAGACATGTAGTTCCCGTCCTGTGGACTTGCGAACTTGTTCAACTTCAAATGGTCCGAATCCAAGACGATGGAATAGAATCCGGACAACACCGCCGACGTCTCTTCAACAACCTTGCTGTCGTTAGTGATTGTTCTGATGCCTAGAAAGCCAATCTATTATTCTCACCACGGATGACGTTTGTCTCTGAAGCCACGGTCCGGTCTTGATCACCCGCGACAAATAGTTCGTCGGATGATTCTCGTAGAAGCATATGACAGCTGTCTTCGCCAGGTCAATGCTGATCATGATTTTCTTGAATTCAGAGATTAGGTCGAATATTTTCATCGACTTCTCATCCACCTCTTCCATCAGTCCGGTCTCACCATAGTCGATTAAACGGGCCAGATTTGCCAGGATCGAGCCCCACTTTTGAGACTTTGATCCCTGGTGAGGGGTTCCAAGAAGGACGACGCCGCCAATAAGCTTAATGAGATACTCATACCTACCCCCCGCAGAGTTTGCTTGGACTACCGCTTGCTCGATCACCAGTCCACCGAAGGAATGGCCAATAAAGATGAGTGGTCGATCTGACACAGTGCCACTCTGCAGTCACGATTAGTAAGTATCGCATAGAAGAGTCCTTCATGGATATGACTTACCTTGCCTCTGCCATTGTGGACATCATCCAGCAACCTCCCTGCGAGACCTTCCAGTCGGTTCCTGCTCAGCTGCGGTCCAAGCCACGCAGACTGATAGTTGAAACAGAAGATGCGAGCACTGATACTGGGTTCAAAATCACGGAATGTCTGCGGTAGCAGATCCGTGAGCCATCGCACATCTTTATCGGGTCCCGCAGTCGTATTTTTATGCCGCACCCAAGCGTGGTCAGGATTCGCGCCAAGACCATGAACGGCGATAATGCTGGATTACACGCATCAGCAAGATAAGCGCTACCGCCTAACGTGAAGAGGCACCAACTCCACAACAACTCCCCCCTGTCTAGCTTCGCTAGTGTGATCACTAAGAAGGTGCAAGCCCCATGGCTGCAAGCAGAGTCAGTATACTGTTGCTGTGCCATGTCGCTCATCTACTGCACTCACCATTTGGACAATAGGCTTATCGTGGGAAGTCGATTGCGAGTCCGCCATTGCGATCTGCTCAGCCAGCCTTGTCAACTTCGCTTACCTGATCACTTACTCATTATGACATACTTACTGGGATCTACGATAGATCAAGCCTTAAGAAGCTTTTAGAAAGCGTGAGCTCCCTTCCATCGATTTGCGAGACAACATGGAGGATGTATTACTGCATCAATGAGCTGTCATCTACCCCGCTTTCCAGCTGAGCCAGCTCTGCGTAATGCTAACTACTCTGGGACTAGGTCGAAATTGTGGGATGCCAGCCTCGTCAGCATATTGACAGCTCAGGGTTGGACTCGGACTCGGACATGATCTAGCCGAGCGACGAAAAATGGGCATCATTCTCGGGCAGAGGCGCAGACTCTGATGAGTTGGCCACCTACACCTACTGCTTTGCCACTTCCCACGGGCATTATCCTATATATCCCAGAGCTACGCCGTGACCCCTTTTCCTTTCCTTCGCCTGTGGCACAGCAATGAGTTTTCTCACCCTATCCAATGCGCTATTCTCCCGTAACTGTAGCAGGATACCTAGTGATTGTAAGGTCGAAGTGTCACATTATTGAAAACGGTCGGAAAGCCTTGTCGCGTGGCATACCGTTTCTCGACCGCATAGTTGAGGTTGAAGATGATGAGCATCAGAAGCACAAGAAGTACACCAAACAGAATTCCCAACGGCGCCATTATAGAGAAGACGGTGAAGCCATAAGATGCTCGATTGAACAAGGTACTGGTTTGTAGCTCGGTCGTGCTGAGACCGACTTGCATGGCTGTCAGAACAATTGTGATGTAGACGATAACAGTCAGGACCCAAGCAAAATTTTGTTCTATAAAGCTTGAATAGGTATGATAGCCGTAGAAGTGACCCCTAACGAACGTCTCAAAGTTTCTGGTATTACGGCAAAGACGGTAGATCAGGTTGACTCGTCCGAGACGAAGTTCGCCGTATAGATATCGAGGACTAATACCCTGGAACGTATCAGATACGATGTTTGGAAAGACAGCCGTGCTGAAAGAGATCCAATGCTCCCAGGTAAGATCGTTGCTGACTAGGTTGTTGCGTTGGGCAATCACCAAATCACTCTTTTGGCGAATCAGCCAGAGGTAGGACAACAGAAAGCCTTTGGCATTTTCTGAGAGACACCAATCTTTCAGTAGGGTCCCTTCCCAAATATCGTAGCTCAGCAGATAGTCTGGCAAGGGTTTGAGGTAGAGACGCTCATCTTGCCATAGCAGGTGCAGGTCTGCTCGTTCCGTGATGATTATCTTCCGATCGATCATAAGCTGATGGTGCAGTGGTCGTGCGCATTGAGGGAGCCCAGCAAACCAGAGATGCTTGTGGACCCTGTTCAGACCGTCGACATCCAGATCGCCTCTCAGATATCTCCGCAGATCCTCTTCCTTCATAGGGTTGATTAGACTTAGCATGTGATCCTGACCTTGATGAACCACAGGCAGGACCAATCTCCCAAGACTACCGCTGCCTAGCTGGCCGGATCCAGAGGGTGACGATGTGGTAGCCGATGAGGTCGCTGTGGTAGAAAAGAGCTCGTGCCTTTGTTCAAATGGAACCGGCACCATAGTTGCATGTTCTTCGCTCATCCGAGGAAAGGCGACGACAGAGAGGATACTTAGACACAGCAACTTCTCCCCACAGTATTGATTGAGGGAATGCTTGATTGATTGCTCATATGAGCTCAACTTGGCAGAACAAGGCTGCACAAGATAAGTTCGTGAGCGCGCGACGACGTCGCCGTGGATAAGCGCGCGTAAGCGGCCGCGACGTAGGCTTCTATTTAAGGTCTCACTAGTAGTGCAAGCGATATTAAGCGACCGAATGATTGATTGTGACGAGCTAGCTGCTGATTTTGGTTCCCGAGTGATGGGTGTCCTACTATTCACGCTACATGTATTGGAGAAGACTCTCTTTCTGATGTCCTAGGCACAGGGACTGCAGATCAGTCTCAAGCAGCTCACGCTGGCTGGTTTTCCCGAGTCGCTATTGGGATAGACAGTACCCTGTGCAGAGAAGGCTTCATCACCACGGTCTGTGCGAAAATCTTCGACTTAATGTTACTGGTCTGGAGGGAAAACTTGCCCTGGGACTTTAAGGGTTACTAAATTGCCTTATCGGCTGTGGGATCAAAGGCTGTAGAGTCTAGTGTCAGGTATCGTTGTAGGATTTCATACTCTCTACGCAGTGGGAAGATATGAAGCTTCTCTGCATACGCGACGTGACCAACCCAGCCTTCTCCACCTCCCTAACACTTTCGCCAAGCTATCGTTCAGGAATGAACGCCCCCGCCTTGGGAAGCACAGATTCATCGCTGTGATACACGTTTTCATTGTGCGAGATCACGGCGCCGGGGGCGATGAATGTGTCGCCTACCGTAGCTCCTACAGCACTTTCACAGAGAAAGAGGCCACCGAGGGATACTTACCTACGAATGCTAGAGCATATTCGCCATCCACATCAATGGGATCGCAATCTAGCGGATAATCTAAAATCCACGTATGACACGCTGCGCAATCGCAGTCGGCTTAAAAGTGGCTGAGGATTGGTACAATGGCTTCAGGTAAGAAGATGGTGCAGTCAAGGTTCATATTGAAGGGGGTGTAAAAGTCTCGTCGGATTCGCTAGGGTTTATGCTTTAGAGAAAGTGTTCTGGACAGATAGTGGATGCAGGACATGATGATGAGTGGGTATTCATGAGACGAGGAGACAGGTGGAATTTTGCTATGAACCCCAACTCTATATGGCTAAGTTTCAAGGTGACGCGCAAAGCAACGCCTCGCCGAGCTGTGAAAGCAGTCAGTACACACCACGTTACACAATGCTTGCTCCAACAGACATGACTCACGGCATCGATATCACAGCACTGAGCCTCGAGTCCCAGAGAGGCGCAGAGGCTTACAAAGTCCGCGACACTAGTAGTGTTCATGGGAGCTATAATTACAAATCAATCAGCTACCTCCTTTTTGGAAAAGGTATAGAGCTGGAGAAAGACAGGGGCAACGTACGGGCGTCGCATTGTAGATCAGCAATACCGAGCACATCGAGGGCGCAGCATTGAGGCTCGCTCTCGAGGCCGGAACAGAGTGTTGCTCGCTTGGTTTCGCTTGTGGAGGCGGGGACCGCAACGGTGATAAAAGCGCCCAAGATGGCGGTGGTGATGATGGTAGGGAAGTACATGGTGCGTAGTCGAGGTCTATTGTCACTGGTTCAGTGTTTGTGGAGGTCTGGTATGTGAGTTCGAAGCGGACCGAAAAAATGAAATTTATGGAGATCTCGTGGTGTGTAACAGGCGTTGGCTGAGGGTACGGAGCAACTCGGCTTCGGATTATCGGCAAGTCAGTGTCGTAAAGAAGGTATTTCCCATTTCGCAGAAGCCTAGATGAAACGCATCTTTCGGAAAGAGACAGAAGCCAATCACTATTGTATGTTCCAGTACTACCAGGAGTCAAATCCAACACGGTAAAGTGATCCGCTCGGGCACAACGGAATGCTCTCCAGTGAACCAGACAGAAAGAAAGAGACTATAGCAAAAGGTCTTTGCATGGACTTCATCCAATAGGGTACCAATCCACTAGAGAGGCAGCCCGGGCCGTGACCTGGTGTTTGTAACCCTCAGGCCCCAACCGGTATGCCAGACTCCAATACTGGGGGAAAAATGCGCACAATGACGTGCCCAAAATTCGATTTGGTAAGGGGTAGGGTATAATCAGGCGAGATGCAGTAAGACGGATGAAAAGACTTGGCGCTGATCCCATACTCTAGAGCTGCTCGAATCCTGAAACGCACGAAAGCGTATCGTCAATTAGCTCACCCACGGAAAACAAGGTTCCCTGAGACGCACCAGAAAACATATGCAATGCAGGTATCGGGCGCAAGCTTACTATTTTGCTTAACAAACGTTGGTAGCCTTACAGCCTTGTGAAATGATCCTCCAAGGATGAGCCGGCGTGCGGAGGCAGCTATGCGAAGCTCTCCCTTATTCGTGGCAATCCTCATTCCAGCCTCATTCCGCTGTAACGTGGGCTTCGAGCAGAGTGGGACATCTAGGTCGGACTTGTCGGTCTAGTCTGTTGTCTGTTACACATAGCTGGGTTTACTGTTCTTTGCACATGATTGGACCGTTGAAGTTCTGCGAAGTCATTGGCGATCGTTCGTGTACTGAGGGGTGGTTGGAGGCAGTGTCTCTGTTACCGCTATCTTCGCACCTGCTCGCACTTATGCGAAGGCTTCTCATCGTCGAGCATGAAGGATGGTATGAGTGCTACTAGCCCTGTTGCCAGGAGTTAGGTTGCTGCATTGTTTTCCGGAATTATTCCTCGTACCCTCAGCATGAATTCTGTTCCTTCTTTCAAGAGCTTTGTTTTGCTGAAAGGAGCTACCCCGCATGGCAACTGCCCCTAGAGTTCGCCCATCTCGAAACAAAGGATTGCTCAGTGCGGCCACTTTCCATTGAACCATTTCAAAGCATGAGAATTGCTTGTCCCTTCAACTAAGGCATTGCTTTGCAGACCTTTGTAAACCCCAGAGTACGTATATATTGTCGATGCTTCCAAACCGCACAGGTCATCTCCTTCCCTCAATCACAAATAGTTACAAAGAGACCCAATTATTTTCCATTCATCCACAAAAGGCACTTGTCAGACAGCTCTACACATCTCATTCACACCACTAAGAGTTCAATCGCAAAAGTGAGCCGCAATGTCCAGCCCACAGGCTGCGGTTCCCCTGCCCAGGAATCCAACAACAATCGCAGACCTGCCTCCCGAGCTCATCACGTCGATCTACAAGCACCTCGACAAACCCTCCTCGATCACCGCACTCAACAGCACCTGCCGCAAACACTACCTGATCTGGCAACTCAACGCAGCCTCCATTTCCAGCGCAGTCATCTACGACAGAATCTCCGGTATCTCCACCGCCATGGAGCTGCTAGATATCCAAGACAGGATCCGCGGCGTCGACCTTAGCATAAGAAATCCAGCCACCGGTCGCGTTCTGGAAATCCAACAAGAGGCCCGAGACGCGGTCTTGAGAGACCAAAAGAGCGGCTATCGAGGTGCCGCCTACAGCAACGGCGATTACCGTGCGATCCTTGTCCGGAACAAGGCGCTCATCTCCAACGCGAAGAAAGCCGACCATGCCGGCACATTGTCCACGCGGGGCGCATCCCCCGACCGCATCGTGTCGCCCGATGATGCTCGGGTGCCGCCACGCGAGGAGTTCATCTCCGCTTTCTATCGCGTCTGGATGTTCGCAACTTTATACTTAGGAGAAGCCATGAGGGCCCGATTGGGTTCGATGGAGGTGACTCAGCTCGAAGACATGATGGCCGTGGTACAGTTCTTGGTCTACGACTGCCCCGTTGATGACAAGGTTTACCTGGGTGTCTCCAGACGCTGGAAGCCGCGCCCTATTGAGTTCGGTTATGGAACGGAACCAGACAAGTGTAATTTTGATTGGGGTTGGATGGGGGCTTTCTTCAGTATTAGTGGCGCGTATGGGGGTTTGGCCGGTGCGCACATGATTGTAGCCATCGGCCACAGTGTAACTGGGGATTAGTGGGTCGCATGTTATGCCCCTATTCCATGCCCTTGTCAGTACCCCTGTCAATGAGTAGGAGACATATGTCTACTACCAGCTATGTAGATACCTATTCTGTATCTGCAAGTGGCTTTTCATTCGATTTAATCTCCTTCAGAGCCATTACATACTTCTTATCCCACTCACCCCCACTCACACAGTCATTTCACTTCAGATCTATACCATAAGCATGGGAGTTTTCTTACACTGAGGTTCAAGAATATGCCTATTCAGGCCTCTATTTTAGACTATCCAGACTTGCTATTCCCAGCGTAAGACGGCCTAACCACTGGATTTACAGCTTATGTGTGCTCTGTTTGTCCATGTGATGCGTGTTTGGCATGAATGGGACAACTATTCTTTTACCAATACCCAGTCTTGTAACGTAAGTCTGCTTTCTCTAGAACTGCCAGTTGAGCGGCCCTGCAATTGCTAGCCACCATCGCTGATCAGTGCGCCATTTTTCCACCGGCAGCCTGTTCAAGCCGTTCAGCCAGGGACCTTCTCGGGTGAAACTTGATGCAACCGTAACCCCGGTCGACATATTCGATTAAAGGCCACCTATAGTGGACAGTGCTAGGTCCAAGACTTGGCCCCAAGACAGCCCCCAGCTTCCTCAGATCCGATTTGAATTTCAGCACTATGATCAGTAGAGTATCAAGTCCGACCAGAGTTTTGACCGCGTCCAAAAACGGCAATCGAAGGAGCGGAGAGATGAATGAAATGTCGTCTTTGATGGTGATTCTGCAGGATTCACGTCTGACGGAAAGACCGTTCCAAACGCGGAGAACTTCGCAGACCTGTCCGCTAATGCCGTGGATCTCGTGATCGTGCCATCCGACTCGGAATCTTTCCCAGTGGAAGTGTTCAAGATCGATATAGATTTCGATATGTGTCATGAGCTCTGCTAGCTCAAGGTCCATAGATTGGGTTTTAGTGTCCGAACCCGGAAACGAGAATCTGAACGTGTTGTTGGGGCAGAGAGTCTCTAGCATCTCGTATTGCACGGTCTTGGAGGTGTTGATGATGCCGAGGTCGGGCGCGAGAGTGGAAAAGGCTTTTGCAAGTGCGACGGTGTTTGCGGAGGTGATGGTGTAAGTCTTCTCTCTTGGCGGTGAGGAATGTGTAGATGAGATCCCGTATCTCGCGAGGGAATGCGAAGAAGGCCATGGTTGTACCGTCGGTCGCCATAGGTAATGGTGGTAGTTCAAGCTGGAGGCAATGAAGGGATGTCAAAAGAAAGTGAGGTACCTTGCTCATATGTAGAAAGATTCTTGCGGACGCTAAAGGTTAGCGGGCCGCTAGTGAGGGCTGGTGGAGAAGAAGTGTGAGCAGCGTCTTTGTCTGTCTGTGTTTGTGAGTGTGCGTTGGGAATGTTCAAGCTTACGGGATTTCAAAACCTCCTGGGTTGGTACCCTGCAGTCATCATACCCTTTCACCTCACAGCATAGACTTGTGTTGCCCTCTGGCTTCAAAATAGAGGAAGTCAAGAGGACATTGGTGGGACCAGCCGCAAAATCATGATTCACGGCTACAAACCCACACATCTGCTTGATTGTATCCAAGAGTCTTACTGTTTCCGCCTCGATGAAGGCTAAAAGTACCGATTCATACATGCTATCCATCTTCAAACGTACCCACTGCTGCAACACCCGACGACCAATGTTCAAAGTCGTACGCTCAGGAGATTAACGACGGACGAGTGGATAAAAATGGTGCTATGGGTTCAAGAACATCAAAATGCCGCGTTCCTTTATCATCTAGGGAAGTAACAAGAACATGACATTGATCAAAGAACCGAGAAGATGCCGATGGAATGTAAGAGACTTGATTCTGTGCCGCTTCAACCTCAACTTTCATGCCTACCTCTCCAATGTTCCAGCTGGTTCTAACATCTACCCCCAACCTGACATATCAAGCCCGCTTCCACCATCCGCTTGCCAACTGCCAAGTCCTCCCTCACCAATGGCTTCGCCAAAAGATCTCAGCACTCCTCAGTGCCCCGCAGAACAACACGCCTGGCTCCTCATCTACCAGAAACGCCTAGGTAGGGGAACCCCGCTCGCAAAAGCTCTCAACAGACAGTTCCCCGAACGCGAGCATAACAACATCTTCATTCACGCAAGCCGCGTACGTGATGCTAAAGGCGACGTTCAGGCGCAGCTGCAGGATCTAGCGGAACAATGCCCATGGTATGAAAAGCCGCTGGAAGAGGGAGAACCGGGCTATGCGCTCATGAAGAATTTGGAGAAGGAGCAGAAGGCAAGAGACAGGAAGGAGCAGAAGCAGAAGCGGCGGGAACGAGAGCAACAGCAACCGGGGAAAGTAGAGCCCTTCAGCAACTCTTAAACCAAGCGAAGCGAGCTAAGAGTTCAAAGGGTAGAGGCCCAGGGAGATGGCCGAACGAGCGACGGTAACAGGGATGAGGCGGGGCAAAGTCATGGGAGTTGATTCATCCAAGCGACTGTCTGCGTTTTGAAAGAGGGCTGGCAAATGAGAGCTGTCTAGCAACTGAATCACGACCGCGAAGAACATTTGTATTGTGTATCATTCCTATTCCCTGTCTCGTCGTTTTCAGTCAAGGCGATAACAAGTGCTAATACATCCAAAGGTTTGAACCCCTGGGCAGCCATTTTTGCTGTTGTAGCTAGCCGATCCTTTGTTGCTCATGTTGTATATGCTTCCGTAGGGCTGTAGTATTCTTCTTATCTCCACGAAGCGCACGGAATTGTAGACCAAATCAGGAAACATACGTGTTCTTTTCAATGATGAAGAAAAGTCCGTCCTGATCTACCATGTCAGCTTCTGTCGCGATCACCACGACTCGTTGAAAGACTCAGTGAGCATTTCGCTTGTGAGAATTTTCCCCCTGGTGCCCCCCCATCGCCGTTGTAGGCGCCGGCAGTTTCGTTCGCAGAGAATCGAACAACTTCTTATCACCACTAATCAGCGTAGCGGCGCCGGTCATGGCTACAGCTGGTATCAAGCTCTCGAGTCAAACGAACTTCCACCCACACAAGTCTTCAGTACCTGTCCTCAGTAACCCAAAAAGGCCTGATGAGGCGCGTGGGTGGCTAGCGGCCTATTGCCTGCGCATGGCTAAGGACGATGAGCGGATTAAAGGCTTCAACAAGCACCTTTCCCGTCGGGAAGACAACGACGTCAAGAACCGAGTAACCCGTATCCGAAACGCCCACCCCGCTTTGCAAGAGAAGCTGGATTGTCGGGCTATGCCATCAATCTGGTGGGAAGGTCCGCCAAAGCGGGACGGCAAAAGAAGCGCAGTCGACTCCAGAGTGGCAAAGCCGGATTCCGGGCATGTCGGGTATATAACGGAGAAAGCGGAGATCAAGCGCAACAACACTGGAAAGAACGGAGTGTATCTTGATGTCTAAGACACACTCAGATTGTCATTGCTGCCATGCTGAGAGGATGAGCTGATGACCAATTGATAGATTTCATCCTCAGCACCTCGTTTGTTGTCTTGGCACAGCCTACTAACAGCAATAACAGAGACAACAATGCTGTTACCAACACCATTACCAAGCTGCCAGCCATGACAAACGACAATCTGGAGAGCCAATGACTGCTTCGAATCTCAATCCTTGTAGATCAGCAGCAGCTGGTTCCGGCGCCAAGCACGCGGCCCTTCTGGTGCCCAACGTTGTTCAAATCGTGTCTGCTTCGGCTTCGAGCTTCAGCCAGCCAGCAGCCTTTTCAGCTTCCACTAATTTCCTCGGCGAGAAGACCATCTGTAGGTATTTTCAAGGTGGACTCGGAGTCCGGAAGCATTCGATTGGCAATTGGATTGACGTATTCCAAGAAGGTCCGAAATGCCTTGTTCCTGACTTGCTTGAAAGAAATACCCTGGCTCATGATCCATTGAAGATATAGATATTCCAGGGTAGTTTTATTGAGAGTAGTGCCCGTCTGTTCCTCTCTTTCTTCTCTCAGCTCCCTCATTTCCTTCGGTTCCTCTTTTCTTCTTTCTTCGGCCCTGGTATTGAATTCTGCTCCACGAATTATAGCTGCATCTATCGCTGTTCCCTCTCGTTTTCTCTTTTCAGCTAACGCGCTAGCCGTAGGATCAATGGAGTGTGCTTTCTTCAAATGCCGGGCGATAGCCCCTGTGCCGCCAGTGGATTTGTAGACCCTTGAGCAACGATTACAAACGAAGTTGCCTTCTCGTGTGGTAATGTACTCATGGATATGAGAGGTCTTAGCCCTTGGTCTCTTTAGGGATTTTCCTGACGTTTGGGAGAAGCCGATCCCCGCATTCGGTGTTTGCAGCAAGGAGACACCCGAAGAGGAGTCTTCTGACGATTTTCTCTCTTCATCCATCACACCAGCGCTAACAGATCTCTTTGTAACACTGGTAGGTATTGTAACGAGCGACGAATGAATGTCTGAAGTTGTTATGGTTTGGACCTGGGGAGCAGGTCGGTTCTGAGAGGGTTTTGGTGGGACCGCTGGCCTTCGAGTTGCTGCATTTCGTGTGTGCTTTGCGGACCTTGCGACGACGCTGAATGGAGTCGCAAAGGTATTAGAGACCTCTGACAGCTCGATATCGTTGTCGCTTGGTTCCATTGTAATGTAGTTGTTGCATAGGCAATGGGTGTGCGGACTGGTGGTCCATAGAACCAGAAGTTTGTTCTTCGTCAGCCCTACAAGATATTGCACACTAAATTACAATTCAGGTGAAAACCAATCCGGCGAAGGGTTGGCTGTTGCAGGGTGAGTACCCCGCGAGCGCTTTTTGGTGTTGCTAATATTTACCCGGTATTACATTAGTGGGCTTAGTCCAAATATTTAAAACTAAACTAAACTAATATTAACAAACCAACTTAAAAATTTATAAATATTCTTAATAATATAATAAATATATTAAATTTAATAAGAATTAAAGTAAAACTATTTTTTTTTAATTTTTTAAATAATTAAATAAATTAAATAAATTAAAAAATAATATTAATAAAATATATATCTTACTTATATCTATAAATCATTAAATAATCATTTAAAATTATAAATTTTTAATAAATTATTAAGATAATAGCTAGATAAATAAATTTAAATAAAATATAAGAAATATTAATTATAAAATCGGCTAGAAAATTCATAATAATATTCTTAAATAGACTTATAAATATAACGAGTGTTTGATGTTATTTTAGAGTTTGCCGGGCACGTTAAAAATAAGAGGGGGTTAAAAATATAGTTTTAAAACTCTAATTAAATCTTAAAATAATTAATAAGTATTTTATTAAAAATCGAAAAAATTTAATTCTACGGTATTAAATAGTTATTTTATAAATAACTATTTCTTATTAAATCTAATAAAAGTTGTATTTAAAAGAAACTGTTTATTTCTATTTCGGTCAATTTGGGAGGATATAAAAATAACGGAATGTAGCGATTCCAGGGTTTCCAAGACTAAGGGAAGGGTATGACGAATTTCGGCCCGGAAAAAGGTTTTCGACCATCACTACACAACCCTTCCGAATAGAGCGAGTATAAGATAGTCGCCCGAAAGTCCAACCCGCCAAGACTGCCAGACCGAAACGCCCCACAAAGGGTACCACACAGTTCTTCAAAATCGCACCAGCCTAGCCAGGTTCGGGGCTTACTCCCTATCAAGGTAAAAGAAGTCTAAGCCCATCAGCGAAAGATATTTTAGGCTTCCAAGGGCCGCTTGAAAAGGGTAGGGACAGTCGGGAGGACTTCGGCAGATAGACGGGTCCAGACCATTTACATGAAAACTTTACCCAACTCGATAGGCTATGATATTGATTCAGGTTATCAGTCTGTATATTATCGATAAGTCAACTCGCCATGAATTGCCCAACCATAATGAAATGTACTCCACCCACCTTGGATGCTCTGATGTGCGGCCTGACCCCATAGCCGGGAGCACGATAGGGAGACGACATTGACAGTCCAGGCAAGTACGACAGGTCGCTGCAATCAAATGGTTGGCATCTTCCGTTTGCCCTGATAGTCAATAAACCCGATCGATGACACAACCCGACCGATGACGGAAGCATTCTGTGCTATTGTTATCATCGAGTTCCCTGTGCTTCGTGCGTTCATTACACCATCAATCGCTCCTGAAGAATTGGGACGCACGAGTCTACGAGACAACATGAGCCAGACCAAAGTAGATGCAGAAGTATGGCCGATTGGCGAGATTGGCGTCTCTTTACAGGCTGATTTGCCGTGTTCCGACGGCGAGGTGCATACAGCTTATCTACTCTGGGCAAGTCACAGTCTTCACACCAATGAGCGGGTAAGGCACACAGCATATCGCCACAAACCACACAGCTAGAGTCTGATTCAGGAAACACGGAACCTCGGGCAGACGGCGTTAGGACGACCTACATACCCACGGGCTGATCTTAGTGTCATGATGTTGACGCTATTTCGGGTGTGTGATGTGAGATTTGGATTATCTTGCCGTTTGCAATAGTGTACCTTTCCCCTGCAACGTCCCAAATCCCGAAGTTCAGCTCAGACACCACCAGAGGTACACCACACCGCACCATCCATGGGGATAGGACCCGATGCGCGCTTAAGGGAACTCAACAGCTCGTCGCATCCGCAAGCTGAGATCGCGCTATCTTGAAACAAATCTGCAGCGCTCTTTGAGTCAGACTCTAGATTACCACTGTTCTCAACCGGACATGGCCGAAAGGGACTGTCCCACTCTAGCTTAAAAGATTAGAGGGTCCCCCCCCTCTGCGTGAGACACCCACACCCACTCTGAGTAAGCTCCAAGTGGCATGCATCGCTGATTAGTACAATCGGCATTGATGTCCACCATCATCGCTTTTATCAATTCTTTGCCTTGCGTCCCAAACATGGGTCTTCTTATTCTTCGTTCTTCTCACGTCCCCTGCCCAAGCCGGATGTCAGCTGTATAACTTCTTAGCGTCGACCATACCGCATAGCCCTTTTATAACGTGCCGGATATGGAGCGTTTTCGAAGTCATACCCATTTCATCCCATTGAAAGATGATGCCTCTCGCCTTGAATTGCTGCCAATCGAGTCAGAAGTCGGCTCATTCAAATCATCTTCAGTCAAGAATGGCCTAGACAGTGCTGAAGGGCAATCGCAAAACAGGACGCTAGTGGTCAAAGGCTGGCCTCAAACCTCCAAGGCCCTGAGGAAGACGGGCTGGAAAAAAGTAGGATCGCTGGCAATTGATACACTCATTGCCCTGATCCCGCTTTTGTTTATAGGCAAGTCTCAAACAGCGCACAGCACTCGCACCATGAGTCCAACAATAGCCGTCTTCGCTGACTTACAAAAACAGCCGTGAGCCTAGTGGCGATACACATGTCGGGCTCGCCGATATCAACTGATGGAGACAGAGTCAAGGCTGCTACAACTTTAGTGTGTTGGAGCCTGTCAACAACATATATCTTGGCCTGACCTCTCATAGGGCCCTACGTTATTTCCAATTCTCTTCGCTGCCATTGTTGGAAGATCGTTGAGGTCGCTCGCATTGTTTCAAGCTGAGCGAGGAGCAAAGTTGGGTGTAAGTTACTTCAATGAGTTTTCAACGTACACCCTTCGCTAATATGCCGCCGCCCCAGACACTGGAGCAGTTGATGGGTAGTCTGACTATCTTTGGTACTGTCGAATTGCAATTCTTGCTTCGCACCTTCGATTTACTTGGAATCGGTCTCATCGCGCTGTGGGCCTTATCACCGCTGGGAGGCCAGGCTTCCCTCCGACTACTTGGACTGGGGAAACAGCCAACCTCGTCCACTCAAAATGTTTCATATCTCAGCCCCGAATCGGTGTCTATCCTCGCTCAAGGCGCGGATACCATCTCGTCACTCGGTTTTTCCACCAATGCTCTCTACTTATCAGCTCTTTTCACCCCACCAGCTACCCAAGCTTCGGCTGTGGATACCTGGGCGAACGTGAAAATCCCAACAATCGAGAAACTGGAATCCACAAGTAAGAGCGACGCCGACGGGTGGTATCGCGTCTTCCCCGAGAACGCATCATATTCCTCGTTGGTTGGTCTGCCTATCGACGGCATCAGGAAGAGCGGATCGTACCATTTCTATGTGGAGTGTCTCTACATGGCGTTGGATTGCCCAACCGTTACAGACTCCACGCTAGTAAATGGGACATCACGTGGAGGCTTCTCTCTCAATTTTGTCACTGATGATCCGGGAAACCTGCTGCTCTACCCCAATCAGACATCTTATCCCTCGGTCAAACCATGGGGTGTGAATTTCAGCGCTGTTTCTAACATTGAGTCTGATGACTCATTCATCACCAATTGCACTTTGACGCGTTCGAGCGTTGAATCAAACATAACATGCGATGATGGCTCTTGCAGCGTCACACAGATTCGCCGATCAATATTTGATCAGCGTCCGCCCGGCTACACGCCGCTGGTTTACGGAATTGGGGCTGCTGGTTTGGAGACATACTGGCCCATGTCGGGCGGCAGTGGTGAGCACCCTGGTAGTTCAACACCTACAGAATATTTCATCTCGGACCCCACAATGAATTCGCTGTCCACGTCGATAGCAAGCGGCGGCGTTAGTCTCAAAGGATTGTCTGCCGACCTGTTCAGCGAACGGTTTTCCCTCGTCTTCAATACTTATTGGCAATGTAGCCTTGTACCATGGTATCAGACAGGAAATTTCCCGAGCAACGCTTCTGCTCTCAATCATGATTCCTTTGACATCAATTATATGGGAATCTTCAACACAACTACGACTACGGTGACGACCTTTACAGACATATATGTTTGCAACAAGATATGGGCGGCCATCTTGCTCATCGCTTCGACTGTACTCCTGCTATGCGGGATAGGCGGTGCAGTTGCCAAACACATGGCTCGCGGCCCTAAAATCCTAGGGTATGTGAGCACGATGACGAGGGACAATCCGTACATTGACCTGCCGCCCGGAGGCTGTACTTTGGACGGCTTGGAGAGGGCGAGGCTCCTGAAGGATGTGGAAGTCAAGGTGCAGGATGTTTGCGCGGAAGGTGGAGTGGGTCATATCGCCTTGGGAAGTGCCGAGACGTTTGATTCGGGGAAGTTGATCTCGGGTAGACTTTATGCGGGTGCTGCTTGAGCCACTTGAGATTCCTGAGCAAGCGTATATACCCTCGTAAACGTATTGACATTTGCCGCTTCAATTCACTTCATTTCACCCAAAGTGTCCTACTATCTACCCTTACATCATCCATGATCAGCCAGGCAACTACACCAATTGCATGCCCCTCTTGCCTTTCCCCCTGATACAATCAAGGTACTGCTGCTTCGCAATTCGATCATATGCGAACCGACGATCTTTACCGTGCCACCTCTCAAGAGACAACTTACTTGTACTCGCGACACTCCATTCCTATAACGGCCACCAATCACCACTGCTGATCAGCTCGACATTCATGGGGAAGGGGCTTTCAGAGCTCAACCACCACACTTGGATCAGACTTTTCAGATGGCATTGGTGCGATTGGATGGGAGATTTTTCTATGTGGTCTCGGAAGATATTGCATCGGTTCTTGAACGGCAGGTAGATGAGACCTTCTATTGATGGATCGTTCGCGATGTAGTTCATAAGAAATAAGTTGTTAAATGTCTCTAGTAAAGATACTGCTACGCCGGGAATTTTGAGAACTACCGCCGCGATGCTACGACGCTCTCATCTCCTTAAACGGCTGTAGAATGGCCTAATGCGGACGAACGCTTGTATTTTGCAATACCAGCATGTAGTATCGTACTATTGTTCACCTATTGCGCAATTAACTATGCTGGAAAGTTCGCGTACTCATTCCCTAACATCTCACATCTCGCTGGTCTGAAATCTTTCACCAGCCCGCTTTATGTTTAAGATGCTTTATGAGAAGTCGCGATCCTCTTCAGTAGAGGAAAAAGAATCAGGTGGTCCAAGCAGCCGCTGTTGAACACTTGGGCCATTTGCCGCTTGGAACTCGTTGAATTTGATTCTTCGGACATCATCTCGACTAGATGAAAGTTAGCTAGTCGGGTTCAGCCAGTAGTATAGAAAGAGACTTACCTTCTCTCGAGTATACCAGACACATGAAGTCTATCCAAATCCCAGAAAACATAGCCCCAATCCCTCAAACCCTTCAGAGCGCTGTCTTGGAGTTTGAGAAGGTGGCGCACGAGGATGAGCCCATTGCCAAGCGTCAGGAATATCCAGCTCGACATCCGGGTTGATTTCGTACACGAAAGGTGGATCTGTCTTCGCCAACAAAGGTATATCTCCCCGGGCAGGATTGGGCCCCAACAAGTTCGAGAGCCCTCGTGATGAATTGTGTCTCCAAGTGTCGGACGATGTCGCGGTGAATGTCGTCGAATAAACAAATTGTTCTGCTTCCTCACCAGTCGATTCAAAGATTCGGCGGATGTAAGCTAGTCCGAGTGACATCAGATGTTCTAGGTGATCATTCTGGTAAGCTTTCCCGTTATTGGTGTAAAGGTACACTCCGGATGCCCATTCAGCGGCCTCGACATCACCATCTTGGTCAAAGTCGAAAGTTTCGGGTGGAAGAGTATCAACCGCTTTGTCCTCAAGTCCGACTGCAAATACCACGCAGTCGACGATACAGATAGTCTCGAATGCAATTGATCTCAGTGACCTGAAAATCTGGGAACCTCTTGAAGAAAGAGGCTCGCCTGCTCTGCTGGAGTCAGAGACGGATCGGAAAGGACATTCTCGAAGATCATGGTCAAGTTCTGAGGAACACCGTGCGAAAAGGTATCTGTAGAGTTTCGAAGCGACAAAACGCCTCTCTGAAGCCTCCCAGTCTCGGAGCTTGAAAGTTGGGAGTATGAGACAGGGTTTTCTGGCCAGTATTCCGGCAAGACTTCGAGGTCTAGAGATCGACCCAGCCCCTCCATTATGGGCAGAGTGTTTCGGGCATAGTCCTCGATGAAGAACCTGACATTGCTAACAAGCTTGCACAGTGCCACTGAAATAGATATGGGAATGGACGTTGCTTCTTGCAGCTCGTTTGGATAGGTTTTGCACAATTCCATGACAGTGTCTCGTGATAAAGGCTGCTCGAGCTGCGATATCTTGGCGAAAAATAAGGGCGTCTGAGGCCACGGCCGGATGGAACTGTCGAAGTGCCACGGCTGACAGAATGGTGTCCTTGTTATGTAGATAGACTTGGTAAAGACGAGGTGATGCTTGAATGAGAGCGTGAAGATCGTCAGGAGTATCGGCGTTGAACAAGATTTGTAGTTGAAGCTCTGGCGCGAGCGATTCTAGCGCACTATTTCTCGCCATGGCAGCAGACTGATTCTTTCAAGGATAGGTGTCGAGCTGTGATAGGGGAAAGAGAAGATAGGCGTTGTTTTCGAGGATGTTGTAAGCAGGCTTCTGGGCAAGAGAGAGAGATTACAAGTCTGCGCTGGGTTGAGTATAGATATGATGAAGGTCCCCTGGGGCAGGGTGTTGTTAAGTCAGGGAGTGAAGGGAACCTGGCAGTGGCGAGTCGCAATAGGCCGTCAAAACAAAGACCGCTGAACAATCAGAGCTGGGGCGCTTCCAGATCTCTTTGTGTCTTCAGCTTTGTGCATAACAACACTTTTCCACAGCTAGCCCTACTTTGCCTCTAAGACATACAAAGAACAATCAATGAGAAGTGCCAAAATGCGAGTAGGACAGTTCGATGATGCTACAGAGGAAAGAGCGACTATATGATCTGACACGCTAAGGCGCGTCACGTGACCCCGGATCTAGACCCTTGAAAAAAGAGAAGGCTAGCACGAGCAGTTTAAGCGGCTGCTTGACAGTGTGATTTCACGCTACAGTTCATCGTCCTCAGCATTCGACCAATGACGCATCTTTGAAAAATTGCCTCGGAATACCGCGGGGTGATATTGATATAATGGCGTTTAAGGTGTACCAGTTTCCAAGGTTCTTAATAGCCATACACTACGCGGTATTGGTCAGTAGAAGCGCACATTTGTACAAACGGCGATTTCAGATAGGATGTCTTGGGGGAGGTGGGGAGAGGGTACAACAGCAGGCTTGGACCAGAGACATCATTGCTCAGAATTGTTCAGCATTGAAAGAGTAGATTTCATTGTGCACATGGTGTTAGTGAGCAATAATACTCGCATTTCATTGTGACCAAGTACAATCCAGTGTGCCAGAATGTGTTGGTGAGCGACAACACTCGCATTTCATCGTGACTCGACTTCCTACAAGAAACCCTTTGTCTTTTCTCCCGTCCTTTCCCCTATATAACGTCTTCTTCTGTCCTTGGCACTACAATCTCATTCTAGTCAACTTGCCAGAACACAGGCACAGCCAGAAGCACACGGACCCATCTTTTTCCTTGCCCTCAAGATGGATGCTGATGGCTACGCAATACAAGGCCGGAGACGAGGAGGTACAAACCGAGAACCGGTGCGCGATCGAGACCAAGAGTCTTTCCTCAGAGAGGTTCCAAGGTATGCAGGTACATCCGAGAACTACGACAGAGCTCATGCTCAACGCTACGGCCGAGAGGAGGGGTTGGGACCCGACGGTAAGCACAACCATGGATCATATCAATTCCCTCGTGGTACCGACAGACAGAAGCTGCATAGCCAATACAGTGCCAGCACAAAGGGAAGAGACGCTGCACGCGGCGCATACCAAAAGGGTCTCGGTGCCGCTCAAGACGGAGTACGAAAACATGGACGAAGAAGAGCAAAGAATACTACACCCAGAACACGGGTGGTTTGCCTCCGCATCAGCACGAACGTTTAGATCCTCGTGCGCAGGAATATAGGGACAAAAGCTACAAGTAAGCCGCGTGCTATGTTAAATCTTGAAGAAGTACTGACCTAGACACAGCAATGCAACAGGCCGAGAAAACTTTCAACGAGCGCATCCTCACGGCTACCATAGCATGCAGGACCAACAAGACCATCACCGACTATGCAGACAATGCTTATGGCGAGTACGAGTATGCTAGGGACCAGCAAACGCATCATGAGAGGTATCGATCGTAAGTTTCGAGCCCCCCCCCAAACTCTGACCTGTGGAAACTGACCGAAATATAGGTACTCAAACGTCGATGAGAGAAGAGACCAGTGGGGAAGGCCGGTGTCTCATCGTTAACACTGCTAATCCCCCGGGAGGAGCGTTGAAGGTTCAGCCAACTTCTGGGATCCTAGGATGGTAGAGGTGAGTCCTCAAGCATCACGAACTAGGACTCATCTTCAGATATGCGCCCATCTTGTCATGTTGTCGTTAGCACTTCCATTTTGAGTACATGGGACTTTTTAAATCGAGCGGATCATGCGAAGCAAGTTCATAAGAATGTAGAAAGAAGGAATAATAATAATGAAGACTCGAAAATTGTTAGCACTGCTAAGGAATGACTGCTTGAAACGAAAAGGTGACAAGGTAAGCAATCTCGCAAATCTAGGTGCGAGATTGCTCGTCTGTAGACTTGTTCATCAAGACGGCACAGACCAATCAAAACCTCAGAACTGACTTTAAGCAGCATCTGTTTCTTTCGTTTGTAGAAAAGAGTCGATCGAATCAATGCAAAAAACCGTGTCTGAACCGTAGAGAAGCGTCTTTTCGGCTCCAGCGGCAAGGGAGACCAAGACTCGCTGAGCATTTAAATCGTGGTCACAAAAAGACGTCATGGCATGAGCAAATTTCGTGTCGGTTCTGCTTGGCTTCCTGTTGCTTTCCGTAACTTCCACCCTGTGCTCGACTTCCAACGTCTTCTAGTCTCTGCTTGGTTTGTCTCTTCCAGACTCTGCTCTATGGTCAGTACTTTTTTACACCAATGTGAATATCACAGAACCTCTCTCGGTGCGCCTATCCTCTCATCCCATCCATCACAACAAGAAGCCCATCCATCATCACTTCACCAACGAAGATAGACCTTTCCTGGTCTACTATGTCAACTTCTGCCGGAACAACGACGCAGTACTTACGAAAATCAAGGACCACTTTGGACCTACCAACCCTCCAGCCCTCAACCTGCTCATGCACCGGCGTCAAATCACACATAGCCAGCCAAGATACCAGCGTCCATCACTCCCGCGTTGCTGACACCTCCGACACCTTCCACGAAGCATGCTTTGATTCCGCCCGTACTCCAGATCCGAAAATTCCTCAGTGTCCAAATGCGATCAGTCCGTGCATTCCGGTGCCAATCCGCGCGAGCGAAAGCCTTCCGCGACCACTGTCGGCCGTCCTTATCAGGCGAGATCCGAACTGCGGCGGCAGTGCTCGCAAATCAGTAGCTGCTCTGCCTGTGGACCCCACATAGGAGGTTACCAAGTCGCGGGCAATAGACGTCTTTGAGTTCCAGCTCCAGCTCCGATTCCGGTTGCGATTCCAACTGCGCACCAAGGCGTCGCCACGTCGTCTAACACTAGAGAGACATCCTCCCAGGGCACAGGTCCAGGGAGGGGTAAGGCGGTAGTCCGGGCAGGAGCGAATGAAGCTTCGGGAAGAGCGGTGCTGGGGCAGCAAGCTGGGACATTGGAGATGTTGCGAGCGGAGGCGGACATGAAGGGTAATGGGAAGCAAATTGAGCTGGGAATAGAGGAAGGGAAGAAGGCCGGTGATGCCAGCGGGAGATTGTTAAAACGACCGTCATGATGTACAGAACAATGTGTGATAGGACTGGCGTTTGAATCTTCCTTTGGAAGAGATGAGATTGTGAATGCAGAACAGATCACAGGGGGCTAGCCCACAGCGATGACGATAGATACGAAACCCTTCTACCAAACTCCATCGACGGACCTGACTGGATGCCTACCAGTTCGATTGACCAATTTTATCTCCTGCGAAAGCTCCTCTTGTTGTCCAACGACGGGGGTATCAGACCAATGCAGCGAAAGAAAGAACACGGGGCTCCGGGCACTTCGTACGGCGTTTCAATTTCTTCATCACCCGACCAACCCTTAGCAGCCGGATACCAAGCCAGCTCACCCCCTTCCCACCGTCAGAACTTCCCACCCTCCCCTTCCCCTCCGGCCCCTTCTGCCAACCCCCTGCTTCGCCTTCTAGACCTTCAGGCCTCCCCTCTTTCAAACCTACGTCGCTATCCCTCCATACTTCCGCCATGTGGTCCCCCATCGGCCCACTTGTAGCGCTCATGCCTGTCTCGTTGTCGGGCTTGAGCTTGGGCCTGCCATCGCTGGAGCCATTCTTGCCTTCGTGTGATTCAGTCGTGATATCACCACCACCACCACCTTCTCCGGTCTTGATATCGCGGGCTGGGTTCAGATCGATCTCTTTCGCTTCTTCGATCTGAGAGGGTGCGGCGATGTGATGCTGGGAAGCCGGGAGGCCGGAAGACAGAGGGGCGGTAGTTGTTGCGGGTGGAGGATCGGGCATCAAGGAGACCGCTGTTGCGGGTGTAAGTTCTGCTGCGGGATGCGGTGGTGGATGATGGAGGCGCTCTTCTGGATAGGATAAGGTCAGCTGCGGCTGTCTGTCTGCCAACGAGGCCCTTTGGACCCAAGTCGTACCGTTTTCGATAGCATCCTCGGCTTCCGTGACGCTCCTGTTGCTCGTCGCTGGAGCTTCTACCGGCGAAGCGGCGACCGCTGTTGCGGTCTGGATATGGGCATTGGAGCTAGGTGGAGGCTCCGGCTGCGTCGGCTGCTTCTTCTTTTTGCGGCGGCCGAAGAGGCTGCGGAGGCCTCGTTTGACTTGGGCTAAGGCATCTAGTGCTGTGAGTGAGGAGTAATGCTTAGCATGTGATTTGTAGAATGGATGCTGGGATTATTGGCTGGGTTGTTGGCCGGGGTGTTGGCGGCATGGGTGCTCTGCTTACGGACGCCGGGCATCTTGATGACATCCACCTCTCACGTCCTGAATGTCGGAGGACTGAACTAAGTCCTGATGAATTCATTTTCGAAAGAGAAAAGTGGACTTGGCTACAAATATGTGTAAGGTAGAATTGTTTGATTGTATTGCTAAGATTGGGAGGAGGTGGGCTGTGTGAAATCGCGAATGCAGAAGCATCTATTTTTATCGTCTGAGCTTCTGAAACCTTGCAGCCTCGTCCAGTCAATGAAGCGTTTGACGTTCTCACACCGCTACTATGAATCTGTTCCCCGCAAGTATGTGAAACGCTTATGCATCCTTATGCCCGAGGGCCCCTAGCCGTTCAGTGCATAGCCCAAAGCCCAAGCCCAAGCCAAAGCCCAAGCGTGCAATTTCATTTAAGCCATCGCCTCTCCATCATGCATCTTGCCGACAATGTCCGACTGTATCCACGTGCAGATTATTGCCGAAAATGAGAGGCCAGGGTACTGTCGTATTCCGTATCACGGTCATGGCAGGAGTATAGTGTTGAGATTGGGCATGCAAACAGAGTCGTATCCTGAGAGGCCGAATCGAACAGGAGACTCGTTACCAACATGACAACATCGCCCATGCTTAGAACTAGGTGTTTGTCTTGCTTCACTTTTCAAGCGACCTTGCTCCCCTTGCTCGGACTAGAGCCTCCACTTGACCTCTTCCTATCGCTCTTGGTATCAGAGCTGCTGCTCGAGTTCTCTGCTCCACCCTCTGTTTCTCCTCGTTGCTTGCTGACTTCTGGGTTCGCGGGACTGACATCAAGAGGATTGTTCGTATCCTGCGGGGATGATGCGTTAGCACTCGAACTCGGAGAATTGTAGTGTGTGCAGAGTATTCCAAAGCTGTCGAAGAGCCTAAAGACGACCACCCCGCATATGTGGACTAGATATGCTCACCGTGCCCTTTCCTGTGCCCTCCCCAGCTTTGTCCTTCTGTTCCTGAGGGTCTGTGATATCGGGATCGAAAGCTGCATCCTCCTGCCTAGCCCCCTCATCGTCCGTTGCGCTCTTACTGTACTCCGTCGCCTCCGTGTTGATGCTGTCCTTATCCTGAGAGTCCTTCCTGGGCAAAGCGAAGGAGAGCGTTTGAGAGAATTGGCGGTGGATTGGAACTCTGAGTAGTGGCTCTGGAGAACGCACTTGCTGCTTTATGGTAGAAATTCGCATGTGCGAAGGAGCTCGTAGGCGGCAGGGGCGCGCCATGATGGACAAGAATGCTTTGGAGGTTGAAGAGATCATGGCTGCCAGGGTGAGATTTATGTTGTAGGGGAGTGGTGGGTCTCCGCTGAGAAGTTCGGACAAGCCTCCTGCAAGGCTGCGGGTTGGGCGAATGGTGGGGTTATGATTGGGCGTGGAAGTGGGGGGGGGGTTGCTGAGTTGTCTCCGTCACGAGGCTGGCAGCGAATGAAATTCTCAATGAATTTTCTTTTGGCCGAGATTACTGACAGAGGAGGGCGTAAGATTGGTTTGATAGGAAGTTAAGATGCTCCTTCCCATACGTCACTATTGACGCTAAATTAGCCGCATAGCATACTTTACACTACTCTATACACAAATTCAATCAAGCGACAGCACACCAATGATATGTTCTACTTTAGACCGCTCTCACGCCGTTACGCCAGCTTCCACTATCCGAGCTGTTAGCATTAAACGCGCTTCAACAGCCTAGAAGTGGTATAATACTTTATTTAATGAGCCTCCCGTCTTCTATAAAGCTACCGACGCTACTTGTAGCATCGACCGTCTCGGGCGACAGCCACAGAGAAGATCCCTTCAAATTGCTTCCACAACTCGCTTCAAGGAGAGCAAGGTGCACGAATCCACCTACGCCACCTTGTGGATCAATATGACCTCGAGTGTCTAAGTGACCTTTGCGACAGTCTAAACGTTGGCTGTGGATCCAGTGTTTGCTAGCAATCCTCCAGTCTTCGCCTTGTATCTGTCCTATATTCTGCCGATGCCCAGAATATCCAGTTCTCAGATTCCGTCATTTCACTATGTAACTTGCGTCGTGTTTGATGTTTCGATCCTTACTGATTTAAGCATGTATTTCTGGTTTTGGCCTCAAATGTATTCACTGTCCCGCCCTCGATCCTTGGCTCTCCTTGAAATGCCCCACAATGTTTTCACAGAGTAAGGGTCTTGCTTTTGTGCGTTACATTACTAACAGCGTACTGTCCCTTAGAAGGCCCAGTCAGCGCAGTGGTGAAGGAGTGACCATGAATCTTTCCGGCGACCGGAGAGTGTCCGTCTGACCTTCGTTCCCCCCCCCAATCTTTGTGACACAGGCTTATGCTATGATTGCGTATAACGAATAGCGAAGAATGGCGATAAACTGCTCCTAACAGGTCTCTTTTCCTACCCTCCGCACTGGCTGACAGTCCTTTTGCTCTTTTGAAATAGGTACTGCATGAGACAAACGGGGGTGTGGAGTTCAAGTCTGGGTTCAAGTGCGCTTTTAGCCTTTTCTAGGCGTGCGCTCCCTGGTTCATTACATCTTGAACTTCAGACTCTGGAGCATGAAAGGTTTTTCAGATTCTTTGCCATTTTGACATAACTTGTGCATTTATGCGAAGACCTCTGTCTCTCAGGTTACAACAGGATACTCACACGTTGCACAATTGACATGCCGCGTCATCTATCTCAGAAGCGTTACTTGTTCTAGTCACTTGACACAATTCCGAGAAAGGTCCCTTGAGCTTCCTGATCGATGAGGCGATCGGCTATCTGCAAACATGCGACCAACGGCAACAATCATCCGTGGTCTTGGCGCACCAACTCTTTCCCAGCTCAACCCTCGGTTCAGCCAAGCAAGTGACGCGGAAGCTTGTGTGGGATGAAAGTTTGTCAAGCTTTAGAGCATATTTGAGAGCATTCCTACCCAACATGTTTGATCACTTCGGCATGAGGTATTGCTCGCCCAGGACAAGGCCCCGTCCCCCATTTTTAACATCTCCTGTACATACATGCAGTCGCAGAATGTTCTTCTTAATTTCTGGTTTTACAATCTGTTCGTCTTACAATTCATCATCATTCTACTGATCATGGCCCACAGAAATGGTCACTCGGATAGGCCAGCGAGATCTCATCCGTCAAAAGGTCTCGTGGGCTTCGTCATTGTTTGCGCTCTCTTGTCTTTAATATGGTTCAACGCTGGCAGCGAAGGGCAGTTGCGCAAGACTTATAGTTCTCTGTCTAACGAAGCAGAGAAACCTGCTTCATTTTCTACAACAGCCTCGGCCGGCAGCGAGCAGCAAACTGTTGATGCCCAACTACACAATGTCACAAGTCCTTCAATGAACGTTTCCTTACCAGCGCCATTCCCTACGCTTTCACCCCCGGATAATGAAGAGTACATGGCAATCTGTATGGCAGGTCAGTGCCTATAGTTCTATTGCACACCTCAATCCAGTCCAGCAGAGTACTAAACCGTGTCGCAGTGAAGAACCAATCCAGAGATCTCCCCGAATTCTTCACCCACTACTATTTCCACCATGGCATTCGCCGCTTCTATATTTTTGACGACGGCACCGAACCCCCGCTCTCTAGCGTAACCTATCCCATTCCCTCCTCCGCTATCACCTGGGTCTACTTTCAACCTCATCTCCACTCAGATCAGCTAGACGACCGAAAAGGGATTCAAGAACAATACTATAGCGGATGCGTAACAATGTTTGGCGACAGGCACACGTGGATGGGGTTCCTTGATGCGGATGAATTCTTAGAAATGACCGGCGGTGAAACACTTTCGGGATTCCTACACGAGTGGGCACGCAATAATACCGTTGGTGCTGTGGGCGTCAACTGGCTTGTCCACAGCTCCGCCGGCTTACTCACCCGTCCTGCAGAAGGGCCTCGCAAAGCCTTCAACCGCTGCATCGTGGATGATCCCAACAACGACAACCTCAAGGTCAAGACTTTTGTACGTACAGCCCTGTTTGACACCATGTGGAACTGCCACTGCGTCGCCGTATTGAAGAATGGAGCTATCCAAGTCGGAGAGCATGGGGACGTGATTGACAAGTCTTGCGATCGGAAGCCAATCACAAGGGACAGATGGGGCTTACACCACTATGGGACGAAGTCTAGAGAGGAGTTTCTGGAGAAACAGGCGAGGGGGAAGATACGAGGTGGCAAGTCTACGGAGCATTGGTGGAATAAGATTGAGAATGCGGAACAGAGAGATTGTTTGGAGTTGACCAAGTATGTACCATAGTGAGTGGATATGAGCGTCGAATGTATTCAATCGATGTGCTTATGACCCTTGGGTGTAATGGAGACCGGAACAGTGAAGTTGGTGAATTGCGTCTCCACAGAAAACAGAATGTCGGCGTTTTGCGCCAGCTCGCGGGTTTCTAGCGAGTCACTGCCAATCAAAAAAGAAGAAAGAAAGATATTCATGTTCTGAGTGGAGAATGGGATGTAGGTCAAATCCATGGAAGGCGCTGATTGTAACAAATCCGTCAAGCAGGCTATCCACTCCGCTGGTAGCACTCTAACATTTTACTGCGCTCAGGCATAGGTGGTAATTACATTGCCTTAATGTGGATAAGAACTTAACCATCCATTTCCGTTAGCGACGATCTTAATCTCTAAGACTCACACAATCCAGAGCAGCCACCGACCTTACCCCCTTTTTGCGAGCAAACTTCGAAAACTTCGACGGATTTAAATGTCCTTGCCCCCTAACAGATCAAGCTCGTGAAGCCTGCAGCTGGGTCCGTCATCAACCACAACGTATGATTGTCATGCCACAATAAGCCTCAGGCCATCACGACGTCAAATGACAAGTTGCACGCACGCCTGAGCTGAAGGGGTCTGGCACTGCGCTGGGAGCACCGTTTTCAACATCCTCTACGACATATGATGACATTGCCACCGAAAAGTCATCTGGTCCTTTGTATCTGCCCACAGTCGAGAGTGGACCCGAGGAAGTATGTATCGCCTTTTGACCGATTCTCTCCTCTGATATCTTCCCTTATACGTTAAATCCCGTTTCTCCACGCACGGCGTAAGACATTTATCAGGCGTCACAGAATAATCGTTGATGATGATAGCTAGCCAGGTGCCTGCTGTGTAAGATACCGGCAGAGACAACCTCGGGAGACCGTATCTTCCTCGGCCCGCGGTGGACCTAAGTGATTCCCCGTTGGACCGTTCGGCAAGGTGAAGCTTGCTATGAGTTCTCGGCCAGGGTTTTTCCGTTTGGCAAGTTTCAATTGCCGTTGCCTATCCGTTCGTCTCTTTCGTCGTCAACATCGTTAGCAGCTTTCGTGAAAGATACCCGGATGAATCTGTATACGTCCTATTATCACTGAGTGTGTTATTTTGAATCCCTGACTTTGACTCTCACTGTTGCTCCCATACATGGCAGGACTAATTCTTGGGATCGCTACACTGGTTGTTGCTGGCTACCGTAACTCAATATCCGCTCAAGACCGGGTACCGCAGACCGGCTATCGAAAGAGAAGGCGTTGCAAGAGACACGCAGCGTTTACTCGCCCGCTCACTGTGCGAAAAATCTTCGTTGCCTTGGTAAGAACAGATCCACCGTTATGAAGGGGGCCTGTTTTATAGATCTTGATGTTTGGTGCCATACATGCTTTGAAAGAGGACAAGAGGGGCCATCGGCCCGGAAGAGTCGAAAAAACTATTTTTGCGTGAGGGGTCAGAACCAGAGATTCGGTCTTGCAGCGGCTTTCGGGCGCTCTTTTGCAAGTGGTGAGAGGTAACAGAGCTGGTCTTGTTCAAAGTTAGTCAGCGAGCTTTCCGTCCTAAGGTCTGGCGGTCAGAGTGCCAGCAGCAGGCCAAAGGCAGCGGGTGGTGTTTGCACGAGTTGAGCGTGTCGGATTGGTTTTTAGGCAACCCTTCAGGAAAGAGATACGCGTTCTATGCAACAAAACACTTAGCTTCATCCCGTGACCAGGTCAAACTCCCCCACAACTCCTCGACCCCGCCTCAAACATCTCCAAACGCTCCTTCCGCCAGCAAGCCAGCGCCGGGTCACCACGAAAAACTCCATCACGCGACCTTCTCCCGCAAATCAAACATCACCGGCCTCGTCTGCCGGAAACTCTCCCCGCTCCTCCAGCCTCTCCCACCACTTGACCAGCTCCGCGTACTCCTCCTTCCACCTGATGAGTCCGAACCGCGTCTCCCCCCCCCATGTGCCCATCATGCACCCGGCCGCGATATCGGCGACGGTCAACTCGTTCGCCGATGATGAAGTCGCCGTCGCCCGCTCTCACGAAGGCGTCGGTGGCTTTGATGGCGCCGTGGACTTTGCGCAGCTGCCGGGCGAGCCATTCGGGGGATTGGCGGGTCGCCGCGGGAGGTTTCGAAGAATGCGAGGCCCCTGTTTTTTTGTGTAAAGCTCGTTCGTCAGTCGAGCGCGTATGGGTACGTTGAGCAATGCAAACGGATAGTTGAACTAACAAACAATCGAATATACAATCGGGACTGAATTAAGAAAGATTTAACGAATAAACGAATGAACAAACCCCCCCTACACCCTACACACCAGCGCATCACCACCACCTGCACCCGCCTCGCCCTGCAACGCCCCCTCCACCCCCTCCGGCATCAACCGCGGCCCCCTCCCCGCCCACTTCCGCACAATGTACTCCTGGATGTACCACGACTCGTAGATCGGCGGCCGGCCGTGCGTCGAAGAGCAGGATCGGCGGCTTCTCCAGCGGGTTGGTGCCGCGGGGGTCTCGGTGCCGCTCGCCCGGGGGATCTCGGCGCGGAGGGCGGAGGGGATGGCTTTCTCGAGGGGGGGGTGCGGTTCTTGCGCGCGTAGGGGGAGGGGGGGGGCGGAGATGAGGGTTAGCATTTTTACTTTGCGTTGGCGTGAAGGGGGGGGAGGGTTGGGCGTTGGGTGAGGGGGGTTACGGTTGTGGATGTGGGGGACGGTGGGATTGGAGAGGATGGGGAGAATTAGATAAATGGTGAATGTAAAGTGATGTATGGAAGAATTCCTTATCACTGTTGATCAGATGCTTATCGGACGCTATGTAGTAGCCACATTGTGGGGGCAGTGTCCGCGGATGGATCTCCGGGTCATGATCCATCGATGTCCAATCACTGTTTCCCCACAGTAGTGTTGACGACAAGGGTCTCTTTGCCGATCGAGGGGAAGTTGCAAATGGTGCGGTACTTTCGCGCTAAGCGGCCTTGGGTCAAGAAGTTTCCGAAGCGACTTTGGCTCAAAAGACGCGAGGAGAGTATGAAAGAATGACATTGAGAACGCGTTCTGTTTAAGGGTAAGGACTGTGAGTCAAGAGTGTGAAACTCTGAGGAGCACGATATGTACACAAAGACAGAGTGAAAACAAGAAACAACCAATGCCCAAAGCGCTGATGGGTATCCTGCACAAGAAGCGCCCCTTATGTCCAGCATGTCCCATATGTGCAGCAAATATCAAACAAGACCGTGCGAACAGCGCCGAATGTGCAATGCAAGATCAATAGACTCCAACGCTATGCTTCAAAGACAGAGACAGTGGATCGCAAACCCAAGACGACGTGCGCCGACGCTATGCTCGAAAAGGAGGAAGAGATCGCGAATCCAAAAAGAACCCATACTCCAGCGCTATGCGGCAGAATCCGTGGAGAAAATAGCACACCCAGTCCCCATCGAATAGACGCTCACTGAGTAAGAACCAGCTTACTCTTCCTTGCTCCACCTCCGCCCGAGAAGGCTCCGCTTGCTGCCGGAAGCGCAAGGAGCGCAAGGTTGGGCTCGGTTCGGCTCGTTGCTGCCCCCCTTCCCACTACCCTCCCTGCCCGTAGAGCCGCACGCGGTGCCAACACAGCACTGTATGGAGCCCGTAGCCGGTCCCACCGTCGCACCGTCATCGTAAGGGTAGGTGTAGGCGGAGCCCGAGCAGGGTGCGAAGAAGGGGTCCGGTGGTGAACACGCGTTGCACCACGGCCAAGCGGTCGCGGAGTTTGGGTAGCTGCCCGGGTCTCTGGATCCGCCGGGGCCGGTGGGGTTTACGCAGACGCCGTCCTGCACGGCGCTGGGGCACGGGGTGCCGGAGCCGAAAAGGTCGATGGCGCAGCCGGTGGAGGCGCCGTTGGCGGAACAGACGACGGGGAGGGTGTAGCCGAGGATGTAGCTGATGTCGAAGTAGCCGGACGGGTTGGTTTCGAGAATCGTGCCGTCGGCGTGGGGGTGGCCGTTGGCGCCCATGTAGGATATGCCGACTTGGCCGGCGAAGCCGGAGCCGAGGTCTGTGCAGCCGGTTGCGGGGCCGGTGCTGGCGCCGTTGTTGAAGGTGTAGTAGGCGCCCTCGGCGTTGCCGGACCATGTGATGGATAGGCCGTCGGATTGCCCGTCGCATGCTCCGTTGGGGATGGCGAGGACGCTGAGGGGAGCTGCAAGGAGGGGCAATAGTGCCACGAGCTGATGGACCTGCATCGTGTTGGTGGTAATGGTGGAGTTGGTGTAAATTGAAAGATAAGGAATGTGAGAAGGTGTGTTGGTGGTGGTGATTGTAGACTGTTGAATGAGAGTAGAATGCGTGAACGAGACAACCAGTGTCGGGGATTTAGCAGTATATACGAGAGAAGACAAAGAGAATGATGCTGGAAGGTGAAGAAGATGCTGTTTGGGATAAGCTGTGACAGTGGATTGCGACGGGGTATATATACACGGACCGACCTTACTTCGATGGTTCAAAGGGTGTTATGCTACCTGATTCCTACAGGCAGCGTAGATGCGTTTCAACATTCTTAGGCACCATAGGTGAGAAGCAGTGCAACAGGACCCTATGTTCCTGAAGCTTCCTGACTGCCATTACAGTGGTATCAAGTGGTGGGCGCCTTGACTGAGTCTTGTGGCTTACTGACCTTAGCCATCGTGGATGCGTTTCATCTTTGTTAGGCTTCAGAGGTGAAAGCAGCGCAAGATGGTCGCGTGCTCCTGAGTCTTCCTTGCGGGGACGGTAATAGTATGAGGGGCTGGATGCTTCAAGGTGGCCATGAGGCTTCTCGATCTTAGCTGTTGTGGATTGTGTTTCACAGGTTGTGTTGAGGTAAGCAGGAAGCAGTGGTTTAGGAATTACCATACTGAAATTTGCTGGTGGAGTCCTATTGGATTATGACTCCTCGGGCGTAGCCCGGACAGTAAGATGATCCGGTGAAATGAAACAAATCCCCAAGGATCCGTTACCCGAAGAGCCTCAACTGACAGCAACTTTCTCTTCGGCGTCAAGAGTGAAATCTGAAAAGAAGTAGAACGCTTCGCTGAATTCCTGTGTTCTCCGTGATCAGTAACGATACAACGGCGCTGAACGAGCTTCTTCTAGTGCCAAATGATGTATGCGCCAGTCACGCTCTTTCCCGTTGGGTCGAACATACTCAAGCCATAGGCCTACACTTAAGTTCGATGTTCCATTTTTAGGGAGTGGTCACCTACCTAGTACTGCGCACAGAGAAGGCGAAAGGAGATCCATCCGCTGTGTTTGAAGGTATTCACAGCTCAAAAACGAGAGAGTCACTTGACCAGGAATCATTGGAGGCTGTGTTGTCGAACTAGATATAGGCCCAAAGGTGTGAGGCCTTGTGTGGACGTTCTTAATATTGATCTAGATATCGGAAGGATCCGTGACAGATTAGCTATGATTGTACCTGCATGGACGGCTTTGCCCTGCATAAGATAGTGGCACAAGCTCGTTGAAAGTTATTCCAAGATCTCGAAGCGGTTTTTGTCCACGCGCGCCACACGCCACGCAGCTCTAGAATCCTGCAGGATCCGACAGCGACGGTGTCATCCTTCGCACAAGCCAGAGCCTCGTCAGGCTTCCTATATTGGGCCTGAGCTGGATGAGACATGAATCACATGCCTGGGAATGGTCCTTCTGAGTCTCGATATTCTCAGAAGGCAACAGCTTACTCTCTGTTTTTCTGGTCTTTGGGCTTATTGTATCGTACCCATGTAAGAGAAAGCTCTCATGGTGGAGGCTTCACAGCGACACACGACAGCGAGTCGACAGTTTCGATAAAGATCAGAAGAACTCCGTTCGAATCTTCGATGAGTTGATATCGTCATGGCCAAATCGCTGTCGTGATGGACAATGATGGAGATAAAAACTTCAATTGCTGAGAATTGCTCTACGAGCGTAAATCGGCCTCTAGTACCGAACTGGTATGGGCCGTTTTTGGCCTCAGCCTTGTTCCATAAATAGCTACAGCCACTGGAGTGCGAAAATTGAGGCTCATCAAACTCTGAATACGGCTCTCATATTGTGGCAATGGTATACGGAGTCTACTCGCAGCAGTACGTGGGAGACTCTTTTGTGTGTCGCATCGCTTACGTTTTCAGGCACTGAATGCCAGGAAATAGATGGTCGACTTAGTGGAAGAGCACGAGGGCGGGCAGCCGATGGAGATGCCAACGCAAGGGCAAAGACCAGCATCGCTACGAGAAGCCCAACCTTTGATCATCGAGCAGTCGTCACGGTGCTCTCTCAATTCCATGGTAGGGTTGGCATTCAGGCCGCTGGCGAGCTGGGATATTTCTGACAAGAAGTGGTAGTATCCAATCGGCCTTTCGGAATCGCGAATGTGTGTTGCTTTCGATAGTATTTACTCAGTATATGTCGTTTTGGATTGTTCATTAACCACTCATGTTGTCATTCTTTCTCTCAAAAAGCAATTCAATATCTAGTCTCGTTGGGTCAAATTCATCGAGATTTTTGCTTTCCCTTCTTCAATGTGGTATTGCTTTGCCTTACGTAAACACGCTAGCAGAATTGCCTTCGCTCTGTTCGGGGCATTGTAGCGAGCCGTAACCATACTTTACTGTAATCATTTTGTTCCTATTTTGGTATATCCTTACGGATCTAAAATACATTACGAGGAGGTTGGGAGGCTGTGCTTACGAGAGATGGATGACGCAGCGAGCAACTCGGTAATGTTGCGTATTTCTGGCTCTCAAGCTTCGATCAAAGCCACCCAGCCCCGCTTTCGATGCAAAAATACCCGAAACTCATCCTCTATGAGTATTACATAGTGCCTCAATTCTCATAAAATCTATCGTACAGTGTCACTCTCAGTGTCAACACAACTTTGAAGTCATTATTACAGTTCCAGACTCCTGATTATAAAGTTATCTCGTCGAACCAGCAGTCTTCAATCACGCGACCCTCAAACCTTCGCAACATCCCCATCATCACCATGAAGGCCTCTATCTTCCTCCGTCTCCTCCCTCTTCTTCCAACTGCTCTCGCTGCTCCAATGCCAGCCGTAGTCCCCGTCGCAAGGGGCCCACTCGCAAGCCAGAGCGGTATCTCTTTCATCGACTGCTCAGAATGTCATTACGGGTACACCGCTCTCCAAAATGGTATCTACACCTGCAAGGCGAATGTCCAGGTCTACTGCAGCCCATGAGAAGTCGGTTCCCGCGTTGAAAATCTAGTGGCATCGCCTCGACCGTTAGAGATGTAGGCATACATCTTCGATGCGGCGACCATTGCCTCTGCGACTACAGTGCGCGATCGACTTCCGCCAGGTCGGTCCACTCGCTAGAGGGACCGTCACACCTTGATACCCACACATGGCCGGGACTGCCAATGTGACTAGTATTGCACTCTTCTGGAGCCGATCAGGTCGCGGACGGTCCCTCATGCCGATGGGACGAGTTGGAGATTTGATGGCCGTCATTGGGGGGTGTGAACGGGAATGTGGACTCCGTAGCGCTGTGTTCGACTACGTTTGTTCGCACTGCTTGGGATACGGTTGGTAATGCAGCATGCGCAGCGCGCTAGGGGATGCTTTTTTGGACCTGAACGAGCAATTGCTGCGCGCGAATATCATGGGGACTAGGATTGTCGACCATCGTGATGGAAGTGTGGTCTCCTAAATTCGTCTTATAGTGTCAACCTCCAACTTGAAAATCCCAAAGACTCAAGGATGAAGTATGAGTAACTAGCGAAGAAGCCAGATTGCTATCAGTCCTGGAGATCAATGTATTGAATAAGACGTTCAGGAATAAAGGCATCCTCGTGGTACTCAACTTCTCCACAAAACCAGCGCCCCCGGGCGAACCACAGAACGAGCTGTTTATTTCCACATCGAACAACGAGGGCGCTCGCCGAGGCTGTCATAAGTTGTACCCGCATCCAATGGGTAAACGATGTGATCAAAGTAATATATAAGTTCTGGTAATAGGAATGCAGATGAACGCCACGAGAGGAGTCTAGGGCTTGATGAGTGGCACTTTTGTAACCTAGAACTCATCGTGTGACATGACCTGGAGCTACCCATACAACCCTGAGGCATCCTTCCACTCAGGGCCTTCGCCCTTCAGGTAAGGAAGGTGTTTGGTTATAGTCTTAGAGTTCTCAATAGATTTCGCGAGTAGTTTGAAAGGTTCGTTGCTGCGGATTGATTCCTCTTCTAGCCGTTCCGAGTCGACACTCCATATAAAGAGACCAACACGCTTCCAAATTTCGGGTTCCGTCGCAGTCTTTAATGCCAGATCCGAAGACCGGTGTAGGAGCAATCCAACCGCTGATCTACGACCCTTTTCGCCTTCGCTCTTGAGTTCACTTTGTAATCCCAAAAGCAAAATTGTCACCTCTGGTGTATAAGGCGCCAAAAATGCAGCCCGGGAGAGATTGGTCGCACGGTATTCTTCAGGGCATTCGTCGAGAATTTCCTTGTCAAGCAATATAGTCGCGCCCCCGTAAGACCATGCGTTCGGCCAATCGTGCAAAAGACGCTGTGCGAAAACTCGAAATGATATCATCGGTCCTGAGAATTTGCCCCAGAGGGAAGCCTCTAACCGTTGACAAGATAGCGTTGCACGATTCTCGACTGTGGGTTGAGCCCGCTTGCGATGATAGAAAACCTTTGACTCAGAGGGAACGATGGAACATCTGGCTAATCGCCAGCCCTTTCTTGGCTCAACTTTACCCTGATAGATATACATCTGGCTCAATATAGGGTCTTTTACCAATAATGCTGCGCCCAACTGATCGTTAAGCTCTTCCAAGCTGAAAGCACGATTTTCATCGATACCAGGGGCCGAATTACCAAGTTGAAGTTCAAAAACTTGCATAATTCCGTACACACGGTCTTCCTCGTGGCGAGTGGTTCGATGTCCTGCAGCCGTCAACAAGCCCATCGAATCCTGATCGAGGCACACAAGAAGCCCAGTCAGGTCAATCATAGCACCTAAGCCACACTCTTCATCGGCTTCCCGTATCTTGTCATCATAGCCCAAAGCATCCTTGATTGATTGCAGGGTCTCACTGATAAAACTGAGACGACAGAGGTCAATACTGCTCTTCATTGCGTCACCCGGGATTATCACGGCTGCTGGAGACAGGAACGTCTCTTGAAGAGTCCAAAGCGAGGAGAACCAAGGGTCAGCTAGCAAGTCGGCAACAATCATTGTTACTTCCATTGCCCAATCACGAACGTCGACCTCAGTATGAAATTTGGGGCCGCACATAAGCTCAAACTGAGGCTCCATTTCGGATGCCCAGGTGGTATACCAGGATATGTCATGAGTAGTCAACCACACGAAGACTTGAGTAGCGCCCCGGAATATCTTGGCCTGGCGACCGATTTCCTGAGCTTTCTCGCGGGATCTGGGGGTTTGGTCGATACAGGCGACATCCAGCCAAAGAAAGTCAACTCCAGAGACACCGGCTTCGGAAGGATGAGGTCCGGCAGTGTCTGCAATTACTGCTGCAAATTTCTCAGGCAGTGAAATGAACAGGATCGATTCGGGGAATGCTCCAAGATGTCCCCTTCACTCGGATCGCGTCAACTATCTGGCATTTTGTCTTCGTCAAGCTGCCATCTACCCCATGTATATGATAGAGCATTGTATCTTGGATTTTGGTATCCACCATAGATGTTCCCCGGTCGCCATTCGTAGGATGTTAGGGTCTGGATATGCAGCAACCGTCGTGGCCAAGGGCATGAGTTCTCAAACATCCCTGGCTGCATGTTTCGGATGAGTCATAGTCTGCAGGAGAATTTTGGTCTGACGTGGTCAACGAGAGAAACAGGAGGAAACGAGAAGCAGGATCCGAGCGTGGGCATCAACGACTAATCAAGTTGTCGATCTTTGCTTAGTAAGCTGGTCTTGGCATGCTGCTGCCTGGATGCCCAGACCAAGACAACTCAATATGTTCGTAGTATTCGCTCAAGACGAGCACTTCCGGACAGCGCTTCCACAGAGACGTCGCGATTATAGCTGATCAGAGCTGCACATAGTCTAGCCATCAATTGCATGACTGGAGTTTTGGGAGATCCCTGAAATGAGCAGTCAGATATCAGCCCACCTTCCATCGGTGTTTAGTGGTCTTATGCTTTGCTAGCGATCCGCTTTCCACTCAATGACACTACTGTGAAGGGCCTCCCTTGCTTATCTTTAAGGATTGAGTATGCTTGGAGGCGAGAGCCACTTGGGGACGAGGTGAAGCAATTTGAGGATCATCCAGGCACAGGAGAAGGACACCGCAGGGCATTGGCTAATTGGTCTCACATAAAAGATCTCCTCGCGCAGGGTTTTGGTCTCGAAGCAGTTCAGATTAAAGGCTTCAGTCTCTCAAATCAACTCTTTTCGAGTTCTCCTCGAATGGTGGAGTGGGAGTTATCAAGCTAGATTCCTGTTGAAGTCCGGCTCGAAAATCAATGGCTAAAGCCGCAGAGGCCACGGAAGCTGCTAATCGGTACATGAATGTGGAGCGTGAGGTTGCAGGGCTCAAGCAATCTACATATCATACACACGTGTTTCTCCTGTTCCCACTCAAGTTCGTACACGAGTCGCAGGTTCTCCAGCCCAAAAAAATTTCACACCTTCCTCGGACTGGTGCAGGCTCAACCCGACATTTATACTCAATATGCTGCTTTACAGCACGTAGTGCATGTTTGTCACATGCAAAATAGATGCATATCTTATCTTCGGGACCCTCAGACCACAAGCAGCCACAAGCTTCAATATTTCTAGCTCGTTTGCTTGATACAAGTACTCCAGCTTGCGTTGAAGCCTTTCCTTGGCTGGAGATAAGGAATAATAAAATGGGAGGCCTTATTTCTTGTGGGATGTGAGCAACGAACGAACTGTGATTGTCGAAGAGCTTAAGGAAGCCCCTGATTATATATGTATTAGCCACGCTTGGGGCAGGTGGTCCAAAAAAAGAAATGGCCTTTGCAGGAGTTCAAAGTCTTAGTGCCATTGGACCACCTGGTCACCTTTGATTAGTACGTTAGCAGAGGAGATTACCAATCTTCGGTAATCAAGACTACAGTACGACCTTCTGCTATAGTCACCCCGCAGTACTAACGCCTCCGCATGCATAGCTTGGATGAGAACAATCTATCACTGGCTAAACACTCAGGTCGCAGCTCGCTGGCTCTGTGTGAACTATTTACACCGTTGTCATCAGAAAGACTACTACGAGGCAGAAGAGCTTTTGCAGCAAGCTAGCGACGAGGCTGAAGCCAATATCGACCTGATTGTCGACTCCGAGGATTTGGCCCTTTGGTTTTCCTCGTTCTGAACGGTATAAGAAGCTTGCCTATGCCCCGATGTCATATGTTGTGACAAACATTGGCAGGCGTCCTCCATAGTACCCAATCCTGTCATTACACTTGGTCAATCTTTATCGCTGTTTTGGGGTTAACAGGGAGGCGTTTTTCTGGGAGCGCATTCATTTCACCAATTCGCCACAAGGTGCCGGACGATTTCTCAGTATGCAACGAGTAGTATTCGGCCTGGGAAACAGGGCTACGCGCGTTGTCGTTCTTGGGTTGGGCCAGACACGTACATGTCGTGAGAGACGTGCTGAAGCCATCATGTCGGTTGTTGGAGTGACCAGCTGGCACAGAAGACATGTCGAGATGTACGGAGATCTTCCCCCAGATACTGACATTGTGCTTGGAGCTTTCCTCTGAAATTTGTCTGCGAAGCTGCAGAAAAGATGGAGTCATTGTTCTACATGTCATTCAAACCATTCGGTTTAACCGTACCTTTGAACGAAGTCTCAGGCTCAATGTTATCGTTTGGGTCCCCAGGAGATTCTTTGTTGATACTGCACAAGACTCGGGCTTGGTCGAAGGTTGGTATCAAGATATGATCGACCACCCATCTTTGTTGCAGTGGGAGATTAGGCCTAATGCCAGTGTCAAGATATACGAGACTGGAATTTTGCGATCAAGCGAGAGACCATGTAACCTTCCAATCAAGGCGGTGATGGATATCGCGCCTGAAGATGGTGATGTAGCAGCTTTCGCGGGAGAGCTCCAACCCGGGCTCGTGCTCGTGCCGGAGAAGGAAGTTCGCGTCGCAGTATCACTCTGCAAGATCGCTTACGTCCGTAGCGGCGTGAGTCTCCAGGGTGCGCATGAACCTCATTCGAACGAGATGGTGTTGCGCAGTGTTGATACTTTGGATAATAGCGAAAGGATAGAGTTTCCTCCCACGGAGACGGTTGGTTCACCGTTGTACAGTCACCGCACGAGGATCAACTCATGCGCCCGGTTTGAGTCAGAAGGTATGTCGAACCCCGTCAAAAATATCAGCTGTTTATGGAAACCACGATTTCGGCCTTACCGAGGTCCGCTGACATGTCTAAGCCTCAGCGAACCTGAGTTGAGCTTTAGACCTGGATACTAGCAACCCTCTTATGGCGCAGCACGAACGATGTCTCAAACTATGCAGTGCCCTATGACGCCCTCATGGGCACGAAAGGATCGCCTTGGAGTGTCTTTGCACATCATTGTTATTTGAAATACTTTTGCTGGCTACCAAAAGATGACTGTGATGTCAACTTCTCCTATCAGGAATTCCATGCGGATGAATTTTGTGGCAACTCTGTTGGAGTGACTTTTTTTTATAGAAATGTGTTAGTTCGAAAAATGCACTACCCTAAAAGGCATTGAACCCGATGCCAATTCGGGTATTCCCCAGTAGATGGATTTTCGGAAGGTGTTTCCCATAGGCATACACCAGTACGAAGCCAGTAGGTATCATCATCATCGTGTCGATCGGTCACTATAAGTCCTATGCGAGTATCCTTCTTGTGGCCCCTTGCCGTGGAAGTCATACTCCCTACTAGAAGCACACGCAAGGCTTCTCCAAATACGCTGATGAGGAGGTCTCCAATTGATTTTGCTCGTAACTCAGGGAAAGATTGGTGCGCATCAGATGGGCCGGCACTTTTTTCCTTGATGACATGTGTGGCGTCGAAATGAATACTTTGAACCGAGCAATCTCCCGGAATATCGGAGCTGGTGGAGGCTTGCTTCCAGAAAAGGAGAAGATCCTTTGAATGCACTGGATGGGCCCTCAAAAGCAGCTTGACCCGCCCCAGTGAACGAGATTCGCAGTGTGACTTTGGCCTAGGATATCCACGAGCTCTTCCGGGTATCTGCGCGGAATGACGATGCGCCAAAGCTACCGGGCTCGCCGGTTCCGCATGTATGAACAGTTGTGCGAGTACTGGAGATTTCAGGATGAGCGCTTGTCCAAACTCGTCGGGAGGCAACACTTGGGCATACCTATCAGGGAAGGCCTGCCCGTTCCCTACTCTCCAAGGTGCTTGGGAAGAAGTTGACGGCTCGAATACGCAAGGACGATCCTCAAGTCGGCCTGGAGGATGCACCGTTGCTCAATTCCATCGGTCCAAATGATTGCCCTGGATCGCGGTACACGGTTTCGAAAGCCAGTCGCCGAAGCTTGAAGTCTTGAATGATGTCAATCTACAAGATGGGGACCGCCAGCACCAACGAGCCCAGTCAATCGCCGACCAATGTAAAGATGTTGATCTGGGTGTGTTTCTCCTTGGTCGGTGTGAGTTCGGCAACGAGCGTTTCAATGCCGGACTAATGATACTCCAAATAGAGGCTCATGGTGTTGGATTTTGTCATCGAATCGGGAATTGTGTTTGGCTGGTTTCTCATTCGTCGAAGGATGGTGTCGATTCTTCTCTCAAGCCTCGCTTGGATGGAGGAAAGGATGGATGGCATCATCTCGAAGGCTTCTTTGGTTAGCAATGCAGAGATAGAATACGTGAACAAATTCCCATATACCACATCTCCACGTGTATACACATAAAGACGTCGAGAAACCGCATATGGGTCTCGCGATCCCCGTCATAGGTATTGCAGCAGCGTAGAGAAAGCTCACGCTTTTCAATATCCAATGATGAGGTCCTCTCCGTGAGAGGAAGAGAATCAGGGACGATGTAAGTATCCTCGATCTTACCCCTACCGATCAAGAGCAATCCAGCCGACAGCGCAAACCCCAACAACCTCAACACGCAGGCGGCCGGCCGGCCACTCATCCAGATTCGACCTCGCGAATGAACCGCGTGTCTTCGTATATTTGACCTATCCCCGTAAAGCACGGATGGCCAGACTGGAAGTCGGCGCGGACGAGGTTCCGAGGGACGCGCGTGCTTTTTCGGAGTCTGTGCCTACATTCACGGTTGCAGCCCTTGCGATGGTGAGAAACGTTGGGTTCGTCGGTGCTGTTGCCGGTCCGCATTTCTAGACGCCGCTGGCCTGGTTTGAGCCAGTATGGCATGGGCGCTGAGATGCGACGAGAGACCTTCGCGCGCAAAGAGGCTTTTGCGATCCGTGGGGGGATGATGGATTCTGGAAGCGTGTTTGGGGATTGTGGGTATTGATTGTTGTGGATATTTAGTCCGCATTCCATGAATATGCACTTTTAGCTATCCCATCCATGAAAACCACCCGTCACATATCCAAACAGGAGGCACACAGGATGTGACCAAGTGGTTGGGCGCTCCCACGCCGGGGATAACAAGCCCGAACAGGCAGACTTCTCGAACCCCGGCGCCGAAAACTCCCATAGACCTGGAGTGAATTGGTAGCTAGCTATGTACTATACGGGCGCGGTTGGGTGGGGGGGGAGGGCAATGGTATGCAATAAGATGAGAGCCATTGACAGGTGCGAAACAGGGTGTCTCCTACCCCCTTGCAGGGGTCCTGAAACTGGGGCGTACCCCTGTGACACCGGTCCCACTGTGGCGAGTTGCCAACTCGCCGTCCCTCCCTCCCTGATAGCTTGCAAAATCAAATGATAATGATAATGTGCAAGACACTCCTACGCGTTCCTCGTGCCTACCAATGGGGGCGCTATCTACGGGGCACTGCATCAATGAATTCAAGACATCGTTTGTGCTGCGCCAAAGAGCATCGCCATCATCCAGGTCAGGTTCGCCAGGGGCTAGACTCGTCAGCGGACCGCTCGCGGTGAGGCTGAACTCTGTGTTGGTGGATCGTGGGATGGATCTGGGCTGGGGCATTTTGGGACTCCCGGGCGCGCGAAGGAGTTGGGGGATGGGTTGACGTGGAGTGGATACTGCTGATGCTTTTGACGGGACGGGGTTCGATGCGCCGGGCGCATGGATTGATGCTCGTGCGGTGAGTTGGACTGGTTGAGAGCCGTGGGTTAGGAAAATGGTCGGGTGTTCGTGATGCATTGTTGCTTGAGCCGTGGTTTTTGGGTTTACACGAGCTTGTGTTCATTGCATGGAATGATATATTTGATAGCATCGCAATGATCGTAATGTCATGTCTTCGTGCAGCATATTTGAAGTTGTCTCACTGTGAACCGGGTAATAGCTTTCAGCTATCTGTACATTCCTCACAACATGACGATGATAGCAAAGACACTTCTTCGCGCAACACTTTTGACGTTGCGTCACTGTCAACCTTGTAATAGCCTTCAATCATCTGTACATTTCTCGTTTTGCAACCAGACGCTCAAGCAAACATTATCTGCGACGCTTGCTAAGTCAACAAAAAAGACAGTCACTGAGTTCGAATGATAGAGAATATTCATACTTAGACCTCGTGTGAAATGATCGATGTGGTACCACTCGATGCTGAAAGAATCTCCATTTCTCTTCCAGTCGATACGTGCAGCATCATAGCCCTCAGTCGTAGGCACTGCATCAGGCATTGCTATCGTCAGAGTCCTCGGGAGTGCTCTTCAATGTATCAGAGCTCTCCGATTCGTGAAGGTCGTGGTCGCTCTTCCCTTTCCGGATTTCCTTTGGTTTCCCATGCAAGAAATCCTTGAGTACCTGTTGCCCCTCACCATAATTACCAACGTATATCCTCGTCAGTTTCCCCATAACCGTATTGCCACGCTCATCCTGCAGGTACGCGACACGCTCTTCATTGTTGCCCGTGGCAAACTTCTGTGCAAGCCTCGCTTCGGTTCTCGCCCATTGATGAGCTTTGGTGAAGCGGTGGATATACATGGCCAGAGTAGCGTAAAGTTGGTATCCAAGCCAGACGTATTGCAGTCCGACGGGCATCCATATGAGCGAGCACATCAAGCCTATTGGAAATGCGAGGCCGAATGCAACGACGATGGAGATCTGGGCAATTTCGCGCGCGCGATTGCGGATAGGATGACCGTAGTGTCTGAAGAATTGCAAGACGGCCGATTCTTTGCCTTCGATGACGAGGAAACCGTGGCCGTGAGTGTTAACCTCAAAACGTTTGGTTTCTTCTCCATCCGCTTCTTTCTCCGTTGGCTTTGTAAGGAGAGCTTCTCGTTGTATCGTGAAGAATGCGCTCAACAGCTTCAATGCCAGAGGGAGGAACCATAGAAAGCTAAAGTATGATCGCCAATACCCCACAGCGAAACCGCCAACAACCAGCCCAGTGATTTCGCTCCAGACGATGGCCAGGAGAGTTCGACAGCTAGTAGACCCAGTGTCATATCTCACCGTCTTTCGCGGGTCCGTTGTTCCATCTACATATGACAACTCCAGAAAATTCACCACCGACCTTGCCCGGACTAGTCTCGGTGGCTTCACGCCCGATTCTGGGTTTTGCTCTTTCTGACATTGAACCACAAGGGAGATACGAGCAACGGCTTGGACCCATAGACCATTGCGAACGTATTCCTTGCCCTTTGAGCCTGGTGGTGGATCATGCATCTTGTATTTCAGACCGGTATCATGAAAAAACGCGGTTCCCAACATGTTGCCCAGATTGCGGCCTCTGAATAGGCCAGCGCGATGAAATTTGTCGAGAGTGTTCAGAGCAGCCTTGTGCATGGGCCCACCCATGGGATGGAGTAATCCGATCTCAAGAAGGTCCTGCCAGGAGAAAGCATTGAAGAAGCGTTGGGGCCACAGAAGCCTCTCAAAGACATCTTCCGTGGCAGCTTCGGAACCGATATATCCGATTATGGTTCCCAACGCACTAATGACAGAGGTGGTCTGGGAAGCGTTGGACATGTCGCTGATAGAGACTTGTTGCTGTCCTTGGGGAATGAATGTTAGATGTTGTTGACTTTGTACTGGAAATGAGGAGAAGGCTTGATGTAGCAGAGAAGATTCTTGGAATTGGTTCATGTTGAAAGAAAGGTAAAAGTAATAGGTATTGAGGGTGCCAGCGAATATTGCATAGCCCCACTTTTCTTGTGGTAGTATCGTTGACAAAATAATAGGGGTTGGATGAGCTGAAAATGAAGCGGATTTCATGGGAATCAGGCTGTGTCGGTGTCGGTGTCAGTGGCGACCGATAACGCTAAGGTAAAGGTACTGTAAGGTAATCGTGCCACATGCTTCCTTAGCTCCGGCACCATCGGGAAATCATCCCGGAGCTAAGGTACTAGTACCTAAGTAGTAAGGTTGCTGTGTGGTGTGGCGCGATTGGGGCTTGGTACATGTAAGCTTACTTGAGGTAGCTAGATCTAAAAAAGATTTCTTTCCCTTGCTCACTCCAACGACCAAGGCGAATTCTTTCGGCCACTACGAGTACATACTCTACACTACCATAGAACTTGTGATAAATGCATCTTGTTTGTGAGGTGCCCCTGCCACAAGCATGATGCACTGTCTGATGCGCTGCGCCCTAAATCAGCTGGTGATGTTGTGTCCGCCCAAACTCCAATCTCACCGATCATGTACGCTTGATCCAGATGGCATACGATATCTACACGCTGGGTGTACCTCATGCTTGGCCACACCGCCTACTCCATATTCCCTCCATGACCTCTAGAGAATGGAAGCCTGGGAATGTGTATGGTCTTGATACAGAGCCGAGTTATGCTATCCTCTCGTACACCTGGGGCAGATACGAAGTTCCGGACGGTCCGCGACTCAAGATCAAGGGCATCGACTGGCAGGTACCATCAATCAATGTAAATCATTTCACCGTTGCCGACCTGAACCGTCTCCTGGAGCAGGTCATGCTCAAAGATAAGTATGTTTGGATAGACATAGCTTGCATTGATCAAAAACGGGAGAAAGAAAAGATGGAAGAAGTTGGGCGACAAGCTATCATTTTCAAAGGTGCTCGACAAGCATATGTCTGGCTGAACAAACATGAGCCCGAAACCCTCAACCAACACATGCAGGTTCTGATGCGTTGCGGTTACGAATATGCCCAAGGAAATGTTGACCCACTACAGGCAGCAGAAGGGATGCTTAGTAGCATATCCCGTATCCTTCAAGATCCTTGGTTCTCTTCACTGTGGACATTACAGGAGTCGGTATTGCAAAGACATGCCATACTGTTGAATAAAAGGGGTGAGCCTGTCGCAACCAATGGACCGTGGACTGGCCAAAGTGCCTTTTGCGAACTAATGGAAATCTCCGGTGCTTGCGGCATTGCAAGAAGCTTAACCGATCAGGCTATGCAAGCGGAGTCAGGTGCAGTTCACGACGGTAGGCTCTCGCTGCAGTCGGAAAGGCTTCAGTCGCTACGCACGATCATTGATGAGTCAGGCATAGACTTTATGCTCTGCCCAAACCCAAACATCCAGTACGCTGCAGCCAGGTTTAGAAAAACCTCTCGGCCTGTAGATCGCATTTACGCTATCATGCAGGTTTATGGCTATAGACTCGGCAACTCCGTGACTTCAATTCCGAGGATGCGACACTTTGGCCTCGAAGATCTGGAACTGCAGTTCCTTACAACCCTGACCTCCCGGTCTGCTCTACTCAGTCAGGCTTTCCAGCATCTGAAAGTACCTGAAGCAGGGCAGAGCTGGTGCATTATCAACCACATCCGGGTGCCTGAGCGCTTTCACAATGTAATCGTGCATGAGCAATTCCTATCTTCAGCCTGCACCATCTCGGTCCACAAAAAGAGCGAGGCTTACTTCGAAGGCACAGCATTTACTCTACGCGAGCTTTTGGCTTTCTGGAAATCAAGAAGCCAAGAGATGTTGACGTGGCTGCACAAGGCGAGCGACGCTCCCAGTGAGTTGAAGGCGCGCAACGCCTATTTTAGGAATGGAGGGTACATGGATCGGGTATTCAAACGAGCAAAGCAAGGCGTGATGATGGACTGTAGTCAAGCCATGTCATTCGAATGGCCTCCGGACACCACCGTGCTGGATGACCGAGCAGAACCGATAATCGAATGTAGAGTTCCTGAATTGACTCGCGCAGCGGACACTCTACAGGCCATCGGGGAAGCCATAGTAACGAGGCACAGCGACATGACGCCTAGCGTACTTTACCTCGGACGCACTAAGCACATTGAATCTATGGAAATTGCGCTAGTCATTGTACGAGAGGGCAGTGTCCGCAGTGGTCTGAGAATGAAAAAGCAAGACATTTGGAGAAGAGTGGGGATTTGCTTCTGGCATGTTGAAGGAGGTTCCGTTGATGATCTGGCGAGATTGCTCCGTCCGTTGAAGGGAAGGTTTGGATAGAGAGTTTGTTCAGGGTATCGATTTACGGATGACGCCATATAGCAGAGCCCCCCAGTGAGCTTCGGGGTTCAATCTTATCTGAGTGGTTAGGTAAGAATTGCTGGTAGGCCGTAGCTTGTTACTCACATCACTGTAATAGCTAGGAACCCTCTCAGCCTCACATTTTAAGCCTCATAGGTATACATGAGTACATCAGAGGCCTCGTCAGCCTAGATATTTTTCAAAACTGGAAGTCATATTCTTCTTAAAGATCTGCCAACGAGGTCTTCCATTTGCTCGATACCAGAGCCTCGCCAGTACAAGATCGACCCTCGCTCTCGGCGACACATCAAAATCAGGCCAGCAAACAGTCCAACATACATCTCTCTCCACTGAACCAACCCAAGCCACGCTACCTCACAGACCGAAATCGATTCCTCTCGCCAACCGTGTTGGCTTATCAGACTCCTACGCTGTAATCCCTTCCGTTGCGTCCCCCTCAAAACGCAACTTCCCGCAACCCATCCGGGCCCATTTCCCGAGCTGCGGTCTGCAGCATCGAGGATCGTATACATGATACATACATATACTTGACGAACGGCGGCGGGCTCTACTCTTCGGCGGCGACGGCATGGCAAATACAATATATGAAGATTAGATAGGCGTGCGCGCGAAGAAGCAGAACCGGGCGAGAAACCACCGTGCTGACTGCGTCTCCGGCGTGCGCGATCCACAAACTGCTGCGTGGGGGTGCGTGGGATTTACTTGCTTGGCTGCAGTGGTCAGTGGGCTTCAATTTCGTAGCAGCAAGCTAATCAAAAGTGCCAGTGGAAATTGGTACAATCCCCAAACACTTCGACCAGAACAGTGAATTGTATGAAAATGTTCCTAAGGCAGTTTCGATCATGAACGACAACCAATTTCGAGTTGATGCCCGAACTTGACATTAGAATGGTTGGTTTTGGCGCCCCAGATAGGCCACTTCCTTGACAGCTTGCCTAACGTTTGCCCTAATCCGACGGTAGTAATAGCGACGATGCTCTTAGCAACACGAACAGGATGTTACCTTCGCAAAAAGCAATAGCAATGAAGTCTGAAGTTGAGCCGGTGTCTATGGCATGCAAAGCTTGCTGTTTGGCCTCAAGACACTATCAGGAATATGATCCTGAGGTAGCGGAATCGTGCCCTCAATAACTTAGGGATGGCATGACATTTAGTTGGTCCAATTGGATGTTGACAATTTTTAACAAAAGGAGGAATTTGAGTGTGACTCAACCCATGTAGAAATGTCATTGTGTTGACGTGATTGCCATTGTTCACAGAAGTGTTAACGAGAGCCGAACAATGCAGATTTGAACACAAAGGCCGAGTCACTCACAACACTTTCAGACAAGCCTTTGACACATTGCGTGACACGTGTATGCACTCCTGGCTTGCATATTTGTTCTCTTTGTCGAAGTATATCAGCGGAGTCATTCCTGCCTCTGTTCAACCGGATACCAACTTCTCAAACGCAAATTTCCAAAGCCAATCCACCCATCCGACCACCCATCCGCCATGGCCGAAGAATTTCTCGCCCAGCTCCGTTACGTCCGCAGGGGCGTGTTGGAGAAGGGAGACCAGCGATGCTTCATCTGCATGGAAGACTACGGCACCACGCCCTCGGAAAACGGCACCATCGAACGCGCGGTGATACTGCCATGCAACCACATCATGGGCTCGGAATGCATCTCGACCTGGCTCTCCCCTCGGGCACAGGGCGGTGCCGGCAACAACACCTGCCCCGTCTGCCGACACGTGCTATTCCGCCGGGTCCGACGTCCGCCAATCTCACAGTCCAACGCCGAACATATGAGGATCCACACCGTGCTGGCGAATCGATGCGTGGGCCTCTCTGCGCAGCTTGGCTTGAACCACATGCCTGAGATCGCTGGCATGGCTCGATGGATGGCGAATCAAATTCACGACATTTTCGCATTCGAAAGGATTGAACGTGAAAATGATGATCGCTTGGTTCGTAGTGTTGCGGCCGCGAGCATCTACATGGCGAGTCATCTCTTGGGGGATGGAAGGTCGCTGGAAATGATAGAGAGCTGCGCCCTTTCTGGGGATGATCCGATTAGAGGCGCTTACGCTGTGCTCTATCTCCACCGTTACGATATCATTAACACACAGCTGCTTGCCCGTGTTGGGATGGGGCTGGGCAGCATTGGCGATGTTCTGCCTCCCGCTCTGCCGTAGCGAGTCGTGTTTGAATTGGGAGGGTTCTGGGTTTGAAATGGTGACGAACGGAAGGATGAGAAAAGCTGATTTTTGAAACGCTGAAGCGAGGTTTGGACGCACAGTGTTTTTTGGTTATTCCTTCGCGGATGGTTGCTAGTCGGATCCCCGAGGATTCATTGAAAAGCACTCAACCTTCAGAGCATGTATATCAATGATATTGAAAGCTTTCAAATTCTTGAATACGATCTCATAGCGTAATAGTCTGCTGCCGACTCTGAGCCGACACAGTCAATGATCTTGAGGCATCCCATGTGTCCGACAGATCGAAGCATGATGAGAGCGCCAAAATTAAAAAGCGGCCATGCAGAAACATTCTGTTAAAGCGGGTACAAAAGTTCATCTACTTGTGTACTTGTTTGGTCGGTGAAGAAGCGCGCAATGGTTCTGACGACATTGTATGCTGCACCTGTCGTTCCATGGTGGCTGGAAACATATGTCATGTTGGACCTCTTTTCGGAAGACAACCTGGTCGGGAGGCTCAAAGTTGCGGTGAAGCAGGCTTTGAGCTTAGCAGGTGGCACCGGCAACCTAACTCAGGTCCTCGGAGAGCACCTCGCACAAACGAACCTAACAGGCAGCGGCGAGGACACTGCCCCACCTAACGCGCTAGTCGGTAATGTAACAGACAGCAATCTAGCACCACTTGGGTTCTTCCACCTCAAGGTTTCAATCATCCTTTCACCCTCACGAGGTCGTGCCGTCAGCAATGAAAGCATTGCTGGTGCCGCCAAAGTAGACATCAACGACGTCTTTCTCACTTTCCATAACGCCCTTCTCCATGTCGCCCGATTCCCTGCCGAAAGCCAGATGCAGTCATTTTCGAGTACCTCTTCGAGCGGAAACTTGCATCTGCATGTGCAGCAGACTCAGGTCGGTTGTCAGGAGAGACCAAGGGTAGAGGCGCATCTTCGTAGTCTATTCTACAATGGTCCAACGATAAGGGTACGCTGACTTTGGGTTCCGATACAGTATGGAAGGCTCATCAGTGCTTTGATCTTTGTGCCCAAGTATATGATGGAGCATAGTAGTCTTGGGTACAGAGAGACGGATTTTGTGGTTAAGGTGAGTATGGAGAGGGCTGTAAAAGGCACTATTATCAAGGAGCTGCTGCCGGTGGAGAGGTAGAGTTGGATCAGTCGTTGGTTGGATGACAGGTGGGGGGAAGAAGAAATGGTTTGCTGGTAGAAAATATGCACGATAGCGTGTGTTGCCTGAAGTAAAAACCATGATTAGAGAACAAAAGGATTGCACTCGAAATATGCTAGAAATCCTTGCAGGCTACCCTGGTCTTGATTGACGAATAGGAGGAGGTACTCGGCTCGTGACTAACAATTTCTTGGCATGCAGCTAGTTGGAAAGCTTGCTTTCTCAATACCAAGACTTGAAAACGAGAATGGGTGCTACGCTAAGAGGCTAGTGACCAATCAGATCATCGGATTTCATCGTTTTCAGTCTAAAACACATCTTATTTCTTCATTTTCGATCTAAACACGGGTACGTCCAAAAGAGGAAGCACCATAAGGCTGAACCTCGAATATCAACTTTATTAATTTATTCTATTTAATTCCTTTAACGTTACGTAATAGATAATAATAAAGTAAATTTATAGAGTTATAGAGTTAATTATACGCTTTTAAATAAAGTAGCGAAGACGAAATTTGATAAAGTATTCGTAAAGATATACTAAAAACGAAAGATTTTTATTCAAATTATCGAGCTTGCGAGAAGAGCCCCTCCGGCAGGAGCCCTCGGAGAGCCCTCGGAGAGCCCCCGAGGGTTAGGGGGTTTCAGGGGGTCTCCCCTGAGTATATCAACTATCTCTCTCGATTCTCAGGGTTAGACCCCTTAAAATCCCTTAAACCCTTCGGAGCTCTTTAAGGGCTCTCCGAGAGCTTCTGTCGAGGGGCTGTCAAAGCAAGCTTGAAATCAATCAAATATCACTAAAATAATCAAATTTCGAGCTTGCTTTGACAGCCCCTCGACAGAAGCTCCGGAGAGCCCTTAAAGAGCCCCGGGTCCGAGGGTTTTAGGGGATCTCCCTGAGAATCAAAAATAGTTAAAAACCAGTACTTGGCAAGCTTTTCACTACTGGGAAGGACACGCCCCAGCACATATTTTTCTTGGCATGCAGCTAGCGGTGGTAGTCTCAGCTCTCAGCATGCGGTTTTTTCCCTTCGCCTGAGTCGGTAACACTTCCTCCATTCTTTTTAAGATGAAGTTCTCAGTGCATGCTGCCAATTCTGCAGATTGCCCCGCTCTTGCTACTCTCTCCCTCGCCGCATTCAAAGATGATCCCATTGTTGGGTTCTATGCAAAAAATGTTCCGCCAGACATCATGCATGCATATCAATGCCAACAGTACCGGCGGAGGTTACAGACGAGCTCCCTCAATGGGCTCAAAGTCTTCAAGGTCGTCGACGATGATACGAGGTGGGTAATATCTGCTCTTCACATAGGAACGCACGATAATTACTTGAAACGTTGGCTTGAAGCGCTACCAGGCTTCAAGGATCATTCACATAGGATTCGGATGCTAACAGATAACAGAGAAATAGTCGCTGTCGCGAGGTGGCAAATTCCTTATAGTCTGAGCGTAGAGCAACAGGCTGAGAAAGAGAAATTGCAAGAAGCGAAGCTAGCAAGGCCCGAGGGATACAACAAGGAGCTTGAGGAAGCGTTCTCTGCAGCTCTCGATAAGCTTCAAGAGAAGTGGGTTGATGATAGCAAGGACTATGGTGGGTCCTGACCTCTCATGTCCTTCGGACCTCAGCATCAAAGATCCCACACCATTGACCATTATCATGATAGTCCTTCTAGGTCTTGCAGTATCGCCCAGCCATCAGCGCCTCGGCCTCGGCTCTCTGCTTATCCGCGGAGGCCTTGCGATGGCGGATGAAGTGGGCGGCAGAGTATACCTTGAGTCCTCGGCAGTAGGGATGCCGCTGTATCTCAAACATGGGTTCAAGCCGGTTGATGACATTTTGATTGATATGAGACCCTATGGTGGGACTGGAATTGCGTCTGAGAAGTGTATGATGAGGGAACCAGGCGGAAAATGATGCGCGGTAAGGAGCGGTACAGATGGGAAGTAGTTGTGGTGACCCAGGTATGTTGTCTCAAGAAAATCTTAGAGAACCTTCAAATGTGAAGCGACAGGTCATGGTCACTTTCATCTGAGAAATCTGTGCCAGTCAGAGCTAGCACGAGCTTTTTACAGATACCATGGAGCCTGACTTACCGCTCGGCGACATTGGACGTCTACTCTCTGGCCTGTGAAGGAGTGGAGAATAAATCAAGATCCTCCGCCTGGAATGAAGTCATGCACTGTTACTCGGCGAAGATTCGTACTTACGAGGGAGCGCTCTTCTCAGCGACATGATGACCCCGCATGGGAGGGCGCAAGTTATTTCTCTCGAGCAACCTTCCCAAGCGAATCCCAAATCCTACGAGAAAAGCCATTTCCGAGAAGGAGGGCTACGACCGAGACATTAGCTACAGCCTTCACTAGCTGATCATAAAAGCGCATAAACCGCTAAACAAATAACCACACTGTCCAGACCACGCCTTATGGAAGCTTAGAAAGCCAATGCAATCCAAGTGGTGTGCACACTTGATCGATCCGCGGAGAAGAAGTTCAAAAGTGTCGGAGCCTTCGTGGTTAGAATCGAGCGACGTGCATTAAGAACAGTCTCAAGTATTATGAAGGCGGTGCGCATACAACCTCGCTTCCGTCTACTACAGGCGGCTAGCTTATCAAGGAATTACTCCAGCGCACAAGTCGCTGTTGCGTGCAGTAACCGTGGGGCCGTTCGGCCCGCGGGATTGGTTCCCATCTCTTTGGGATCTGCTGATCCGTCTTACATGCATCCGAAGTGCTTACTCCCCTGCGCCCTCTCGAGGTGCGGGGCCCTTGCATGCCGCACCGCCCTTCGCGGCTTCGATTGATCTGCTACTCGTCTTAGCGTGATATGAATTCATGCATACCACCGGAGATTTCTGCAGCCTCGCAGCAATACGCGAGAATGGTCGATGGGTTGTTTGAGCCTACAAACACATAGTCTTCCACGGCTAGCCAAGGCGAGTCCGTACAGAGTGATCAATCTTCAGATTTGATCGATTGGAACGGACGGCATGTGTCATTGGCTGGGTTGATATGAGCTGCAATCAGACAAGCTCTGAAACGATCCAAAGACCTACAGGTTGAACCCCAAGCTAATTCCAAACATCGAAATTGCAGGACGCCGCTGCCTCCGCCGGTGCATAATTTGCCCCTGAACAAGATTTGAGCTGGATCATGTCTGGGCAGGCTGGGACCACCTGACGTATTCCATGTCTCGCCTAGTGTGCAGACTTGTCTTTGGGCTTCGTGAAGCCAGAGCGCAAATTTATATCCAGCTTTCTTCCACCCTCTTCCCGAGCCATGTTGGGGTTGAAACACGTGGTCAGATAGCTCAAAGATCAACAACACCTTCCTTGAACATTGCTTGTCTGAGCCTCACTGTGAAAGGAAGGTCAAAGCATTTCGACTATACATGCATATTATAGTGAGACCGAGGTAGGGACATGGTTAGCCGTATGTGGGGGGCTAAGGATCAAGTGAGTCCTAACGTCCACTTCGAGTTCCATCTGAGGGCGCAGGTGTATATCATTGTTCCGGAAACAGACCTTCTAGCTCTGTTTGATTCTCTGTTCAGCCTGGCACAACATCCCGCATTTACTCGGAGATGGTACCTTACCCGCGTGCGCTCAGCCAGCCTCGAGTCAGTAGGTCCAACAATTCAGGCCATGCGTCAATGACTGGAGCAGGCTCGGGGCGGCAGTTCTTCCCTTTGCGTGCAGCCTGTCCAAGTTTTCCGTCGGGCGTAAGCTGGGCACAGCTTGCATGAGGGAATATCTGTAGGCTCAAACTGGACACCATCTAATTCTACATGAGAGTCTTGCTGATAGCTGTCCAGGATCTGTCCAAGCGGGTAATGATGCGCGATGGGATTGTGGAGCCAACGCGTTGGGCCCTTGTCGGCTCGCTTTTTTCGCAATAACATGCATATCGGGCTGAGAACAATACATAATCCGGGTAACCATTCAGCACAATGCTGATGAAGGATTGGTCCCCACCTTTTAATGATACTCCCTTGAAAGGCTAAGGACTGAACGGCGCAGCCCGTCTTCGACTCCCATAGACGACGCAAATGGGCCGAAGACAGAAACATGCCACTCCAGTCAGCACGGCACTGTCCATCCGATATCACCCTACTTAGCGGGCGTCGAAGCAAAACCCTGCGACGCTCACCTATGTCAAGTAATCGACATAGCTAGCGAGCGACATAGCTCGCGAGATAGACCTGAGGCCAGACGCTGTCACTATGGCATTGATCATTGGCTGAGTTGGTCCGAAGCGCTATCAGACAAGCTCTAGATGGGTTCCGATCACCTGCAAGTTCATAGCCTCATGCATCACACCAAGGCGTCACCGACCATCCCTTATGCTGCAGCCTTGCATATCCTCTCGCAAAAGAGCCTTAATTGGGCTATTATTCCCGATGCTCACGGCTCGACCTTTCTCAAGGTGCTGTCAACGATGAGGGATTAATGAAAACTTCGAGCTGAGCTGCCAATGAGCTGAGTACAAGAAGTGCTGAATTCCCAGCACCGAGAACATCATGTCGAGACCATAAAGCAAAACTCCCAACCATCCTCCTCTTTCCACTGGATCCAACATACTAGTATCTGTATCCACACGACTATACCAACATGCATCTTCAACTAGTCTCTACCATCGTGGCACTCGCCCAACTCGCCAGTTGCGCGCCATTCTTGGAAGGAAGAGTAAGTCTTCCCTTGTCTTCTTATTCTGGAGGCCTCTATCTGATATTATTAAAGGACACATGCACTACAAATGACCTGAACTTCCCTTCTGGTGGCATGCATGGCTATAATGGCATCTACTGGGGCTTCTTGCCCGACGATGTCGCCGGCACCACAATGAGCCATATCAACGGAGATTCTGGCAAAAAAGCAAGCACGTAAGTTGGTCCTCTGACCTGTGTGGCATGCGCTTGTCCGAAAACTCACGAGACCAAGTTACGGACGCTACTCTCAAATCAGTTCTGTGCCATACACAGGCGATCAGCTGACCAGCGTCATGTCCGATGTCGTTGCGTCGGGCGCAGTCTTCATCCCAGCCATTATGCCAACCGGACTCAAATTTGCAGACATCTCGACAGACGTCGCGAATCAGATTGCCAGCGTATTGGAAAAATTCACATCGCAAGGTGTAGAAGTGTGGCTTCGCTTTGCACACGAGGTGAATTACTATGTCACTCAAGCCAGCGGGCCTACATATCCTGGAGGCAGTAAGCAAAAACCCCAATGCCCCTTTCCTCTCCCGCCAGATGCTCTAACCCGCACGACAGCGCAAGCGGAGTTCATCGCAGCCTGGCAAAGAGTCCACGCCGCCGTCGCCAGCAACCCCAAAATCCTCATGTTCTGGTCCCCAAACGAAGACTCGGTCGCCAACCTCAACGGCTGGTGGCCCGGTGCCGACTACGTCGACATCGTCGGCATGGACGTCTACCCCAACCCCGGCGCCACTTTCGCCAGCGCTTACGGCGCCTTCTACGACGGCTTCGCCCAGCAATACAACAAGCACTTCTGCATCGGCGAAACCGGCGCCGCCAACGGCGGGTCCGTCGCGGACAAGGAAGCCTGGGTCGCGCGGCTGGCGAAGGGCGACGTTTCGGCTTATCCGTGCTATAAGTCTGCGACGTGGTTTGAGTTTTACAAGGGGGTGGATTTCCGCATCGTTGAGGGCCAGTCTGCGACGACGGTTACGGAGACGTTGTCGAATTTCGCTTGATGGGGCTGTGGGCTTGTTGGGCGATTCAACATCGCGGATGGAAATGGTGTGGGGATGGCTTTCTGTGGTTGGGCTTGTCGCAAGGAATAGCATTCCTGGGGGGTTTCCTCGCCTGTCTTACTCAAAGCTCCAATTGACAGCCCATCTTCTTGGCTAGCCAGAAAGTAAGTCCGGTCGCAAGATTAGACCCGCTACTCCGTAGAGACTCATACCAGTAGCGACGACTTTTAAAGCGAGCCTAGCACCGCTCACTGCAACCTAGGCCAATATGTGGATATGCTTGCGGTTCCATCACCGCCTCCCGAGGTCCCCGGCATCGAAGTTACAGCCTGATACCAGGTCCGAGGATCATCTGCTGACCATTTCGATTGGGAAGCTGATTGAAGTAAACCATGGTGTGAGTGCCTTCACCACTGCATTGCAGCAAGCTTCCTCATTTCTGACAGATACTAAAATTCGTGTGACTTGGCCGCTTGTACCTAGAAGACTTCTCCCCCCTTTCGCTACACTTTCATCCCCCAAACAGCTACAAATACCCCTTTTCCTCCGAGCTCGCTCAGCCCAGGCAGATTTGAGATGATCTCAACTAAGGCACGCTTCGAGGTAGTCCAGCATCGCGGCACAAGGTGCGTTTCTCGTAAGTCGATGTACTCTGAACCCCCTGAGAGCGAGCCTTTTCGAGTTCCCGCGGACGGAAGGAGTGTAGGAGCGAGTTTTTACGGTACAGGAGGGGCCGCCTTAAGGATGGGGTCATCCTGTTCGCGAGGGATACGCTCTGTGCGTGGTAGAAAAACACCCGGAAGACGTATCCGGAATTGTGCTCGAGACTCGCGTGTAGGCCACACGTTACGCTTTGTCTAAGGGGATGTACAGAGGTCAAATGGAGGGTATAGGTGTAGTAAATGGGGGCGTACGTCTGGTAATGTCCTTCAAGAACTCAACTCCAACTCAGGGTGACCACAACCATCAAGGCCAATATGTCCTATTACGACCAATCAGTAAACTAGCATTCCGAAAAATTCCAGGGAGGGCGGGAGTACCATATAACGAGTGCACCGCACTTCAATCCACGAGAACAGCTCGAACACGACACGGACTCTCTCCTCTTGTCTTCCGATTCCGGAAGGAACCCGATTGGCATGTCGACAAGATATTCCCTTGTACACTATACCCCGTCTATGCGCTATCCAGTCTTAGGGAGAAGCACGGTTCTTTCCCGGCACGAAAAACGCAGAGTGTTTCGGCAGGTGCGGTGGAAGTGTCCAGCTTTCTCACCCCAAAGATTACCATCTGGCTGACCCCAGTCCGAGAAGAAGTTGGAGTAGTACGTTCACGCAGCGGTACCCTAGCCTTGACACGTTCGTTTGATGATGGGCATTATGGCTATGATAATCAATCCAAGCTTTGACGTCAGCACCCCCGGAAAGGGTATCAAACCCGGCGCCGGATTCCCCCATCCCTTGACGGGGCGACGAAGGATGACGTGACTGGAGAGATGCAGATGGCAGACTTCATCCGTAGGAACGAAACCCGCCCGCCCGAACGCGAAGCAGCCTATCCAGGAGATCCAATCCGGCGATATCGTCTACCTGGATGATCAGCCTTGCAGAATGTTCGATCCGCCAAAGATCCATCACCTACACTCGATCTCAGGGGACGGACAGCCACGGGCGAACTGGAAGAAACGGTGGTGAGAGTCCGCGGCGTCAGTGTCGTCGATGGCAGGGGGTACGACGAGATGTACGACGCGAGTGGGGAGGTTGAATTCTTCTTCGTTGATAAGCACGATGAGCGCGAGTGGCTTGTGGTGGGTCTCTTCCCAAGGCTTCCGAGCTGGAGGGGCTGATTGGTGGACGCTTCTCTTTGCAGACGCGTCGTTGAGGGTACGAAAGTGTTTCTCCGGGCGCCTGGAGGATCTCCTCTGTTACCTGGGTCATGTGGATGCGGCCGGAGGGAAGAGATTCCTTGGTTTTGGCTCCTTGCCCGGAAGCTCGCGGGGCGAGTCTGTACGTGTGCGTGGTTCCCTAGGGGGTTGGATCGGGCTGGACTGGTTCGGGGTTAGACTTCAGGGTTTACCGTCAGATGGGACTCGATGTGATCACCGGTGCAAGAGACGCCCCCGGCTTTTCAGCTTGACAGGAGAGGATAAATCACGGAGGTTGAGCGCGCTCGGCACATGGTAGTGAGCCGTTTGGATAAGACAGGTCGTTAGGATGAGAAAAAGGGTCTGAGTTTAGCTGATCTTGGCCACGGAAAGGAAGCCTGTGACAAGAATCTTATAACACGCCTCGATAATGACTTGGGAGAAATACAAGTCACATCAAAAGTAGTCAGAACACTTTAGTGAATGTCTTGAACAGTTTCTGGATGGTTGATAGAAATGACCGTTCTTGTTGCTTTGGATAGCAATACTTGCTAAATGTCGCAGAAATGCTTGCTTGGACTGCTTGTTTCTCACCGCAGCTACTCGAGACCCTCAAAGGCCTTGGCTCCAGCAAAGAATTCCTTCAGCGTTGTAAGTTTCTCATCCAAGATCTAGAACGGAGGTATTAGCTAACGCAGAAACATGGAGCACGGAGATTTCACGCCTCGACGGAAAATAAATGACAGACTTACCTCATGGCTTTCAGCCAGACTGGATTTCCCATAGTATCCGTATTCGTTCATGAAAGCCATATTCTCATAAAGCTCTTGCTGAACCTTCTCCGGCATACCAGCATGAGCGAGGGCGCCCTTATAGTCGTCCTTGGACATCTGCACGAATTTCGCGCTTTCGCCAGCCTTGGGGAACAACTCCTTGAAGATATTTATGGCATCCGAGGGAGTGCTATAATCCGTCGCAGCGAGGACTCTCTTTCCGAGTACCTTCTCGCGATGTGTGAGTATCCCTTTGACGAATTTGCCCGTGTCACTACCAGCATCGAAGCATGGGATTGGTGTATCGGCAGGCATAGGTAGTGCTAAGGTCCAGTGGTTTGATGGCGGGAGTTGACGGAAAGCACCACCAGGGATGTTCGACATAAAGAAGCCTGGCATGAGGAAAGTGGCCGGAACGCCAATGTCGCGGATGTGTTGCTCTACAGCGGCCTTGGAATCGAAGTGCTCCACGTTGGGGAACTTGCCGCCTGTCAGCTTGGCGACGTCGTAGAGCGACGACCAGATCAGATGTTGCACGCCGCACTCCTTTTCCGCATTTTGTCAGTAGCAAACGTTGACGAGGATAACGCGGGTGGGCTGACCTTTGCGAGGTTCCCGATGTTCCGACCCTGTTTCATCTCCAGCTCGGCATCCATCTTCTCCCAATAATTGGTCACGGCGAAGACGGCATGAGCGCCTTGTAGCGGCGGATTTGATCTGATGCTCGGAATTCATGTCGGCAGCGACACACTCGACACCCTTGGCTGTCAAAGCTTGCGCATTGGGCTTTGATGGGTCGCGAGTGATGGCGCGAATCTTGAACTCGCCGGCGGTCTTGGGGTCGCTCAGGATGGATTTGATAACAGAACCGCCTTGGTTGCCGGTGGCACCAAAGACGACAAGAATTTTCTTTGCAGCCATGATTGAGATTCTCTTGCTGAGCCTGCGACAGAAGGGATTGTTGATCCACCTATATATATCAGAGCTGCGGGGAAAGGGTTTCGTGGCTGGCTTTTTTAGTACTCACGCATACTCTCGTATTAAGAGCAATCTCTAAAACTCATTATACACACTATTACATAACTTTATCAATTTAAACCTGATTATAAAAAATTCAAAAAATTCTAATAACTGTATTTTACGCTCTTTTAACTTTTTTTTCTAGTTTTTGAATTCTATTATCGTGAATAAACAATTTATAAGAATTAGGTTTTGGAGATTGCAAATCCTAGAATACGAGTACCTCGGACCCTCGCACTCTTGTCACGAAAGCGCAAAGAAGCGATCGAGCGAGCTTTGCGCATCAACTGATAAATCTATCACCAATTGCCTCTTTGCCTCCATCCTGAGGGTCTGTCATCATTGTATTGCGGAGAATGGCACGACTGCCAGGCTGAGCCAAATACTGAGCGAATGCCGAGTAAAGCAGACTGCAGAAGTCCGAACGCCGAGCGAGATGCCAAGGAGCTAATGGTCTTTTTGGTTAGACCACATCGACGATAGGGCTGAATTCTATCCAAGGGAGAGACCATCCTTTCTGGTCGCAGAACACCATGTATAAGGTGTGAAGATGGATGGCCTAGGTGCTGATTTTCGAGAGCCGGGTTTTCCGAAACATGGAGAGGTTGTTGAGGAACAGGGAAGATGGTGTGATCCTTGACGCCGTGGCTCGTTCGATTACTTTTGCTACCAACGCTCCTAGATCCGCAGCACAGATCGGTCTCATCATCGAATGGAAGGTTGAAGTCATGTGCTGTGACATTTTTAAGGAGAACTGGGCGAGGTAGAAGACTGAAAGGAAGTGAATGGCGGAGAGTGGAATCGAGTTGGCACAGTTGCGTAACGAGGTAAGCCCACCAGAAGCGAATCTGAGAACTAACGATAGGATACATCATAAGATCCATATAAAAGACAGAAAAGAGCTATAAGAATTGAGGTACAGTATCATTGACGCACTCGTATGGGATTGCTATCGATACAGGTACGTTGTAATATATGAAATTCCCCGTGAGCAATTCAACAAGGACTTGGGACAATAGCATGTACCATCCAAGCGCAGCGAGATTGATGAACATATCCCACGTCAACGTATCCATAGGTGGTGCTCCTATTTTCCACCAGACCGTTTCCAGGCCTTCTCAGCTTCCTTGAGCAGCGTCCTGATCTTTTCCTTTCGAGCTGTCGGTACGTCACTATCCGTAGCGACACCCGAAGGTTTTGGACCCAGTAACCTGCTTGTCTTAATTGTAGGATTGGCGCCGTGATCAAGAAGCGCCTCTACAATCTCAAGCTGGCCTCGCCGCGCGGCATCGTGAAGAGATGTATACCCATCTGTATCCGAAGCATCGATGTTAACACCAGATTTCAGAAGATGAGTGACGCAAGCCTTGTTATTGCTCTTGACAGCCAATTGTAAAGGCGTTTGCCAGGAATATTGACTTCTAGCTTCTTTGTCTGCACCGGCCAGTAACAATTGTTCAACGGTATCAGAGGAGTCAGATAGACTACAAACAGCTTGGTGGAGTGGTGTACGACTCAGTGATTCTGGGGTTTGCGCTTCAAGCGCAGCGCCGTTAGCAAGTAACAGAGGAATCATCTCGGCCTTTCCACAATACGCTGCCCAGTGCAAAGGCGTTAACCCAAGTTTGTCGACTGCCTGAATGTTTGCACCGTGATTTATGAGTTTCTTCGCCAGTAGTTGTTCACCATTTTGGCAAGCGTATATCAGTGGAGTCCGCCCCTCATTGGTCGGAACGTCCAAAGGTGGGCGATGTTTTAGTTAAAGATCGACTAAAGTTCCAGAGATGGGTTGTATGGGGATAATAGCCAGTGGATGTAGTGTTGTTTGGCCTTCGTCGTCTCTTGCACCTGGGTTTGCTCCTTGTTTTAACAATAGTTTCACTATATTCTCGTGCTTATAGTGTGCCGCTGTAAGAAGAGGAGTGGCTCCATTGCCGTTTTTGCACTCTAAATCATAGGTGTGTGCTAATAGTTCTTCTGTCTTTGCCTCATGGCCTCCCCTTAACCGCAGATACCATTACTTCATCCATGATCATGCTTTTGGCGCCATCTGTAGCAAGGTTCAGGTCTTCTGTTTGAAACGATGTCAGTCCGACAACTTCAGATCCTACCTTCGGCGGGTCCGGGTCCACTTCTCGTTTAGGGTCTTTCGGAAGCAATGGCTTGTACACCGAGCGATGTCGTCGGTTTTGTGTTTTTGCTGGAAGCGACAGACTCATCAAAGACAGTCGGAGCCGTGTCAAATGCAAAGTCCGTTGGGCTCGATAAAGACCGCGTGTTATCGAGTTTACTAGGATTGATGACAGATTGCCATTGAGAAACGGTCTCGTTGAGTAGGTATTGTTGTTGGGCTGCGTGTCAACGCCACGAGGAGGTTGGTCCATTTCCATTTGGCGAAGTTTCTCAATCTGTTGAACAATGGCTTCATCGGAGAGAGTCCTTGATGGTACTGGAGCTGGATCTGCTGAGCGATCATCGGACGGCATGGAAGTTTGACGACGCGCAACCTGCAATAGGCTCCAGCGCATTGCGGATGCTTCATCTACGCTTTCGAGAACCCTGCTGGTTTCGTCACGATAGTGTTGCAAAGAGTAAGGAGGTGGACGAAGAAGCAGATGACGAACACATTGAGACTTGAGAACGAGAATTCCAGTTACTGCTACTTCCCACACACTTCGATATCGCCACTACTATTTGTGTGTTCCTGCCTCGATCCTTGGCCGCCGTCTAAGACCGCTCTCCACATCCGTATCCAAATGTTCCCGCTGCACAACGACGCGATCCCACTGTTCTATCTCGTCCGCCAGCCGCTCTGCCATCGCTACGCTCCGATGCTTGCCTACGCAGATTTCCGAATCAGCGCGCTTTTTCCTGACCAGGATACAATCTAGCTCATAGGACAAGTTTTGGGAAAGGCTGGGGTATTTCAAAAAGACCTTGTACATACCCGCCACGCAGTTCAACACAACTGCTGCACACCCCCTCGCTGATATGGTCCGTTTAGGATCCTTACCTCGAGGTGATCCAAGGCCTTCTGGAAAATCCTTTCGTGTACTGGATTCGAAAAGAAGTAGTCGAAAACTTCTCGGTCGGCTCCTGTATGATTGAGCTGGAGATGGTCTGGTGGCGCTTGGGCACCGGAACAGTCGAGATGCATGAGCTTGGGCATGGGGATTGGGGGGCGACCGCGTGAGTTGCCGTAGGTGATGATGTGGATGCAAAGCCCGTTGGGACGCGCATGGCCATTTGTACGGCTTCGGCGAGGGCGAGGCATGGCTTTGAGATGGAGGGTGTTGTTATAATTTTGGTTGGAGAGAGGTCCGTAGGGTCGTATTCTTTTGATCCCTGAGCCTGAAGAAGGAAGAATGGTGAGAAAGTTAAGGAAGTTGGGAGAGTATTCGATTGGGGAGTGTTGAAGGATAACGATGGCAAAATGCGGCTTTAAAGGCTGGCGAACGAAATGCGTTTAGACCAATGTTGAGTTGTTGTGGTGATGTTCACCCATTTCTAGCGGTACATCTTACCTTTTAACACAACACGAAAATTTAGTCCTTAAACACACTCTGGCGTCGCCTGGCAACGTCGCGAACTTCCTTAAACACACAATAGAAGATCCCAGACAGATAGAGACGTTTCACTACACTTCGCCAGATTTTCCTCATGGCGCTCATGATAGCTTCGAGGTCGCTACTCCGGGGGTTGATTCTACCGCTCACTGGGGCCGAAAAAACAACATTTTTCACCCGTAAGCATGTATTCTCACCCCTTGCCTGCCCTAGGTAATCATGTACAACAATCTGGGCAACAGGCGCACTCTGAAGCTTCAAAAAACTCGTTACCATGCCCCATAACCTAACTTATATCCTCAAGTGTCACCCTCCCAGTCCCCAAGGGCTTGCTAGAAAGAACCTGCCGTTTGAATTCGGTCTCAAGCTCGGACCTGTTGCCAAGCGTGCCAAGCTGGCTTATCTGGGAGCCATTGCTCAACGACCCGATCCCGCTCGGCTGCTTGACAGGCTCCACGGGGAATCCAATCGACATGTAGCTACTCATCTGTGCGAGATTGAATGGCGAATCGCTCGTGTACATGTATAGCGCTGCAACGTGGGATCGGCCACGTACTGAAAATGTTGCAACAGGTCAGCAGGCTTCAACCGCTCGAACACAATGAATGTCAGTGCGTTCGTTTCCGGGTTATCGGATTGAGGGTGAGGAGCAACGAGATTCCTCCTCAACGTGTACGTGTTAGCGGTGCATACCCCCCTTTGGCGATTCCACCGGCAAAGCAGTTCCTAAAATGGCTGAACTGTTCTTTGACGATGTGCCAGCTTGCGACAAATTGCGGATCTAGCACTTTGATTGACATGGGGCGAGCTTCGCTCATAAGAGCAATGCGACAGGAGTCTATCAGAAACTTGGCATCAGCTTTATCGAGCTAAATTCAATCTACCAACGGGTAGAAATCTCAAAGCCTTTCTGAATCTCCGCAACCATGCCACGAAAACATGATAAGTCGAAATAGGGTCAGCGAGGAGTATACATACTATGCTTCCAGATTTTTGGCAACTGCACAATCGCGTCGGGTCGATGGTTATTACTGATACCACCAAACATAGGCTGCATGAACTGCGGCTCTGCAAAAATCCTCGGCCGCTGGCCTTTGATGTTCCGGGGGTGCTGCCTGAGCGAATGGGATCTTGGAGATGGCCCGGCTGCAATCATCGTTACTCGGGGCTACCGTACGCGTCGCTGTTGCAGATGGCTGAGCTGACAAGTGCGCTGTAGAGGAGGCATAGACATATTGTGGGCCAGTCGAAAAGGTTGCTGCCTACCATGGCGATGATGGCTTTGAGTGATGCTTGCAAAAGAGGCCGGAGAGGGACTTCTTATTCAGGACACAATGACCTGGCGTTCCTCGGAGATTCGTGATCATAAGGTTGACATCTTGTCAGCAGCAGCTGAAGACACACGGGCAGATGGCGTTGCCGACTCGCCCGGGAGCAAGGAGTTGTAAAGCAAAATGGTGGTGGAGTCAGTACTTGCTTCTAATGTTCTTTTAAAGTAGACGAAGCGGCGAACGAGTGCGAGTTAATTGTGATGCAAGGTATGTAATGCGCCTGAAGTAGACCAAGAGCAGTATAGCGGCATAGCTTCATGACAGGTCGGACGGCACATTATTCGACAGTTCAGAAGAATGAAAACCAGGGAGGAGTGGCGTTGAAGTATGTCGCAGAAGAAAGTCCCTCAGGCCGTTAAAAAAATTGACTTCCATGATCGTAGAAGATGGAAGCCCAGCATTGACATTATATCTATGGGCTGATGGAGCACCTTTCGAGAACGTCATGAACAACTATATGAGCTATAGTTTCCCGAGAGGCTTGAATCCCGCTAGTATGCAAATGTTGCTGGGCAAAAACGCCTCTTCAGTACTGGGGCTGGGGATTGTAAATGCCACCTCCACGGTAGGGGTATGGCCTTGGGTGGCAGCACACAGGATGGAGGGACGGCGACCTCTTAAGTATGAGATCGATGGAGGGTGAGCTACCGCTGTGGAGTTGCAGCAGCGGGTTCTGAAGATTGATTCCTGTCTCTAATTTGTGGATAGAGCGTGTAGAAGGATCTTGATACAAACTTGGTTGGACATCACTCTCGCCTATTTCCGAAGAAGTAGCGGAGGTTGAGAAGAAGGGCCATGTATGTGGCCCTGTTTGTGATGTTCAAGAGAACCTTTTTACAGGCCGTCTTTTTTGGTTCTCGGTTCCGAGTCAACAAATTTTGAGTGATGCCAGGGCTTGGTACCTTCTGTTGTCGATGGACCGTCGCCATTCTGAGGGGCAAGAGGTCGCGCTCTGACCGTAGCAGAAGACATGCGGTGCAGAACGTCGCTTTGCTGACTTTGCGTATCGGTCAAGCACGGAGTCTTTTCTTTGCGCAGTAGATGCGTATAGAAGCACGGCAAATTTTGTCGTCAAACATTCACAGTTGAAGTCTTCCATGACGACTCGATAAGTATTCGGACTGATCTGAAGCCCGATTTCCTGAGCTTGGCCTCTGCGTCTGTTGTCACTGTGGAGCTCAATACTACCTAGATCAAACGTAGCGCACTCGTACCCAAGAAAAGACGGGCAACGCAATGGCCAACGTAGACTGAGTTGTGAGCCATTCCAGTAGTTGTTGCTGGCACTGATGGCTTGTCTGTGGGTGGCTGCTCAACTCCCTCCACCACCACCAGCAGATGACATGTTCTGGAAGGCACCGTGATGTCTTCTTTTCCTCCTTCTTCTGCTTTGATTGCCGCGACTAGATTGAAGTTGAGCAGCTGGTTGTTCAATGGGTTCATACGGGGGTGGAGGATCATCCATTTCATTTATTATGACTGCAGGCGCAGCTGGCTGCGCGTATTGCCGGACGTCAGGATCGAATTGCTTAGCTAGTAGCGTGCAAGGGTTGTAGTTGCCGTAGATAAAGAAAGTCTTCCCAGCACATTCGAGGGTCACATTGACCTTGGTTTCGTAGGAGCGTGCTATGTTGAAAGTTCTGAATGTCGGAATCAGATCATCCTTTAACGTCAAGTCTATGATCTTTCGCATGTCCAAGAAGCCATTCACCAACGGAACCCCTTTGTCCAAGTCCTGCGCAGCAAGTTGAGGCGCTTTCATCCAGCCGGCCTGCTCCTGCTCTCCGGAAACTGGGCCTGGCTTCGGTACAAGCATGGAAGTGTCCTCTCGCAACCACACAGCCACCTTTTTGAGGTAAATTGCTGGCGGGACTCTGAGTGTCGAGCTTCCGACGTCATAGTCAAGGTGGAGGAATATCGGCAGAGGTGCGCCAATGATTGCAGAGGATAGAGTCTGAAGCTTTGCATCGAATACGGCTTTGGGAAGATGGTCGGTGGGTACTGATCGAAAACCTAGCTTCTCCCGCAGCCTGAGCGGACGCTTTGCTAGTTCCCGGTTTTCCTCAGGAAAGAGATCCAAAGTCTGGCAAGTAATACGCTGAATTTTGTAAGTGCATTCAAGACCAGCTTGTTCCTTGTTCCTGGGGGCGTAAAGGCTAAGTCCCAGCCTCTTGATACAACTAGCAGGATAAGACCCTGTCGTGGACGGCGAATCAATCATTGCCTGAAGCTCGTAGACAATTGAAACAGCGTCGCGTGGAGTGTTCTCATCTGAGAATATTGAAAGTGAGGGAGGAAGAGGCTGGTTATGATCAGTGTTGAAGACGGAGAGAGGAGGTGCCGGAGGGCCATCATTTTGGACTGCATTACAGTCGACGGGGACGCTGAAGGTAAAAGGCCAGCTATATTGATCTTCACAGCCAATTGGAGGAATGCGCAGAGTTGTAGGTCCAGCCAAGAGTATCTTCTTGTAAGCGAACACTTGGATGGATTTGGGAACACGAGGCCAGTACTTTGTAGGTGATAGACGGCCTGTGAAGGTTATTGATATCGACTCGATATCAACGTCTCTTCTCTGGCCGTTCTTGTTGGTAAGATAGACAGAGCCCGAAACGTCATCTCCGGCCTTGTAGGAGGTCTTGGGCACGTGGATTTGGAGAAGGTCAGACATGCTGAGACATGAAGCCAGAAGAGACAGTGACCCTCAGTGTGATAAAAGAAAGGAGCAGCTTAAAAGATGGAATGGATTTCCTGGACACTTCGTCAGCTTAGCCGCTGAGCTTCATGGGGCTGTGTATCGGATCAGCGAATGAAAACGGGTGCAAATGGAATCCTACACTCCTACGAGGCGAAAATATCGGCTGAAGCTGGCGCAGAGTACGTCTGAAGCTACGAGAGTCAGTGTGATAATCAGACCAAGCGGTGATGCAGTGCAAAATGATGCTTCCAGAGGCAACCATACCTTGCCTTACTTGCTGTCACACCTTCAGCCCTACCACTCTTTGCTAAACGCCCCTAGCGTACTTTAAAATAGCTCAACCGTTGCCGGGACCATTACTCAAATGGACTAGTGGCTTGGCTCTGGTTGAGCAGCCTGGCGAAATACCAAGACCTCAAACAGGGCCCCCAAGCAGGCTCAGGCAGTATCCAATCAATTATACTTGGGGGTTGTCCATAAGGCTCAAAATTCACCGTCGGCAGCAAATAACTGCGAGTTGGAATTGACCAATGGAGGAGAGTGATTAAATTTATCTTTGGAACTTGAAACCTCGACCCACATGAAACGTTGGACCGCTCCATGCAATGTCCTTTCTCTCCGCAGACCACAACGCTGGGTCTCACAAAATCCAGTTCAGTCTCTTCTCAAATTTTAATCTGCAAGACTCTACAAAGAGTCTTCCACTGCCCAAAGCTTTCACTTCTCTTGGTCGCTCGTCGCTCAGTCATTCTTTGAACAGCTTTCCATTCACCACACTCTTTTAGAGCAGCTTTTTCGGACAGGATACCTCCTACTTTCATCGATTGAAAGGACCTTCATTTTTATTTTTCACCAATATTAAACCTATCAACAATGCCTGGCCTTTTAGCTTACGTTTCTATCTTATGTACAATTGCTGTATCATCAAATGCCCAGCACCCACATTTCCACCAATGGAACCATTATGGTCCCCCAGGAGCCATGTCGTCCAGCTCCACTACCTTAACAGCTCCCACCTCAACCCCGTCCATCGCAGTAGCAGAGCTCGATAGCTCCCCTAACGCCTCCCCCGTCGCCGCGAGCAGTGCGTCCAGCAGCACCTCCAGTACCGCTGTAGCCAGTACCGGGAGCGGTACCGGTACCGATGGCAGTAGCGGTGCAACTGCTAGCTCTAGTATCACGCCAAACGGAATAAAAGCCGGCGTTGCAGGATTCCCGGATATCGTGAACACCAACAAGGCGGCACTTGATCAATATGCTCCCTATATTTCGTGGTACTCGGACTACTGGCCCAACACCACCGATTTTACCAGCGGTACGAAGACTGTAAAGGGCATCGGCATGGTAAGTTCTCCAAATCCTACTTGTTCCTGCTCCTCCACCTACCCATTTCTTGATGGCCCCTTTTGTTCAAGCACGAAGCACTAACCAATCCCCAGTTATGGGGCAACGGTGACCTCAACGAAACCGACCCTACTGCCCCCATCGGTACCGCCGCAGCAGATGACAAAAACCGCTACGCTGCCTATACAGACCTACCCGCTTCCCCCGCCCCGGACTACATGATGGGTTTCTACGAGCCTGACTGGCCAGCTCCTTACTCTAGCAACATGAACGCGCCCACCGCCGCCACCGCCTGGAAGGCCACCCTCGGCAAGCTTGGCAATACTCTCGTTGGGTCGCCGTCCATGGCCACCCAGATGGACGAAACGTGGCTCACGCCCTTCATGGAGGCGCTCGGGGTAACGGAGCCGCCGTGGGACTACACCTGCATCCACACGAACAAGAATACTTCCGACGGGGTGAAGGCAGATGTGGGGTACTACTGGACCAAGTATGGGAAGCCGGTCTGGGTGTCCGAGTTCGCGTGTGTGAATGATAAGAGTTGGACAATGTGCGATCAAGATACCGTCAACACTTTTATTCCCGAGGTGGTCGACTTCTTCGAAAAGAATGCCAGTGTGATTGCCTATGGGTATAGTAATGGAGCTGGCTTGGGGAGCGTGTGGCCGTTGATCAACAGCACCACTGGGAAGTTGACGTCAAGTGGGAACTGCTATTTGGATGTTCTGCAGGGGAAAGTTTCTTCAGGTCAGGCGTGTACTAACTAGTACCTAGTGGCTGGTGGGTTTGGTGGATGGGTGCGGAGGTAGAGTGCGAGCGACCAATGGTGACGGGTGCGAAGATGCATGTTGTCTGTTACTATTTGTACATATATACTTCATCTGTGGACGAAGACCTTCGACCGGATCTAAACAGCTGGTACTGTTCCCGTCCATTATACCCGTCGAATAGCCACTTTCCCAGACAAGACAACAATTATAAACAAAAGAACCCTAACTCAATGTCCTTGTTATGTATTTGTCCCAGCCATCATACCCGTTTGATAGGTAGTCGCCCAGAAAAGGTGATAAATTGTAATCACACAAACCCTAATTAAGCGTTCTTTATTAGCAAAGGGAAACTATATCTCAGTCTAAACAGCTGGTATTTTGCCCGTTCTTCTATGTCTATCTCATAGATACTCTTTCAAGTAGAGTAACGGTTATAACTAACCGAGCCCTAATCAAGTATCCTTTATTTACAAAGGAAAGCTATCTTTTAATCTAAAGGGCTGATACTTTTCCCATTCATTTTACCCATCTGATAAGAACTCTCCCAGAATATATGACAGTTGTGACCAAACGAGCCCCAACTTCCAGTTTACAGAGCTGGTATTTTTCCCGTTCACTATGTCTATTTAATGGGAACTCTCCCAGATAAGGTAACAGTTGTAATCAACCGAGCCCCAACCAAGCGTTCTTTGTTGGCGAAGGAAGTCTATCTTTAGCCTAAAGAGCTGGTACTTTTCCCGTTTGTTATACCCATCGCTGGCGCCTTGGAGGAAAAGTTGGCAGAAATTAAAATACCATACTTGAGCCCAATAACTTTCTAATGACAACCTTTACAGTAAAATTTCAGTCGAGTCAAGACCTGCTTAAGAAAAAATAAATGCGAAACTATAAACCTCTATGGGGGTCCTCGTATTGAGTAGGGAGTGCAAGACGGACTTTATGTTCGGTCGGAACCCTGAATTTTACCCCTCCAGACGATGGGATACCCATCTGATAGGCATTCTCTCGGAAAAGGTGATAGTTGTGATCAAACGAGCCCTAACTTTCGGTCTAAAGAGCTGGTACTTTTCCTATACATTATGTCCGTCTGATAGGCACTCTCCCCGAAGAAGGTGACAATGATGATCAAACGAGCCCCTAAATAAACGTACTTATGGAGTATTTTTCCCGTCCATCATGGTCGTCTAGTAGGCACCACCCCCAGAGAAGATGGCATATAAAACCAAACGAACCCTACTTAAATGTCCCTGTTGAGTATTTCTCCCGTCCATCATGGTCGTCTAGTAGGCGCCACCCTCAGATAAGGTGGCAATCATTATCAAACGAGCCCTAACTTCCAGTCTAAAAGGCTGGTACTTTCCCGTTCATTATGTCTGTCTGAGAGTCACTCTCCAGGAAAAGGCAACCATTGTAACCAAACAAACCCTGGATGAAGGGTCCTTGTTGGATATTTTCCCCGTCTATCGTACCCGTCTGATAGCCACTTCCCCAGATAAGGTGGCAATTGTAACCAAACGAACTCTAACTAAAGCGTCCTTTGTGGCGAAGAGAAACCAATTTCCCCACTTCAGCAGCCTTAATCCCAAGTTCCTTCCGATAAACGGTCGATATATCCAGGTTGATCCCCATGCAGCCGCCACAGAGCGGGGAATTGTTCCCGCCAGTAGCGCCCACTTACAGATCGAGGAACCATTCATCCGAACGACTCCTGCAAGGTGATGAGCTATGGAAATGTTAATACTGCTGTCAGACGGCCCAAGGAAAGCAGAAACGAGGGGTAGATCTTTGCCCGACAGGGGTATACCCATACTCCCCGCAATTTGGAAGGCTCTAAAAGTGTTATTGTCGCCACTTCTAGCCAGAAATCACGCCATCTGCACGTTCCTGCATTCGTAGTGGCTGCTAGCGAACCCAAGCATTCGGAGTCGATCCTTCGAACCTAAGCTTGACAACGGCCGGAGAAATCAGATCTACAGTCCAATAATGTTGCCGCCGATAGCTAGCCACCAAGTCACCTGGTCATCATGTTCATCATCTGATACGCCATAGTAAGCAGCCCTTCGGCTCATCCTTCCGACGGTAATAAGTCTCTTCCGGCGGCAAGAACCGAGCTAGAATGAGGCTGGCTTCCAGAGGATCGAGAGAATCTGACTAGATAATGCACGTCGAAGCGAGCGATGAAAGTAGACTGCTGCATCTGAGGATATGCACGAGTTGCATCGAGGGATCTGCACGAGGACGAAGTAACCTGGTTGCCTAACGGCACCGTGGATCCATGCAGCGCGTCGCTGGGCGCTTTCCCGTGCTCTCTGGCTTTTTTGCCAGCCGCGGATTAGGCAGGAGATTTTCTTAGCGCAGGGAGAGGGCTCCAAGGGTCTTCACTCGCCTTCGAACGCGTTTCGGAGAGTTTTGCGCTCCTCTTTCTCTGGTGTCCTATGAAACTGCAGTTTGCGCTTGGGTTGGCAGCCATGATCTCTTACAGCGTTAAGGAAATAGGTAAAAAAATTGGTTAATTTTGGGGGGGCATGGCTAATTTTGGCGTGAAACTGCCCCTGCTCGTGCACGGTCCAGGCTCCGGGGGATGTCGATTGGTCTCTCAGGCCGTAGACCTGATACTTCTGTGTTTTGAGTATTTCGAAAAATATGCGATATATTGCTCTTCGATTTGCCCCAAGAGGCGCTGCACACATTGGTTGGGAGAGGAAGACTCCGATTTTAAAATGCGTAACCGCCAACAGGGTCGCTCATTGGTACACGCAATTGCTCTGGAGCAGCGAAAGCCAATTACCGCCGGCCGTACGTCTTTAGCCTCAGATGAGACCAAACTAGGTCAGAATTCTATCTATGCATCTATCTCTGCAATATCGTATTGTCTGACTGGATGGCGAGCCTCGGTATCATGCTGCATTGGCGGTTTAGGCTCCATTTTCAAGACGCGTGAACACAGGAAGAGCCCCTCATTGGTACGGGGAGTTGACATGAGCCATTTGATCTGCCAGTGCCTTGGTTCATCTTGTTCCATCATATATTGATTGGCTTTCATTCCCAGCATCGTTAATCAGAGGACCAATCGCTATGCAGTCATGAGACCATCTATGTCTGTTGGTGGTTGCCTGGGGATGGAACCCCCTCCCGGATCATACGGCCCTGAGTATTATCTGAATCGATGATGGAGACCGAGGTTGCATTCCTGCTAGCGCTGCATCAGTTTCTCCCGATGAGGACTCCATTAGTGGGGCTTCACTCATCTGTATCATCATACTGAGCCCAGCCAGAACTTGCCCCCCCTTCATACCTGCAATAAATACCACCATCAGAGCAGCTTTGGCTTGACCATCTTCAGTACTCCTTTATCCTCAACATCAAGCTCCGGTCTCCAGAGCATTCTCCTGGTCAAGCCTTCTGCACTTTTCCATCTCTATCACTCCAGCTCCTCCTCCTTTCCAATCCCAACTGGGCCCACCTCCTAATTGTGTGGATGAAGATGCCAGTCGTCAATGACTTCTCCTCCGAAGGTGAACTATCCCCCCACATCAATATGAGAGGTAAGTCTCGTCAAAAGGTAGTCTATGCCAAAGCCATTGACATGAGATAGGTTACGAAGAAAGTAGTACGACCCAGGCAACCTACCCAGACCTAGCCAGTCTCGGTTTTGAGGCTTCCGCCCACAATTACAACAGAATCTTCGGACCTCAGGCGCAAGATGAAGATTTTCTCCTACCAGACTTCATGCATAGTGACTTATCAGGATCGACTCCAAGCATGGATTATTACAGCCAATACCAGGCTACACCGTTGCTCGAGGGAGCCAACAGTCACATGCGCGACACCGGAAACGATGCTGAAGGCATCAGCAGAGGCGCTCCTCAGAGCCAAGCACGCACGGAGACGCAGAAGCCCCTCGCACCGAAACGGCTACAGTGCGCTGACCCTGCTCAGCCACCTGGTCCAAGCAAGTCACCGAGCAAGGCAAAGACCCCTGCCGCAGGAAAAGGCGGTAGAGTGTCCAAACTAGGACTCAAGAAAGCAAGGCTTGGAGACACGCTAGGCACTGACAACAGGGCGCGGGCAGAAACCAGGTGGGAGAATGGCATCATGTACGGCATGGTGAACAAGGAGTGGAGTATGTTGGTGCGACTGGAGTCTGCACGAACTACCGAAACTAATTCGTGAGCAGAGCCCGCAGCCTATCATTGCGACAACAGAGAGGAGCTTATCATGAGGGCGGCCCAGCAGCCTGGAGCTCCAGGTAGGTTGTTAAAGCCGAGGCGTCTTACACGTGAGCTAATGAGGATAGTATTTCGAGCAGGGATGTCAACGGATTACACCAGTTACAGCCCAATGACGCAAAGCTGGACTGAAGATCTTAAGTCAGTAAGGGACTACATGGGTCGTCAGGTACTTCTGTTGCCCGAACGTCCGGTAGACTTGGAGCACAATCCAAAAGCCCCTTACATTATGCTTAGGGGACTTGTCATGTTGAACACAAACAACCGGCCAGTCAAAGACTACCCTGGAGCACCTCAGGTAATGAGTACTCATGAGCGGGATATAGTTGTGGAAGGTCTGCGACGGGTTTGTGGGATGACAGTCTCGGAGTGAGTTCGTTCCAGCATGACTTCGAACAACATGCTGATCAAGTTGTCCAGCCAGACGAGCCGAATGCCTCCTAGAAGAGCCACAGCGAGCGGGGAGAGAAAGCTACAGGGGGGGTCGGGCTTCACAAATCGTCTAGCAAGATGGAGGAAGGAACACCCCGAGTGTGTTATTTGGCACGAGAGGGGCAAACGCAAGGGGAAAGAGGCGGAGGTCACCGATCAACCTGGTCTATCAGACGAGGAGGACTACACATCAGACTCGATCCCAGACTCTGAACCTACGCCGTACCAGGACTTGGACGAGAATGCCGGGTTCTATTCCAGTCATTCCTCGTCACTCATACCAGGAATTGATCCTTCGTCGACAGAAAACCAATTCTGGTTGGAGCAATCAATGGACATCAATCAGCAGATGTCATGCCCAGAACCGGACCCTTTCTCGGGAGCAAACTGGAGCTCAGGCATACCGGGAGGGTCCTATCCCCACCATCAGCTGAGCACCGAGCATGTGGAGCAAACAGAAGGGAGCAATCAGTACAACGCATCGCCCTTCCGACAAGCAAACATGCCCACACACACTGCAAACAATGCCGCAGCAGAGGGTATATATTCGCCGGGCTATCCCTTTAGATATGCCCCAACAAATATATACCCCTCGGGCAGTCCACTCGGATAACCCAAACTAATCTATATAAACCCCCGGCCGCTCCGTCCCTCGGCGACCCCTCGGCCCTCCCAATGACAACGTCGCACGGTTCAATACCGCCAGAAATCGACAATTCCTCCATCGACGACGAGCTCTGGTAGGACGATTTGGGGCAGAATCCGCGATGGGCGAGTGGTTCTCCGGACGGATTCCGGAAAGTTGGGCAAATTTCAGATAGAATTTGCCTTACGCATGCCAATGTTTAGCGCACAATCAAGCTTTTTAACCCCCGCAAAACCCCCGGCAAGAGGGACCAATCCCTAAACTTTTCGTGACTTTGAACTCTTTGTCAGCATCTATTGTGTGTATTGACTGGAAATTGACCGGGTAAATGTCATACACGGAGGGTAAAATACCCTGATGAGTCTGTTAAATGTTCTAAAGTTGCCAGAAAAGAGTGACATTTTCATTGAAAATTTCCTAAGAACCTCTCATAATTTCGCTAGAGAGAAGTCGTAGAAGTCATATAATTCCGGGGTACTACCAGAAAAAGTGGCAGTCTTTCGCGATTTTTCCCTAAGAATAGTCGAATAATTCAGACAGATTTCCCGAAAACAGTGTCAGTTTTCATATATTTTCCCTAAGAATCGATCAATATTTCAGACGCAGTTCCAGAAAAGAGTGGCACTCGTTACAGATTATCCCTACAAACCATCATACGATTCGGGCGCAGTGCCAGAGATAAGTGACAGATCACATACAGCTTCCCTAAGAATCCTGCCAGTATGATTCATGCGCAGTACCAGAAAATAGTGGCAGTCTTTACGAATTATCCCTACAAACCATCATATGATTCGGGCGCAGTGCCAGAGATTATTGACAGATCACATACATTTTCCCTAAGAATTGCCAGTATGATTCATGCGCAGTACCAGAAGATAGTGACAGTCTTTACGAATTACCCTGGGAACCATGGTACGATTCAGGCCCAATACCAGAAAAGAGTGACATTTGTTACAGATTATCTCTATCAACCATCATACGCTTAGGGCGTAGTGCCAGAGATAAGTGACAGATCACATACAGTTTCCCTAAGACTGCCAGTATGGTTTATACGTAGTACCAGAATATAGTAGCAGTCTTTACGAATTATCCCTAGGAATCATAGTATAATTTAGACCCAGTACCAGGAAAGAGTAGTAGTCTTTACGAATTATGTCTTAAATTTATAAATAATTTAGAATAAAAATAGATTTATAATTTACTAGTACCGAGATAAGTAATAGATTGCATATAGTTTCCCTACGAACCGCTATTATAATTTAGACTTAGTATCCAGAAAGTAGTAATACTTTTTATAGATTTCCCCTTAGAACCATTGTAGGTTTAGGCGTAGTACCAGGAAAGAGTGGCAGTCTTTACGAATTATGTCTAGAATCATTATATGACTCAGCTATGGTGCCAGAGAATGGTGATAGATCACAAACATTTTCCTAAGGATCGCTATCATGATTCAGGTGTAGTACCAGAAAAATGAAATACTTTTCGTAAATTTCCCCTAAGAACCATCCTATAATTCAGGCGCAGTGCCAGAGATCAGTAACAGATTCCACAAATTCCCAAAAAACGCTGATATGATTCAAGCGTAGTGCCAGAAAAAGGTAAGAGTTTCCATTCATTTCCCTTGAGAACGTCATAAAATTCAGGCGTACTGCCATGAAATGTGATAGATTCCATAAAACTTCCCAAAAACGCTAATACGATTCAAGCGTAGTGCCAGAAAAAGGTAAGACTTTTCATAATTCCCTTGAGGACCGTCATAAATTTCAGACGTACTGCCAAGAAATTGTGATAGATTCCATGAGATCTCCCTGAGAACCGTTATTGCGATTCAGAGATAGTGCCAGAAAATGGTGATAGATTCTATAAGGTCTCCCAAGAACCGTCGTTACGATCCAGGTGTAGTGCCAGAACAAGGTGACCGTTTTGACAAGTCTTCCTTAAGAACCGCCATTATTATTCAAGTGTGGTGCCAGAAAAAGGTGGTAGTTCTCATAGACCCTCCCCAAAAATCGCTGTCTTAACTGCAAGGGAGAGATTACAGAAGTTACATAATACTAGGGCACCACCAGCAAAACGTGATAGTCTTCATAAATCTAAGACACCTCTTCTGCGAAACGACTACCTAGTTACCTTCATCGACTCAAGTTCGACAAGACCTACGAATTCTATAAATCTATGCTTCCCTAGCCACGGGTGACTTGGTCGAAATAGGATTCTAGTGTACACCTCATCGAACGAGCAAGGACATAGCGGAATGTATCCATTGTGGCCTTGAATTAGATCATTGGCCCACTACGGACGTACCTTTGAAAGAACACCTGACTAACCGACCTACATGCCTCTACCTTGCGGACTTCAAAAACACAGTCCCGGCATGATGAAACAGTACGACAACGAGCTACAATGAGAGTATGAGAGGAATCACAAAGCCTAGGAGACGGAGCAGGCGCGTCATCAGCAAGAACAGCGTGTTGACCGGCAGCAAGCGGCACATGAAAGATTTCAACATAGACATGACATGGACTCAGAAAACGTAAACGAACTTCCAGCCGACTACCTACAACATTACCAATCATAACGTCATTGTTTAAAGACATGAGTACAGTACGGGGAGCAGCAAGTGGCCGTTACCCGCAGACGTTGTCGAATTGGGATTCCTAGTGGTCACACCAAATTCACTGCATCACTCTCTAGCAACAAGAACCTCACGCTTCCCATCCACATTGTAGACTCGCTCCCTGCAGCAGAACCACCAAACCCAGCAGTAACTTCGCCAGCTACTGCGCAACACCAAGCCAGCCAGGCTCTCCCTTAATAAGAGCCACACTCCTATGGTTTCTAGTGCAAACTCGCTCCCTACAGCAGAGACATCTCATTTGCCAGCTCACGGAGCTCTTTCACATTCCCGACCTACGTATCAACCAAAGTCCTACCTCACCGTTCAAGACCTCTGCATATGCTATACCCCATTAAGCAAGCTTTGGATCTATTTCACCCAGCCTATGTCACTTTTGAATCCTTTCAGTCATGACCATTCAGGATCTCTACAAGCGATCTGATAAGCATGGCAAGCATAACAATTAAGGGGTGGAGGAACCAGCGGAAATTCAAGCCCAGCACCAGCCTACTGTCCCCAGCTTCCCCAGGCGACCCCTGATTGATATTCTTGAACATAGAAGTCTTAGCGCGATAGATATGCTCAGAAACCGACTCCTGAATCACATATTCAAATGCATTTCGTATGCGCCGAAGAAACACGCTCCAAAACACCTACAGCGGGACCGATTTTCTTGATTTCTTCTCCAGCCATGGTAGGCAGGAAATGCATGTGCTTTGTGGAGCAGGGCAAGGATTCAGTGCATATCTCCAAGTATCAGCCATGCGGACATGGCTTCTTTAGAGAGGGTGGTGATTTTACGTGTGTGTCAAGGCCCTACTAGTGGCTTAGTATAGGCTTCACATATCGAGGATGCAGCTGGTGGCAAGACTGAGGAAGGACAGATTGAGTGAGGTAAGAGTGGTGGTTGAAGAGAAGACATAGGGGTTTGTGGTTACGAAGAGGGTGACGAGGCCGCAGATGGAGGATGTGTAGAGGTTGGAGAGGCTAATGATGGGCTCTGTGAACACCGCGTGGAGGGATCGAGTGATGGTGGCGGTGAAGAAGAAGCGGATGTGCTGGCGTGGGGTGCGATGGGGTTTGGGGAGGCTGGTGATGTTGAGGGCTGCGGCGCGCGGTGGTGGGGAAGAGTCGCTTTGTAGGATGCGCGCTGAAAGGGTAGGGTGAGAATAAGACGGTCCATTGGGTCCAACGCCAGCCCTCGTTGCTGAGACATCTTCATACCCCACACCAAATTTTGGGGTATAAAATTGTGAAATGCCAATCACCCTGGGGTATGAAAATACAAGTTGCCATCAACTTGTAGATATGGCTGTGCCTGTGTCTATAGACCAGTAGAAGTGTAATTAAAAGTGTGTGTGAGGACCCAGTCATACAGACTGGGAGGCCAAATTTCGTTTGTCGCATTTGTAGATCTATTTCACGCTGTCTTCGGTGCGTAATGCCTTGATAGATGGGGGTCACTTAGAGGCTATCGGGTTACCGGCTTGCGGCGGGCTACAGGCTATCTACCCTAACCCGCCCCAACCCCCCCCCGGCGGGAACCACGCCCACAAACCTCGCCCCGAAAGCCCACCCCTATTCGACGCTGTCGCGCCCTACGAGAACAGTATTGCGATTCTGAGGTCGGGATTGCGCTGACGTTGATGAGGGGTCTATACTCGCTTTAGTTGAAGTTCGAAATAGAACCTTAGGTATTATTTAGGGTACCTACTATCATAATTTACAAATTCATGGCCCTCCGGGTATGAGAATGAGGATCCTTTAGTTTAGGACATAAAGATGTGTTTACCCCGCGGATGAGGATATTAAGATGATGAATTTTTCAAGCTCGGGAGAAGAGGACGGGCTCCTCGTATCACAGACTCTAGTGGGGGTAGACTGTAGTAAGTGGCCATTGGGACGAGCCGTCTATGAAATGACCAGATAGCGGCGACCCTCGCAGGCGCGATGCTAGCTCATGGACTCCCACAAACTTCTGTAAAGAACCTACAAACTTTAAAGCTGCATCATCCTAGAAATCTTGGCGCCAAAAATGAACAGTCAAAGGTGGGTGAATTGAAGAGGTACACGGATCTTCGATTAAATGTTTCGCTTTGACAAGGAGCCGAAAGCGAGACCAAGGTTGCTGAAAGGGTAGGGCACGAGGGATGCGATTTTGGAGCGGAAAATTGGTCGGGTACGTCCTCCTGGCTGGGAGTCTGTATGGATGATGCCATGCTACTGCCCTATCATCAGAGCTCAATCGTTGCAATATGTGAGGTTTACTGAATCAAAGACTCTCGATATTCCAGGCACACAGTGTGAAATATAGCCTTCAAGGGAGAACCTCTTCGCATTTCTATGCCACAGATGAAAGCATAAAAGCTTTCTGAGTCAATCTCAATCCGTGCATGCCTTGCGGGCGCAGCCGAAGGAGACACTAGGAGTTGGTACAACGACTGGATAAGGGTTTGCAAATGGAGCTCCCATACACAAAGTACAATCTGTTTGAGAGAGAGAAGAGTGGAGAGTTTGGGTAGAGAGCAATTAAATGGCAATTTTGTTTGCTTCCGACGTTGCATCCTGGCTTTCGGCTGCAAAGACGTCGCGGCTGGTGTTAGCTTTTAAGACTGTGTAGGCGCCGGCAGTGATTCACCGCTGACATTTCATAAATTAGAGAGTACCCGCCATAAGCGGCCCAGCCCGTAGTTCTTTACTCTACACCTCAAGCCAAGTACCCTGCTAGTGTGGGAGTTATCTCGGAAAGGGAGTGTCTGCAGAAAGACGCAGGAAGATCATCGAAGGACACTGACATTTCGGCAAATTGAGAGGCAACTGAGAAAGGAAGAATTGCCTGTTGACACATCTGTGAGGCGTGCCAGATCCGGCTCCAAGGAAAGACCAGTCTTCATCTCTATATTCATCTTCCCGCCTTTAACAGACTAAATAACTGATTACACCGACAACAACTTTCATGAATCGTACGAGACCCTCAAAGCATTGCTGCCATAGTGGGTCTGGTGCAATGTTTTCTGGATGTCGACAAACGAGCCTGAAAGTCTCCTCGCTTCGATGGTCCCGCATTGATCGACTAAAAAACAGAAACTCTTATCTTGCTACGGCCGTCTCAAACGGCAGTGGAGGCGTCTCGAAATAAATCACGTAACCCTCACCTATCTTCTTTTTCTTGTAGAATATCCCAAAATTCATATCCTCCCACGACGAACCTTCACTACTTTGGTATCCTACCACTATTTCCCGCCAGATCAATGCCAAAGCAGATTTCAGATCGCCCCAAGTAAAGGTTGCCGCGCCGGGATCTTTGTACATGACAATCGATACGTGATTGTCAACGCTGTGAACACGCATTTCCGCACCTGTCTCGTCGTTATCGTGTTGCGCCGCGGTGGCTAGGCCGTCTAAGAAAGCTGTAAATACTCTGCTTGCGGAGATGGATGTACCCTCGCATTCAAAATGGACCTTGAAATTCGAATCGCTACGATCAGTGACCCAGCCCGAGCGGCGGGCGGAGAGGCCACTAGGGAGAGCAACGAGGGGATTGGGTGACTGTTCTGAAATGCTTGTCGAGAGAGTATTGTTAGAGTAGCCGCCGCCTAAAAGAACCGTGTTGTTGATTGTATAACCTTCCAGGTTCAAGCGTTTGAGGCTGTATAGTAACCATCCGACCTGGCGATCGTGAAGAATGATTTTAGCGTCAAGTTTGAACGTGTCTGAACCATGGCGAGCACCAATGGTAACTCCTGTTGCATACAGTGCCGCGATGATGTGCTTGATTTGGAGTTCAGACCGAAGTCGGCCTATTTCGAGCTTCGAATCGAACCACGGAGACGAGATAATGTTTGGAAGTTGGCCTGCGAAGCCGTTCCACGGTTGCTTGGCGTAAGCAATCATCGCTTCCATTGTGTTTACGTAATCCTCAAACCAGGATAGCTCCACTCTCGCATCCCAAGTAATGCTCAACTGGAAACCCTCAGGGGGCTTTATCATGGCGAGACTGGAAGCACTATGGTATGAACGATCAGCATTCTGCCAGCAACTTGCGCCGCCTCCATGAGCCTACTTGATAGGAGGAAGCACTCCTGAGAAGGTGTCATTCTTCACTAGCTGGACCCTGGCCAGAATTGATGCGGCAGAGACTAGCGCAACAGAACCGGAGAGAAATGAGGATAAGAAGATGTTGAATTTCATGATAGTGAAGGCGTGAGACATTGACAGTGACTTCAATGAGTAAAAAAGTACTTGACCCTTATGAATGACACATTGTAAAAGCAGTTATCGCGATTTTGATATTGACGACGAGCAGTGAAAAAATGTATGCGATTGCCGCTTCCGATCACGAGGTTAAGTAAGAATTGAATCGATGAGAATGATAGTACTACAGGCGCTCCTGCCGACAACCGATAACCGCGATGTGAGGAGCAGCGTTGGTCGAAATGGCACTGTATTGCTTGCATCCAAGACCAAAGACAAGTAAGCTATCAGCTCTTATAATCTTCATCTGTCTTGAGATCCAGATGATTTTCCGAGCTCAAATTCCTCATTGCTCGAATAGACTTCGGATAATCCTACAGAATGCACGCCCCAGAGTCCAGACCAGCTGGGGTTGAGGAGTTTACATGAAGGCAAGGGAGCCTCATCAGCGCATGCGCTCGCACTAGGAAATGATCTTGTCTTTGATGGCTGTTGAGAGCGGTACGGCTACGTCAGCCTCCAAGCTTATGGCAGATGGCCCTGAGATGTGTTTGGTCTACTGTAGATGCTGGAATTTCACTGAGGTCATCTCATGCGTTCGGCTGAGCGACTCGATTACTAATCACTACGTCAACAAAATGTCGACCGAAGAGATCCATGATGATGTCCTTAAGGCCTCGAACTTGGTTTCTCAATCCTTTCCACGAATTTTCGGTCTTTCTCCCTGGCATCAGGCAAGGCTATCGAACCTCTCTAGGATCAAAGCCTCAAGACCATGCATACACGGCGCTACTCTCTCCTTTATTCTCTTGCTCTCCTATGCGTCTCAAATCTCACACTCGCACTCACACCCTGGGAGTCAATCCACCAGACAATCCACACGTACCCACTGGCAATTGACTCTAAGGACTTCGCCCTGCTCTCGAAGGTATCCAAATCCCAAATCTCAGCATCGAAAACTCCCGATCGAATCATGACCCTCTGTCTCTTTGCTCAATATAACCCTAGCGTCTATGTTGTTAACCTACCCAGTAACAACAGGTCTTCACGTCCGGCGCCTCCGCCAACTACACCGGCGATCTCTCCAATCTCAACGGCCTTCCAGCAATCCAGACCGCGCTCGCAGCATCGGTTGCCAACGTCTACTCCCAACACCTCCTCGGCACCACCGTCATCGACATCCACAGCAACGGAATCAACGCAAATTCTACCACCTACTTCCAAGCCAGCCTTTTCGGCAAACCTTACTCTATCGGCTCTGTGGTGTCTCTTTACGGATACTATGCGGACACCATTGAGAGAGCGACTGAGGGGTGGCGAATCTCGAAGAGGCTGCTTGTGTTCCAGGGGCCGGGCTTCGTGGGCAATTTGAGTCTCGTGGGCATGTGATCGATTGCCTTGACCTCACTTTTCTCTTAGGAATACTGCAGCCTCGAAGGGCGAACGGATAAAAGCAGCATAGTCGTTTACCTTGACCCCATTTTGGGGTGGAATGAGGGCGGAGCATCCAAGTAGTAGGGGTGTTGTTGGTTGTGAGCTTCTTTGTTGGGCCACCATGTTCATAGGCTAGCATTTTGATATCGCACTTACCTCTGATGTGCGAAAGCTTGTTCTCTGGTCACGAAAGAGGGGGTTCTTTACGGTATACCCTTAAGTCGTTGACCTTCATCGCATCGCACATCCATTGATAATACATCAGCCACTTACCGGAGTATAACGCTGATGATCATGCTAACGTAAATACGTGGGTCTCGGATTGCGGGACTAAACACGTCTGGCGGTCCGTGCAGTGTGGAGGGCTGGGAGTCAAGCCAGACCCACCATGGCTCCACGTTTGACTTAGACCCATCTCGGCCAAATAGGCCCTTAAGGGGAACCGCTTATGTCAATTGACTGATTGATATTGATTTGTTGATTGACCAAGTCACACTGGACCCCCTACGGTTATCCCGCATGTTTCACAGGCATCAAAAGCCCAGCCAGATGCATCGTCCTTCGGGGTTTCCAGGCCCAAGATGGATGCAGACTGTATCTAAAGCCAGCCTCTAAGGGATCCAAGCTACTAGCCTACATGATGATGATCAAGCCCTCAGAGCCCCACCGTGCGGCGATAAGATCGCTAGAGATGAACAAGCCCTCCGAAATCCCCTGTGCGCCAACGAAGAACCCCCATGAAAATCTACTGTGCGGTACTAGGAGCCTCGAAAAAAAAAAAAAAAAAAAAGTCCTCCGCTTCTAACTGCTCATGGGGCTTTCCGGTCTGCCGGGAGTCGAGTCTATGATTCCAGAATGGCATGATGGAAGAACTTGCCGTCTTTGAGGAAGTCATCAATTCGAAATGGTCCGAAAGTACTGCCTCGGTGATTTTTTTGTTCACAAAGTGGGACGTCCTTAAGGAGAAGATCAACAGACTTCCAATCAGTGATACTTTTCGCGACTACACCGGCGGGGACAACTGTCAAGAAGCTTTGAAATAATTCACATCGAAGTTTTTTGATTGCAATCGAGCGGGCAAGAAAGTTAATTTTCACTTGGGCGTTGTGGCAGATTCTCAGCAGATGGGATCACCCTGTCGCTTCTTCCCTGTCCCGTTGATGAGGCTGCTGTTGTGCTTGAGAGCAACGTGGCTGAAGTCGTCTTGGCATTACAATTCGAGATAGATACGCATTTATTTTCTAGGAAACCCAGTGAATAACATGTCTGAACAGGGCTTTGAAACAATGTTAACGAACGAGATTCAATACTAGTGACACCAATGCACTCACTGGAATCGTCTCGTAGGCACAGGACGAGGTGAGACCTTGGAAACCTAGCGGGGGCGAAGGCAGTAGTGTGGTATGAGGTGTAAAATGCCATGCACGCCACTGGGAAGAGGAACTGAGATTATGCCGGTGCTGGCCAGGTTGCTTCACATTTCTCATGGTCCACTACTGAAGTGTTACTGGAAACTTTAACGACCATTATCACGAGACCACTGGAGTTCTCCAACAATCGGGCCACCCGCTTACCTGCGAGACTGTGTGCAGCTTCCTTTTCTCTCTCTCAAGACGTGTTCAACCAGTGCCACTCGCTTTACTTATGCATTATCACTCAACAGTCCTCTAATGCCATTTACTGCGGTTTGTTTGCAGTGACTCACTAGTCGTGTTTTATCATGCTCTTCACCAATATCTTTCTGCTCCTGGCTATTACGCGATTGGTCCATGCTAATCCGATCGCCGAAAATGCTGGGTATTCCGCATCCACATCTGATACTTACGCAAGCCCACTCAACCCTACCTGGACACCAGCGTCAGAAACCATACTTCAACCTTCGCCAACGTATACGGATGCCCCTCCCCAGAACCTGACTATCGACAGCGTGTGGAAATATGAGGTAAGACACTTAGTTGTTAACTATGAAGTTACTATGGAGGAAAGAGCGACTAGATACGGATACGCTAAGGCGTATCACGTGACCATGTCACGTGATCGCCAAGACGCCAAGAGTTACGTGATCCGAATTTCAACACTCCCCTTCGCACGTATCCTCTCATAGGCGAAATCCAGTGGATATAAAGTTCAATGCTAACGGTGTTAAAATCGGATAGACAAGGTGAAATACCTTAGCGAAGGGCTATGAGTTGCGCTAACCGTACCTTAACCAAATTAATAAGATTTATCGCCTTTTGACGGTAGCTTTATAATGCAACCATGATTTCGAGAAGGATTAAATACGTTATATGTTTTTAGTGGTGCTTTTTTTAAAACGATAGTAAATTGGTTTCTCTTAATAAGCGTATCAAATTTTAATACGTTAAATTGAAGGATCTGATCTATTACGATAGTAATTATGAATTAGTAGAATAACGATATTTATATAGATATCTTAGTAATAAAAGATTACGTGAATTACCTTATGTAGTTAAATAGACTTTCCTTTAGCTTAAGTAAATTTGATCGAGTGATAAAAATTTATAAAGTAAGATAGTCTCGTAGTTCGAATCAACGAATATATTTCTTATTTGAAATTCCTTAATTTTATAAATATCTTATTCTTAATAGACCTTAACTATTATTGCAGGGTTCTCAATTTTTTTATTCTTTTCGAAATAGTTTTTAATTTTATAACGGTTTCTCGGTTTTATAACGATATCGCAACGGTGTCGTAACGGTTTTAATCTATAAAACGTATTAAAAATATTACAGTTGTTTCAACTCGATACGATTTTTTATCGATACGTACTAAGATATATTACCGTTAATTATCTAGTTCGTTTTTTATTCTTTATCGTTTAAAGGCGGAGATGGTCTACTAATACGTCTTAATAAAATAATCGTATATTTATCGTATATATATAGTAAAAGAAGATCGCTGCTACTCGCTAAGATAACTTAATCGATTTTCGTCGAATTATTAAAGTAAGTTAGCGCCGGATAATTAAAGTAAAATTCGAGTTAAGTAGTTAAAGTGAGTTAGCGTCGAGTAATAGAAGTAAAATTAATATTAGATAGTTAAGATAAGTTAGTATCGAATAGCTAGCGTAAAAATATACTTCTTATACCCCCTATACTTCTTTTCTTCTCTCTCCTCTTTATATGAACGAAATTAAAAAATATGAGATTTAAAGTTTATAACGTTTAAAATAGAATAGATAAAGTAAAAAGTCGAAATCTGAAAACGACTATATTAAATCATAGTCTCTACTTAAATATAACTCAAATTCCACTTTTTATTAAAAAGCGATTTTTTGAAAATTTTATTTCTAGATTATCTAGTATATATCAAAAATCGATTAATTCGAGATCGAAGAATATTTATAAAAATAATTGAAATGATTAAAAGAAATTCTTCTAGCTATATATTATCGACTATAAGATCTCTACGAAGATTATTTTAAATAATTAGTTCTTAATAATAGTAACTATAACTACGATAATTTAAAGATATAATATTTAAGATATTAATAACGAATAGATATAGATTTCTTAAAAGAGTTCTAGAAGTTTTAGTAACGATAGCGGTAATAGCGCTAAAGAAATAGCTATTTCGATGTGAAATAGTAAGTTTATAGAGTATTAAGTCTAATATAGCGACTCGAATAGATTACTCGTAATATGAGAACTAATAAAATAACTTCTCTAGAGTAGTCGATAGTAGACGGCTCTCTTAAATTCAGATATAGATATAATAGAATAGCTCTTCTATAAACTAAGACTATACTAAGATAGTATTAAGATTAATAGCTATCGAAAGAGTAAGTAGATATAGCTTTCATCTTAAGAGCGTCTCGAAAAGTAATAAATTTATCTAAGTAAAGAGCCTTAATAATATTAAAATTCGGATTACGTAATTCTTAACGTCTTAATAATTATATAATATAGTTATATAATATACCTTAGCGTATTTATATTTAATCGCTCTTTTCTTTATAATAACTTAGTAATTAATAACTAAGTATTTTATCTTATATTTCTATAGATTATAAACTTAGACTTTACTTAATAACTATTATAATATAACTATTATTTATCTTTATAATTATAACTATTTTTAGACTTTTAATATTTATCTTATAATATTTAAAATTTATTATATAAAGATAGTAGTAATTATAGAGATATTCTTTTAATCTTCTTAATAAAGATATTTTTTTTTAAAGTAGTTATAAGTCTAAGCGAGTATAATTTATTAATAATATAAGAGATTAGAAGTTACTTTTATCTCTATCTTAAGCGAGTTAAAATATATTATCTTTAATTAAAATATCGAACTCGTTAAATATATTAAGTATATAATTATATTATTATATAATTAAGTTATATTATTAAGATATTTTAAATTTTATTAGCTTTTACTAAATTAGAATATTTAATTCTATTAAAAATATAATTATTTTATATTAATATTAACTTTAAAATTATATATTAACTATTAAATTAATAATTATTAATTAAAAATAATTAAATATTAATATTAATAATCTAATTATAATCTAGAATATTTTAAAACTAATATTATTATCTCTTAATACGCTTATCAATTTATTAAGATTAAAATAATAAGAATATCTTATTAATATTAATTTCTAGATCTCTAAAAGCCTCTTAAAAAAAGAATTAAAATTCTATTATTAAATTCTTTTTTTATATTAGTATATATAATAGAATAAGATAGAGCTAAGCTTGAAAATCTTGAATTTATATGTGTAGTCAATCATTAATTCGGGTTCGCTACGCTCTTTGATTAGACCGACTAAGTCATCGCGGGTAAATAAATTAGCGTCCGCAACCATCAAAATCTCGCCCTCCCGCGTCTCCCTCATCAAAAAAATAGGTATATATTATTGACATATAGAATTACTTTTTTGTTTTCTATCAAAATTTTGAGATTTTTTTTTAAAATTTTG